ACATCTTTATGTTGATGATTAGTGTAAGATACTGACATCTGTATTTTGTTGAGGAGTGTAGAGTGCTGACATCTGTATTTTGATGATGACAGTAAAGTGTTTTATGCATCTATACCATTATTTGATGTTGTCTTTCAAAAGTTTTTATTGTAAATATCAAGACAAATGATTATTGATTTAGATAAATTAATTCTAAATCATACACTAATCACATTAGGGAGGAATCATTGATGTCTTGTACATCAGTCATGTTATGTAATAGTCTGTCTGTATATGGAATCCAATACAATTTTAGTCAAAAACATTTTAACTTCTAATAAAAGTCTTTAAATAGAAATAACTATGAGGAAACACAGCCCCTTAGGTCCTTTCTATCAGTAAATATTAGATCATCTCTCGATGCTTTCCATATCTGTTGAACTGTATAAAGAGATTAAATTGGAAACGAGAGGGAATGATGTTGAATAAAATTTTTATTTATGTAAACAAATTCTTGAGATATTTTTGAGAAAGCTGTATATCTCTATAACAAGCTGATTATGTAAGCTGTTGTGTATAGTGTCCTTTCTCATTGTGGTCTTTATAGCTGGATTAGGGTAAGGAACATGGCCGATAGTCAGTCCCCTGTTGATGTAATCTTACCTCTTAATTGTTTATGAAGGGGAATTCAGTGTATTGAACATCAATGTCTATTTAATGGTTTAAGTGTTGTTTGAACTCTTTGTCTATCCAGCCTCTGTCATTCTTATATAATTTACCATTGTATTAGGTACATTGCAGTAACTATGTACATCACAATACTAGGTACACCACAGTACTTGCTACACCACAGTAGTGACTAGGTACACCACAGTGATAGGTAACCACAGTTCTAGGTACACCACAGTGACTAGGAACACCTCAGTACTTGGTACACCACAGTTCTAGGTACACCACAGTGACTAGGAACACCACAGTGACTAGGTACACCTCAGGACTTGGTACACCACAGTGATAGGTAACCACAGTTCTAGGTACACCACAGTGACTAGGTACACCACAGTGACTAGGTACACCTCAGGACTTGGTACACCACAGTACTAGGTACACCACAGTCACTAGGTTCACCACAGTACTAGGTACACCACAGTGACTAGGTTCACCACAGTACTAGGTACACCACAGTGACTAGGTACACCTCAGGACTTGGTAAACCACAGTGACGAGGTACACCACAGTACTAGGTACACCTCAGTACTTGGTACACCACAGTGACTACGAACACCACAGTGACTAGGTACACCACAGTACTAGGTACACCACAGTGACTAGGTTCACCACAGTACTAGGTACACCACAGTGACTAGGTTCACCACAGTACTAGGTACACCACAGTGACTAGGTACACCACAGTGACAAGGTACACCACAGTGACTAGGAACACCACAGTGACTATGTACACCACAGTAACTATGTACACCACAGTGACAAGGTACACCACAGTGACTATGTACACCACAGTGACTAGGAACACCACAGTGACTAGGAACACCACAGTGACTATGTACACCACAGTGACAAGGTACACCACAGTGACTATGTACACCACAGTGACTAGGTACACCACAGTGACTAGGAACACCACAGTGACAGGTAACCACAGTCACTAGGTTCACCACAGTACTAGGTACACCACAGTGACTAGGTACACCTCAGGACTTGGTAAACCACAGTGACTAGGTACACCACAGTGACTATGTACACCACAGTGACTATGTACACCACAGTGACTAGGTACACCACAGTGACTAGGAACACCACAGTGACAGGTAACCACAGTTCTAGGTACACCACAGTGACTAGGAACACCACAGTACTTGGTACACCACAGTACTAGGTACACCACAGTCACTAGGTTCACCACAGTACTAGGTACACCACAGTGACTAGGTACACCTCAGGACTTGGTAAACCACAGTGACTAGGTACACCACAGTGACTATGTACACCACAGTGACTATGTACACCACAGTGACTAGGTACACCACAGTGACTAGGAACACCACAGTGACAGGTAACCACAGTCACTAGGTTCACCACAGTACTAGGTACACCACAGTCACTAGGTACACCTCAGGACTTGGTAAACCACAGTGACTAGGTACACCACAGTGACTATGTACACCACAGTGACTAGGTACACCACAGTGACTAGGTACACCACAGTGACTAGGAACACCACAGTGACAGGTAACCACAGTTCTAGGTACACCACAGTGACTAGGAACACCACAGTACTTGGTACACCACAGTGACTAGGTACACCACAGTGATAGGTACACCACAGTCACTAGGTTCACCACAGTACTAGGTACACCACAGTGACTATGTACACCACAGTACTAGGTACACCACAGTGACTAGGTACACCACAGTACTAGGTACACCACAGTACTAGGTACACCACAGTGACTAGGTACACCACAGTGACTAGGTTCACCACAGTACTAGGTACACCACAGTACTAGGTACACCACAGTGACTAGGTACACCACAGTCACTAGGTACACCACAGTACTAGGTACACCACAGTGACTAGGTACACCACAGTGACTATGTACACCACAGTGACTAGGTACACCACAGTCACTAGGTACACCACAGTACTAGGTACACCACAGTGACTAGGTACACCACAGTGATAGGTACACCACAGTGACTAGGAACACCACAGTACTTGGTAAACCACAGTGACTAGGTACACCACAGTGACTAGGAACACCACAGTGACTAGGAACACCACAGTGACTAGGTACACCACAGTGACTATGTACACCACAGTGACTAGGAACACCACAGGACTAGGTACACCACAGTGACTAGGTACAGTGACTAGGTACACCACAGTCACTAGGTACACCACAGTACTAGGTACACCACAGTGACTAGGTACACCACAGTGACTAGGTACACCACAGTGACTAGGTACACCACAGTGACTAGGTACACCACAGTACTAGGTACACCACAGTGACTAGGTACACCACAGTGACTAGGAACACCACAGTGACTAGGAACACCACAGTGACTAGGTACACCACAGTGACTATGTACACCACAGTGACTAGGAACACCACAGTACAAGGTACACCACAGTACTAGGTACACCACAGTACTAGGTACACCACAGTACTAGGTACACCACAGTGACTAGGTACACCACAGTCACTAGGTACACCACAGTACTAGGTACACCACAGTGACTAGGTACACCACAGTCACTAGGTTCACCACAGTACTAGGTACACCACAGTGACTAGGTACACCACAGTCACTAGGTTCACCACAGTACTAGGTACACCACAGTCACTAGGTTCACCACAGTACTAGGTACACCACAGTGACTAGGTACACCGCAGTACTAGGTACACCACAGTAACTTATTGTGTACAGACAAGTTGTGTATGTACAGACTGGCTGTACAGACTAGTTGTGTTTATATTGACAAGCACTGTGTGTACAGACTAGTTGTATGTACAGACTGGCTGTGTATGTACAGACTGCCTGTGTATGTACAGACTAATTGTGTATGTACAGATCAGTTGTATGTACAGACTGCCTGTGTATGTACAGACTAATTGTGTATGTACAGATCAGTTGTATGTACAGACTGGCTGTGTATGTACAGATTAGTTGTATGTACAGACTGGCTGTGTATGTAAAGACTAATTGTGTATGTACAGATCAGTTGTATGTACAGACTGGCTGTGTATGTAAAGACTGTGTGTAATTGTGTATGTACAGACTGGTGTGTATGTACAGACTGATGTACAGACTAATTGTGTATGTACAGATCAGTTGTATGTACAGACTGCCTGTGTATGTACAGATTAATTGTGTATGTACAGATCAGTTGTATGTACAGACTGCCTGTGTATGTACAGATTAGTTGTATGTACAGACTGGCTGTGTATGTAAAGACTAATTGTGTATGTACAGATCAGTTGTATGTACAGACTGGCTGTGTATGTAAAGACTAATTGTGTATGTACAGATTAGTTGTATGTACAGACTGGCTGTGTATGTAAAGACTAATTGTGTATGTACAGATCAGTTGTATGTACAGACTGGCTGTGTATGTAAAGACTAATTGTGTATGTACAGATCAGTTGTATGTACAGACTGGCTGTGTATGTAAAGACTAATTGTGTATGTACAGATCAGTTGTATGTACAGACTGGCTGTGTATGTACAGATCAGTTGTATGTACAGACTGGCTGCGTATGTAAAGACTAGTTGTGTATGTACAGACTAATTGTGTATGTACAGACTGGCTGTGTATGTACAGACTGGCTGTGTGTGTACAGACTGGCTGTGTGTGTTCAGACTGGTTTTGTATGTACAGACTAATTGTTTGTGTACAGATCAGTTGTGTTTATACAGACTAGCATTGTGTGTACAGATTAGTTGTATGAAGACTAAACATGTACAGTCATTATCAATGTGTACAGAACTGTACAGACCAGCTGTTTACAGCCTAGCTCTTTACAGACCAGCTATTTACAGCCTAGCTGTTTATAGACCAACTGTTTACAGCCTAGCTCTTTACAGACCAGCTGTTTACAGCCTAGCTGTTTATAGACCAGCTGTTTACAGCCTAGCTCTTTACAGACCAGCTGTTTACAACCTAGCTGTTTATAGACCAGCTGTTTACAGCCTAGCTCTGTTTATAGACCAGCTGTTTACAGCCTAGCTCTGTTTATAGACCAGCTGTTTACAGCCTAGCTCTTTACAGACCAGCTGTTTACAGCCTAGCTGTTTATAGACCAGCTGTTTACAGCCTAGCTGTTTATAGACCAGCTGTTTACAGCCTAGCTGTTTATAGACCAACTGTTTACAGCCTAGCTGTTTATAGACCAGCTGTTTACAGCCTAGCTGTTACATACTCTATGTATATTAATTTGATGTTGTCAATGATTTTACATTGGAATGTTTAAAAAGTCAGGCATTTTTTCTTACAGGGCATATTTTCTCAGGTGTTTGATCTGGAAAACACAGATTTTGACAACAGTGATACATTCAACAGAGAGTGGTAAGTACTGTCATACAGGTTAGGTACTCAAACAGAGAGTGGTAAGTACTGTCATACAGGTTAGGTACTCAAACAGAGAGTGGTGAGTACTGTCATACAGGTTAGGTACTCAAACAGAGAGTGGTAAGTACTGTCATACAGGTTAGGTACTCAAACAGGTAGTGGTGAGTACTGTCATACAGGTTAGGTACTCAAACAGAGAGTGGTGAGTACTGTCATACAGGTTAGGTACTCAAACAGAGAGTGGTGAGTACTGTCATACAGGTTAGGTACTCAAACAGAGAGTGGTGAGTACTGTCATACAGGTTAGGTACTCAAACAGAGAGTGGTGAGTACTGTCATACAGGTTAGGTACTCAAACAGAGAGTGGTGAGTACTGTCATACAGGTTAGGTACTCAAACAGAGAGTGGTGAGTACTGTCATACAGGTTAGGTACTCAAACAGAGAGTGGTGAGTACTGTCATACAGGTTAGGTACTCAAACAGAGAGTGGTGAGTACTGTCATACAGGTTAGGTACTCAAACAGAGAGTGGTGAGTACTGTCATACAGGTTAGGTACTCAAACAGGTAGTGGTGAGTACTGTCATACAGGTTAGGTACTCAAACAGAGAGTGGTGAGTACTGTCATACAGGTTAGGTACTCAAACAGAGAGTGGTGAGTACTGTCATACAGGTTAGGTACTCAAACAGAGAGTGGTGAGTACTGTCATACAGGTTAGGTACTCAAACAGAGAGTGGTGAGTACTGTCATACAGGTTAGGTACTCAAACAGAGAGTGGTGAGTACTGTCATACAGGTTAGGTACTCAAACAGAGAGTGGTGAGTACTGTCATACAGGTTAGGTACTCAAACAGAGAGTGGTGAGTACTGTCATACAGGTTAGGTACTCAAACAGAGAGTGGTGAGTACTGTCATACAGGTTAGGTACTCAAACAGAGAGTGGTGAGTACTGTCATACAGGTTAGGTACTCAAACAGGTAGTGGTGAGTACTGTCATACAGGTTAGGTACTCAAACAGAGAGTGGTGAGTACTGTCATACAGGTTAGGTACTCAAACAGAGAGTGGTGAGTACTGTCATACAGGTTAGGTACTCAAACAGAGAGTGGTGAGTACTGTCATACAGGTTAGGTACTCAAACAGGTAGTGGTGAGTACTGTCATACAGGTTAGGTACTCAAACAGGTAGTGGTGAGTACTGTCATACAGGTTAGGTACTCAAACAGGTAGTGGTGAGAACTGTCATACAAGTTAGGTACTCGAACAGGTAGTGGTGAGTACTGACACACAGATCAGTGAGTATTGACACACGAAGAGCTGAGTACTGACACAGATGTGTGAGAACTTGCACACATTTGATCTGAAATGACACACGATCTGTTTAGTGCTGACACAGATTGGTGAGCACTGACACAGATTGGTGAGCACTGACACAGATTGGTGAACACTGACACAGATTAGTGAGTACTGACACAGATTGGTGAGTACTGACACAGATTGGTGAGCACTGACACAGATTGGTAAGTACTGACACAGATTGGTGAGCACTGATACAGATTGGTGAGCACTGACACAGATTGGTGAGTACTGACACAGATTAGTGAGTAATGACACAAATTGGTGAGCACTGACACAGATTGGTGAGTACTGACACAGATCAGTAAGTACTGACACAAAGATTGGTATGTTCTGTGTATTGAGAGTGGAGAGTCTTAGTCACATATTGCTGAGTAATGACATACAGACTGGTAAAGCCCTGAAAACACATATTTTTTCAGATATTTAGATATTTGTTTTGCAAAATCTCAGAAATAATTGACGGTGAAACAGTCCTGTGAGCTTTGTCATTAACACTACAAATGGCAGTGATGATTGGAGAGCAGTAATTTGTTCTGCGACAGGGGATATTTCAACTTTTAGTTGACAGTTATGAGCTCAGTGTCAAAAAATATTGTTGTTTTTGCTTAATCAACTTTCAAAAATTTTTATCAATGTCAGAAATTTGATTATTATTTGCTGTGTGCAAAGTGCGTTGTGCAGGTGAAGAAGAGGGTTGTACTAGTAATTATGGTTAAGACCTGTCATCAATCTCCTTTAAGTAGCCTGGGGATACAGGAGTTCTAACTATCAGAGATCACCTGCAGTCCTGTCCATCTCGCATCATTCAATAGATGGCCAATTCAATAGTCAATGACAAATTATCTCCCTTTTGACACCCACAAAATGATGTTTTTACTTGCAGGCCTGCCGAGCCACGGTTTCCTATACATATCGGAATCTCAGGTCATGTAGCTACAACAGGGGAGGTAAGTCTAATATTGTTACAGAATTAAAATAATAAAATTATTTCTGTGTAGAGTAGATATGCTATACTACATGTATGACCAGTCCTGTGTTGTATCAACCTTCTGTAAAGTGTATCAGATCAGTCCTCTGTTGTATCAACCTTCTGTAAAGTGTATCATCAGTCCTCTGTTGTATCAACCTTCTGTAAAGTGTATCAGACCAGTCCTCTGTTGTATCAACCTTCTGTAAAGTGTATCAGACCAGTCCTCTGTTGTATCAACCTTCTGTATAGTGTATCATCAGTCCTCTGTTGTATCAACCTTCTGTAAAGTGTATCAGACCTGTCCTCTGTTGTATCAACCTTCTGTAAAGTGTATCATCAGTCCTCTGTTGTATCAACCTTCTGTAAAGTGTATCAGACCAGTCCTCTGTTGTATCAACCTTCTGTAAAGTGTATCAGATCAGTCCTTTGTTGTATCAACCTTCTGTAAAGTGTATCATCAGTCCTTTGTTGTATCAACCTTCTGTATAGTGTATCATCAGTCCTTTGTTGTATCAACCTTCTGTATAGTGTATCATCAGTCCTTTGTTGTATCAACCTTCTGTAAAGTGTATCAGACCTGTCCTCTGTTGTATCAACCTTCTGTAAAGTGTATCATCAGTCCTATGTTGTATCAACCTTCTGTAAAGTGTATCAGACCAGTCCTCTGTTGTATCAACCTTCTGTAAAGTGTATCATCAGTCCTTTCTTGTATCAACCTTCTGTAAAGTGTATCAGACCTGTCCTCTGTTGTATCAACCTTCTGTAAAGTGTATCATCAGTCCTATGTTGTATCAACCTTCTGTAAAGTGTATCACACCAGTCCTAGGTTGTATCAACCTTCAATAAAGTGTATCAAACCAGTCCTGTGTTGTATCAACCTTCAATAAAGTGTATCAGATCAGTCCTCTGTTGTATCAACCTTCTGTAAAGTGTATCATCAGTCCTCTGTTGTATCAACCTTCTGTAAAGTGTATCAGACCTGTCCTATGTTGTATCAACCTTCTGTATAGTGTATCAGACAGTCCTTTGTTGTATCAACCTTCTGTAAAGTGTATCATCAGTCCTCTGTTGTATCAACCTTCTGTAAAGTGTATCATCAGTCCTATGTTGTATCAACCTTCTGTAAAGTGTATCAGACCAGTCCTAGGTTGTATCAACCTTCAATAAAGTGTATCAAACCAGTCCTGTGTTGTATCAACCTTCAATAAAGTGTATCAGATCAGTCCTCTGTTGTATCAACCTTCTGTAAAGTGTATCATCAGTCCTCTGTTGTATCAACCTTCTGTAAAGTGTATCAGACCTGTCCTCTGTTGTATCAACCTTCAGTAAAGTGTATCAGACCAGTCCTCTGTTGTATCAACCTTCTGTAAAGTGTATCATCAGTCCTCTGTTGTATCAACCTTCAGTAAAATGTATCATCAGTCCTCTGTTGTATCAACCTTCTGTAAAGTGTATCATCAGTCCTCTGTTGTATCAACCTTCAGTAAAATGTATCATCAGTCCTCTGTTGTATCAACCTTCAGTAAAGTGTATCAAACCAGTCCTGTGTTGTATCAACCTTCAATAAAGTGTATCAGATCAGTCCTCTGTTGTATCAACCTTCTGTAAAGTGTATCAGACCAGTCCTAGGTTGTATCAACCTTCTGTAAAGTGTATCATCAGTCCTCTGTTGTATCAACCTTCAGTAAAATGTATCATCAGTCCTCTGTTGTATCAACCTTCTGTAAAGTGTATCATCAGTCCTCTGTTGTATCAACCTTCAGTAAAATGTATCATCAGTCCTCTGTTGTATCAACCTTCAGTAAAGTGTATCATCAGTCCTCTGTTGTATCAACCTTCAGTAAAGTGTATCATCAGTCCTCTGTTGTATCAACCTTCAGTAAAGTGTATCATCAGTCCTCTGTTGTATCAACCTTCTGTAAAGTGTATCATCAGTCCTCTGTTGTATCAACCTTCTGTAAAGTGTATCAGACCAGTCCTCTGTTGTATCAACCTTCTGTAAAGTGTATCAGACCAGTCCTCTGTTGTATCAACCTTCTGTAAAGTGTATCATCAGTCCTCTGTTGTATCAACCTTCTGTAAAGTGTATCATCAGTCCTCTGTTGTATCAACCTTCTGTAAAGTGTATCAGACCAGTCCTGTGTTGTATCAACCTTCTGTAAAGTGTATCAGACCAGTCCTAGGTTGTATCAACCTTCAGTAAAGTGTATCAGACATATTCTCTGTTGTATCAACCTTCTGTAAAGTGTATCAAACCAGTCCTGTGTTGTATCAACCTTCAATAAAGTGTATCAGATCAGTCCTCTGTTGTATCAACCTTTTGTAAAGTGTATCAGACCAGTCCTAGGTTGTATCAACCTTCAGTAAAGTGTATCAGACATATTCTCTGTTGTATCAACCTTCTGTAAAGTGTATCAAACCAGTCCTCTGTTGTATCAACCTTCAATAAAGTGTATCATCAGTCCTCTGTTGTATCAACCTTCTGTAAAGTGTATCAGACCTGTCCTCTGTTGTATCAACCTTCAGTAAAGTGTATCAGACCAGTCCTCTGTTGTATCAACCTTCTGTAAAGTGTATCATCAGTCCTCTGTTGTATCAACCTTCAGTAAAATGTATCATCAGTCCTCTGTTGTATCAACCTTCTGTAAAGTGTATTAGACCAGTCCTCTGTTGTATCAACCTTCTGTAAAGTGTATCATCAGTCCTCTGTTGTATCAACCTTCTGTAAAGTGGATCATCAGTCCTCTGTTGTATCAACCTTCTGTAAAGTGTATCAGACCAGTCCTGTGTTGTATCAACCTTCTGTATAGTGTATCATCAGTCCTCTGTTGTATCAACCTTCTGTAAAGTGTATCAGACCAGTCCTAGGTTATATCAACCTTCAGTAAAGTGTATCAGACATATTCTCTGTTGTATCAACCTTCTGTAAAGTGTATCAAACCAGTCCTGTGTTGTATCAACCTTCAATAAAGTGTATCAGATCAGTCCTCTGTTGTATCAACCTTCTGTAAAGTGTATCATCAGTCCTCTGTTGTATCAACCTTCTGTAAAGTGTATCAGACCAGTCCTCTGTTGCATCAACCTTCAGTAAAGTGTATCAGACCAGTCCTCTGTTGTATCAACCTTCTGTATAGTGTATCATCAGTCCTCTGTTGTATCAACCTTCTGTAAAGTGTATCATCAGTCCTATGTTGTATCAACCTTCAGTAAAGTATATCAGACATATTCTCTGTTGTTCCAACTTTCAGTAATGTGTACCAGACAATTTTCTATCATATCAATTTTCAGGAAGTGTATCTAACTAGCTGTCTGTTATCACACTAATACAGATATATACACATACATCATATTCTGTCAAGACAATAATTACATAGGCATACTTACTAATATGATATCGATAGTAAGAATTTTTTTCTGTATTTATGATAAATCATTTTAAATTCACTGTAAATCGTTTGTATGTATTTTGTATGTCTTGACAATAGGAAAAGAATATGTCATATATCTTGATTTTTATTAATGCTTTGAAACCTAAATTGTAATGAATTTTATAGTGTTATGAAAAGTTTACACTAGGAATCAAAGTCAGTTACCAATGCAAAGAAGGGTCAGTAATATAACACAGAAATAATGTAGAATTGATGTTTTATTTCCAGACACTCAATATTCCAGACGCTTCCAAAGACAAGAGATTTTACATGAAGGTCAGCTTTTTTTCTAATTTAATTCTCCATACGAAATTCTTGGTATTTTAAGGTTGTATTTCTGATTAATTGATTTTATCTTGATATTTTTTTTCTGATATTATACATGTATAAGATTAAGGTGTATGGTTCACCTTACTTTGTACTGACATCAAATAGAAATGTACACCACAAAACTCTTGTCTTATCTAACCCAACCTCCTATAAATAGCTTTCTGTTTTGATCTATCACTCGGCTGGTTCATTTCAATTACACTGCAATATTTAATGTAAACCATTTGCTGGGGCATCCTCAGGAGAACCGCTGTGTTATTAAAAAGTATGACTGATATTCCTATTTACAGGCTGATGAGGAGAGTGGCTTTGTAACGAAATCCATATTATGTATGCCGATCAAGAATTCCTGTAACCGAGTGATTGGGGTAGCACAGTTGACCAATAAACTGGATGGCACCGCATTCAACAAGAATGATGAGAACCTGTTTGAAGTGAGTTGTACATTGATAGATAAATATCGGAGCTTTTGACCACATTGATAGTTTTGTTGGTTAGTGTGTGTATGATATATTATACTCGAAGCTTCCACTTTAATGCCGCCTCGTCAATCTCCTCTGCTGACAACTTTGATTCTTGCTATATTGTCAAAACACTTGTAAGAGCAACGAATATAAAGTTCTCTTAAAATTGTGATGTGTGATTGTTAGAGATATGAAGAGTGCTTGTAAGAGAGAGTCAAAGGTGAAGTGTACTTTCTTCTAGACAGTGCCAAATGTGAAGTGTACCTGTTAGGAAGTGCCAAATGTGAAGTGTTTATTTAAGGGAGTTTCAAATGTGAAGTATACTTGTTAGATAGTGTCAAATGTGAAGTTTACTTGTTAGATAGTGTCAAATGTGAAGTATAATTGTTAAATAGTGTCAAATGTGAAGTGAACACTCTAGAGAGTGTCAAATGTGAAGTTTACTTGTTAGATAGTGTCAAATGTGAAGTGTACTTGTTAGATAGTGTCAAATGTGAAGTATAATTTTTAGATGTGAAGTGAACACTCTAGAGAGTGTCAAATGTGAAGTTTACTTGTTAGATAGTGTCAAATGTGAAGTATACTTGTTAGATAGTGTCAAATGTGAAGTGAACACTCTAGAGAGTGTCAAATGTGAAGTGTACCTGTTAGGAAGTGTCAAATGTGAAGTGAACACTCTAGAGAGTGTCAAATGTGAAGTGTACCTGTTAGGAAGTGTCAAATGTGAAGTGAACACTCTAGATAGTGTCAAATGTGAAAGGAGCTTGTTAGATAGTGTCAAATGTGAAAGGAGCTTGTTAGATAGTGTCATAGGTGAAGTGCACTTTCTTCTAGAGAGTGTCAAATGTGAAGTGTTTATTTAAGGTTGTGTCAAATGAAAAGTATACTACTTGGTTGACTTGTAGGCCATAACTTTTACCTCCCTCTGCCTGAGTGTCACTATATAATCTGCGCTGGTTGACTTGTAGGCCATAACTTTAACCTCCCTCTGCCTGAGTGTCAGTATATAATCTGTGTTGGTTGACTTTGTAGGCCATTACATTTACCTCCCTCTGCCTGAGTGTCAGTATATAATCTGTGTTGGTTGACTTTGTAGGCCATTACTTTTACCTCCCTCTGCCTTAGCGTCAGTATATAATCTGTGTTGGTTGACTTGTAGGCCATAACTTTTACCTCCCTCTGCCTGAGTGTCATTTTATAATCTATGTTGGTTGACTTTGTAGGCCATTACTTTTACCTCCCTCTGCCTTAGTGTCAGTATATAATCTGTGTTGGTTGACTTGTAGGCCATTACTTTTAGCTCCCTCTGCCTGAGTGTCAGTATATAATCTGTGTTGGTTGACTTGTAGGCTCTTACTTTTACCTCCCTCTGCCTGAGCGTCAGTATATAATCTGTATTGGATGACTTGTAGGCCATTACTTTTACCTCCTTCTGCCTGAGTATCAGTATATAATCTGTATTGGTTGACTTGTAGGCCGTTACTTTTACCTCCCTCTGCCTGAGTGTCAGTATATAATCTGTGTTGGTTGACATTGTAGGTCGTTACGTTTACCGCCCTCTGCCTGAGTGTCAGTATATAATCTGTGTTGGTTGACTTGTAGGCCATTACTTTTACCTCCCTCTGCCTGAGTGTCAGTATATAATCTGTATTGGTTGACTTGTAGGCTTTTGCAATCTTCTGTGGAATGGGAATCAACAATACTCAAATGTATGAGACAGCTGTCAGGGCAATGGCTAAACGAAGAATCGCCCTGGAATGTCTCTCCTACCATGCAACTGTCCCAGCTGATGAGGCAAACAAACTCAAGGTCGGTATACCTGCAGACCACCTCACCTCAACAACAACATGATTTGTATACATTTGATATCTGGCATCACACCAAACAATGTTATATCTATAACCTACCTCATCCCAACAAGGGAATATTACCGCACAATTCTGTCCCAACTTCCCTGTACCTTGGTAGTGAGGGTTGGTAATGATATAGAAAGGGTAGGACATTATGTGCCCCTGTATTTAGGTTTAATGAAATGTCTCTATCCTACGGAAATAGATCTGCCTATTTAGTTTAAGTGACAATATTATTGATATGCATTTACTGAAAATGGAAAATTCAGAGCCAATTGATGATGATGTGCGTATTTTCCATTTTCTTCCCTTTGCCAATTCCATTTAGTGTTGTGGTGGTGCACTCGATGTTGATGTTAATCCAATTTCACTGAAAACCTGCACAGCCACATGGCAGTCATCAGTCAGCCAACAGGGACTGACTCCAGCAAAAAGCCTTGCATTATTCAATTCTCAAAATTTTAGTAAAATGGTCCTAGGGGCAAAAATATACTCATGGCAATTTATCTGAGTAGCTTTTTTTTTAACAAAAACCATCTGAACCATTGCATGGCTGCTCATGATACTTGTAACTCTATCAGACAACGATATGAAATTGGCAAGAATTTTTTCTTAACATTTGAATTTGATTACAAAGAAATTGCAGAATGTTTTCAGGATTGCATAATGATTACATAGCAGGCTGATTGCCTTGGCTAGGTACAGTCAGACTTCAATGTTTCCAAGTTCAAGGGACTAGCGAAAAACTGATATGTAGTGATTTTTAATCATTCGTGGTGGGTTATATCACTGTGTTTCTCATGTTTTTATGCTTAAAAATGAAAGGTGATGTGTTTGAGTGAAATCATCATTAAAGTGTTCAGGATATACTCCTTATGTTTTCACAATTTCTTCACTTAGATTTCATTTTAGGAGTAAACCATCATGGTGTAGGTGAACATCACACGACGTCCCATTATCATTTTTGATTAAATGTCAATTAAACTTTAATTGTTGTCCAGGCATTAATTAACCTCTTAACACAACAGCGGGCTATTGTAATTCCTTTGTCAGGAAGCACTTTTTGTTGAAATGTGTAAAATACTACCATGGGGCAAAAATACTTGTACATTCATACAAGTCTGACTGTATATCATGCTGCAGCTGGAAAGTTGGCAGTCGGAGTGGGGAAGGGGACGGGATGGGAGGGGGCATTAACCCTAGACTGACATATGCATCGCCGTATCTACACAGATCACATATCTTAAGTCTATACTTTTAGCCTAATTCTTTTGTCACAGAAGGTTTCCATTCAATGACATGTCTTGAAGTTTTAACCGTTCAAACAGACAGAGTTGCCAAGATAATTGCCCCAATCTTTTGAGGCATTCCATTTTTTAGTAATCAATACTGACACAGCAGGATCTTTGGCACAGAATGTGGAAAGGAACTTTCAGCACTGCGATAAAAGTGTTAAGTTCTGGAAATTCAATAAAATTGGATTTCCTTAATATTATTGCAAAACACGACCTTTTACTCCAAATTTTGTAGCACTGGTAGTACCGTCTGAGATGAAGTACAGAGCACACTGTGCTTTGAATTGTTACAACACAGAAGCTCCCTGGATCTCTTTCATCTCGTTTGGATAGGGACCGCTTCTAACTTTGATGATGGAACTGTTTCTTTAAAGTCTGGCTTAACTATTAATCAAAATTCATCAGTTGAAATATTTCTGTGATAGGATGCTGCTGTTGGTAAACATTAATGATAATCTGATATGCGCAGGAATACTTGATGGTGAATGTCACTTACATGGCCTACGTTGACAGAAACCAGTCTGTAACACAGCATTGATTTTCCTTCATAGGGCAAGCATGCTGTGTTTATTGTCCAATAAGTACACAAAGCACAATACTGGGACATCCATCTGGACTTTTCCAGACTTCATCTATATGTTTGACCTAAAGTCCATTCATTTTTATATACCATGTCAGATCCAAAATGTGGTGTTCTGCAAAACGTTTACTAGTTGTATTGTTTGCTTATACCCATAAGTGACACTTTCAGGTCAGGTCACTCTCAAAAGGGGTACTGTCAGGTCACACCTAACAGAGGTACTGCCAGGTCACACACACTAGTGATACTTATCCATAAATACTCAGTAGTAAAAGGTTTAGATCACACTAAGTAATGATAGTGCCAGGTCACATCCAGTAAATGTCCTTTCAGGTCACAACCATTAGTTGTACAGGTAAGTCTCACTCAGTAGTAATAGTGTAAGGCCACACCCAGTATTGTAATTTAAGGTCACACCCAGCTATAGTAATGTCAGGTCACACCCAGTAGTAGAAGTGTTGGGTCACACCCAATATTGTATTTTAAGATCACAACCAGCAATAGGAACGTCAGGTCACATCCAGTAATAGTAGTGTCGGGTCACACCCAGTAATAGCAGTGTCAGGTCACACCCAGTAATAGTAATGTCAGGTCACACCCATTAGTAGTAATGTCAGGTCACACCCAGTAATAGTAGTGTCAGGTCACACCAAGTAATAGTAGTAATAGTAACATCAGGTCACACCCAGTAATAGTAGTGTCGGGTCACACCCAGTTGTAGTTCTGTTAAGTCATACCCCATAGTAGTGTCGGGTCATACCCACTAGATGTACAGTCGGGTCATACCCACTAGATGTACAGTTGAGTCACATCCCAGTTGTGTTGGTGTCTGGTCACATCCAGTTGTGTTGGTGTCAGGTTACACCCAGTATTAGTAGTCGCAGGTCACATCCTGTTGTGGTGGTGTCAGCTCACACCCATTATTAGTATTGTCAGGTCACACTCAGTTGTGGTGGTGTCAGGTCACACCTAGAAGTGGTGGTGTCAGGTCATACCAAGAAACAGTGTCAGGTCATACCCAGTAGTGGTAGCAGTATCATGTCTCACCTGTAGCAGTAGTATCAAGTTACACCCAGTAGTAGCAGGTTCTAGTCACACCCAGTAGAAGTAGTGGCAAGTCACACCCAGAGGTGATAGTGTCAGGTAACACCCATTAGTAGTAATGTCAAGTCTCACCCAATAGTAGTAGTGTCAGGTCACACCCAGTAATAGTAATGTCAGGTCACACCCAATAGTAGTAATGTCAGGTCACACCCAATAGTAGTAGTGTCAGGTCACACCCAGTAGTAGTAGTGTCAGGTCACAGCCAGAGGTGATAGTGTCAGGTAACACCCATTAGTAGTAGTGTCAGGTCACACCAATTAGTAGTAATGTCAGGTCACACCCAATAGTAGTACTGTCAGGTCACTCCCAATAGTAGTACTGTCAGGTCACTCCCAATAGTAGTACTGTCAGGTCACACCCAATAGTAGTACTGTCAGGTCACACCCAATAGTAGTACTGTCAGGTCACTCCCAATGATAGTAGGTAACACCCAATAGTAGTACTGTCAGGTCACACCCAATAGTAGTACTGTCAGGTCACACCCAATAGTAGTACTGTCAGGTCACTCCCAATAGTAGTACTGTCAGGTCACACCCAATAGTAGAAGTGTCCCATCCAACCGAGTAGTGGTATTTCAGGTCACATACTGAGGTGATGGTATCAGGTCTCATCCAGTATTGTGTTTTCTAGGTATTGAGGATGCGTGGTCAGAAATCATTAATCTTGTACCAATACTTACAGACAATCACACATAAAGGCAATTGATTGACTGAAAGCTGAGACAGGCAAGGGTAATATGGTTCCTGATCCCAGTGTCATTAGTTTCAGCTTGGATTTCAGGTGGTTGAAAGCTGATTACTTGCCTTAGATGGCCTCACCTAGTATGTGTATCCGGTTGTTGGTGTCAATAAAGGAGTTGTTCCCAGGAGGATTAGCACCCTGCTTGTTACCTGGATTTCCTTTGTAGAAGTCAATTATCAACCAGTCGTGGAATTTTGACTTTGATACAGTGCAAGACTCAATCAGGCATAGGCTTATGTAAATGTGGTTTATGGCACACAGATTTATCAAAGCTTCATTTACATAATTCCATTGTTATACCTTGTTCTTGTTTTTTCTTTTATCTGAGAAAAAATGTTATTGTAAATCACATGAGATGAATGTGGCCAAAAGTGATTTGTTTAAAAAGTGTGGAAAATCTGTTTGAGGTCGTAGATAAATCTATAATCAGATGGACACTGGGCCTGGAAAAGCAGCTTTGTCACAAGTCTGCATTAAGGACTTTGTCTCAAGTCTGTCATTAATGACTTTTTCTGAAGTCTGTCATTAACGACTTTGTCTCAAAGCTGTCATTAAATGCTTTGTCACAAGTCTGTCATTAAAGGATTTGTCACAAGTCTGTCATCAAATGATTTGTCACAAGTCTGTCATTAAAGGATTTGTCACAAGTCTGTCATTAAAGGCTTTGTCACAAATCACAAATGAGAATGACTCTGTTCCCTAAGTATTTATTGCAAGTTACTTAAGTTTGAATATTACCATTGTTCTTTTGGTGGTATATTTTTAAACCTTTACATTTAAACCCAAAACAATATTGTGAAAGGTTATATTCTATCCTTAGACAATAATCTTGTATTTTTTATACAACCCACAGACAATGACCTGATATGTTATTTATATAACCCACAGACAATAACCTGATATGTTATTTACATAACCCACAGTCAATAACCTGATAAATTATTTATATAAACCACAGACAATAACCTGATAAATTATTTATATAACCCAAAGACAATAACCTGATAAATTATTTATATAACCCACAGACAATAACCTGATGAATTATTTATATAACCCACAGACAATAACCTGATAAATTATTTATATAACCCACAGACAATAACCTGATGAATTATTTATATAACCCACAGACAATAACCTGATGAATTATTTATATAACCCACAGACAATAACCTGATGAATTATTTATATAACCCACAGACAATAACCTGATGAATTATTTATAAAACCCACAGACAATAACCTGATAAATTATTTATATAACCCACAGACAATAACCTGATAAATTATTTATATAACCCACAGACAATAACCTGATATATTATCTATATAACCCACAGAAAATAACCTGATATGTATGTGTTAACCCACAGACAATAACCTGATAAATCATTTATATAACCCACAGACAATAACCTGATAAATTATTTATATAACCCACAGACAATAACCTGATGAATTATTTATAAAACCCACAGACAATAACCTGATGAATTATTTATATAACCCACAGACAATAACCTGATAAATTATTTATATAACCCACAGACAATAACCTGATGAATCATTTATAAAACCCACAGACAATAACCTGATGAATTATTTATATAACCCACAGACAATAACTTGAATTATGTATATAACCCACAGTATTAACCCACAGACAATAACCTGATAATGTATAACCCACAGTATTAACCCACAGACAATAACCTGATGAAATTATTTATATAACCCACAGACAATCACCCACAGACAATTACCTGATGAATTATTTATATAACCCACAGACAATAACCTGATAAATTATTTATATAACCCACAGACAATAACCTGATAAATTATTTATATAACCCACAGACAATAACCTGATGAATTATTTATATAACCCACAGACAATAACCTGATGAATTATTTATATAACCCACAGACAATAACCTGATGAATTATTTATAAAACCCACAGACAATAACCTGATGAATTATTTATATAACCCACAGACAATAACCTGATGAATTATTTATAAAACCCACAGACAATAACCTGATGAATTATTTATATAACCCACAGACAATAACCTGATAAATTATTTATATAACCCACAGACAATAACCTGATGAATTATTTATATAACCCACAGACAATTACCATCCCGTTGGCCACTGAGTACAACTTACTCGACTATTCGTTCAGTGACTTTGGGCTGGATGACGACGACACCCTCAGGGCTAGCATAAGAATGTTTCTTGACCTGAACCTGGTGGAGCGCTTTCGTATTAACTATGAAGTAAGTGTTGCATCACAATTAATGTGTATTCAAGTTACAGCTCAAACCTTATTACAAGTTTGATATTAAACATTGATGTAATATATACATGTTGTATGTTTTATGTGGAAGGCTGATGTAATATATATGTTGTAGGTGTTATGTCGATGGCTGATGAGTGTGAAGAAAAACTACAGAAATGTCACATATCATAACTGGAGACATGCATTCAATGTGTCACAGACAATGTTTTGTATGCTCAAGGTAGGTAGAGTTATGCCCCTTGTTGTTTTTTTCAACCAAAAAATGAAAGTGCCAACCACTTTATTTCTACTAGTAGGAAACAGTAATTTTCTTGATAATATTTTATCAATTATCCATTGTCATTCAAAAGCAAATATAAAATCAAGGCCTTTTACAGGAATAAGATTTCAATTGATATTACATAAGTATATACATGTATCGTGTGACTGTGACGGAGGTGTACTTGTTTTGAGTTTAAAAAAAATTGTTTTCCCATATTACTATCTGCTGTAATAGATGAATTATATAAATTATTAATTAATGGAACTCTTCATCATGGGAGGTATAATCCGAGTGCAGAGTGCCCTTGTTCAGGTCATCCTTATGTTCTAATTTAAGAATGTGCTTCAAGTAAATTATGTTCAGTGATTGTTCTGCCTCTAGCAGTCTACACAAACTTCACAATAATTAACTTTTTACCTTTAGTTTTAATGAGAATCTCAATAGTCTTCCTGCTCTTGTAATATTTCAGTTGAACAAATTTTAATGCAGTAACTATTGTACATTATATATGATATTTTTTAGAAGGGACAGATGGACAATGTGTTCACAGACAAGGAGCGGCTAGCTTTAATGGTAGGCTGTCTCTGCCATGACCTCGATCATCGTGGAACCAACAATCAGTTTCAGAAAGAGTGAGTTTTGCTTCATGCCTTAGGACTATATATTGATTGATACAGATTATAAAAACTTTCTCATTGAAAAACTTTTTCTACATCAATACATAATCATGGTGTATCATCTTAATGTAAACCTTGATTTCATCATGTTTTCTCTGGTTTACCTCTCACTATAAGATAATCCCTAAATGGTTTGTTTGCTGGATCTACTGCCCTGTAAACAGCTCGGGTCATTTTACATTGGGGTTTCCCATTAGTAGCTATCAGCTACCTTACTGAACAACATTCAGGAGGCCCATCCCATACTATCCAGAGCAATTGAGGTAAAGTGTTTTGCCCAAGGAGACAACCAGGTCAGCACACACCAGTCCACTTCCTGAGAACACAAACCATGATTAGTAGGAAATGTTGAACTATACACCTCTGATGTTCACCCGAGGTGATGTGGGCCAACACTGTAACTGACTGAGCTATCATGGCCCCTCCCACAATGGTTCGATTAGTTTAATATAATGGCACTGTAAACATAGTTTACATGTGTGTTATTCTACACTTTCATTGCACTGTAATTGCTCTACGATCTAAAATTCAATTTTGCTTTACAACCTTATTTAAACCAAGCAACAAATTTCTTTATTATTTCTTAATTGCATGATAAAACTATAATCAATGTAGAATCTTTATTTCATACCCTCATTTCATACCTGGGTGTCACTTGAACATTTAAGTTTCAGTTCCATATCCCAATCCCCCAAAACACCTGTACCTTACCTTTGTATGTAAGTTTCAGGTCAATGTCCCTCTAACACACCTGTATTTTACCTTATATGCATTCATATTGCAGGTCAATGTCCAATTAAAACACATGTAATTTACCTGTATTTCTGTCTCAGGCCAATTTCCCCCGAACACACTTGTATTTTACCTATTTATGTATATATGTTTCAGATCAATAAGACACCTTTATTTTACCTGTATAGCTATGTTTCAGGTCTAAGTCACGCTAACACACATATGTTTTACCTTATATTCATATTGCAGGTCAATGTCCCAATTAAAACACCTGTATTTTACCTGTATTTCTGTCTCATGCCAATGTCCCCTAACACACCTGTATTTTACCTTTATATGTATGTCTCAGGTTAATGTCCCAACAACACACATTTATTTTACCTGTATATATATATGTTTCAGGTATAGTTCCCTCAACACACCTGTATTTTACCTGTATATAAATGTTTCAGGTCAATGTCCCCTCTAGCTGACCTGTACTCTACCTCGACATTAGAACACCACCATTTTGACCAGTGTATTATGATACTCAGTACCAAGGTGAGTACTATCATTACTGGGTACTTCAGACACCGTGAGGATATCTTAAAGGCAGAATTTAATGATAAACTTAAATTCTACTTATCAACAGTCGTTTTATTGGAAAACAGGAATACTGCACTGACAGCAGTTGGTAAGGCTTATCAGCCATCTCAACATGTTGTTTCAGATAGTGTTTCCAATGTCTATCCTTTTTTAGTCTGTGTCATACCTTGACAAACCCTCAGATTTGATTCATATCTACGGAAGCGTATTCCGGCCACGTTGTGTTTTATTTTAACTCGAAATTTCGAGTTAGTGATGCGAAATTTTGAGATATTAACCCGAAATTTCGAGATAGCAACTCAAAATTTCAAGTTAGTAATCCAAAACTTTGAGTTAGTAAGTCGAATTTCGAGTTGCTATATCAAAATTTCGGGTTAATATCTAAAAATTTTGGATAACTTACTGGAAATTTCGAGTTACTAACTCAAAATTCCGGATTACTAACTCGAAATTTCGAGTTGCTATCTCGAAATTTTGAGATAAAATAAAACACAATGTGGCCGGAATACACTTCCATACATATCTACTAGTAGTACCATAATATTAAGTTTTACACCTAGTTGTATTTTGGTGGTCATCAGTCATGGTTAAAGGACCAAAGATCACATTTGACATCTTGTGCAAATGATCAAACAATGACATGTTGGGTCTTTCATGTCTTACAGATATTTTCTCAAGTTTGACTTCTTATCCAAAACTGCAATTAGTACTAGTACTATGACAAAGTTGATATTAAAGATAAATGGCAGCTACCAACTTATATCATTGTAAAGTCATCTGAAAAGAACAGTCTCTTTTTCTTCTAGTTATGTGTAAACTTTCCTTTCAGGGAAATGATATTTTATCCAACTTGAAACAAAACGAATATGAAGAAGTAATTAACTTATTGGAAGCAGCAATACTATCAACTGACCTGGCTCTCTACTTCAAGTAAGTATATAGTATACTCATCACATAATCAGCCTGTTATCCAGTGAATTCACCCATGAAATATTTTTAGGTCACCTGACACAGAGTCTTATGGTGACCTTTTGTGATCACCTTCATCCAGCATCATGCCTTGTGCATCGTGTGATGTGGCCAGAGGGACGAGGCCAAAAGGTGTCAAATTGACTTGGATTTCAAAAATCTTCTTCTCAACACCCAGATATGGTAGAATTAAATGCTTTCATGGATGGAAGCATCTTAGGATTCTTTACCAAGCATTTGCCTGTGTTTTTTGTCGTTTATATAGGAAAAATAGATTTTTGAGCACAATTTGTTTAATTTCCATTGAAACTATATCAAACTTGACTTGTCAATTACGCGAGATTTAATTCTCTTTGTAATTATAAGTCTAGCTGCATATATCTATAAGGACGTTTGTGATACCATTGGAGTCTTGTGAGTTTTGGTAATCATATACCTTTGTGACTGATTTACTTCTTGCTTAATCTTAAAGTAAGTCAGTATTGTTATTTCCCTGTTTATATTATCTTTCACATATGTAATTATTTAACAAAAAGTATTTATATGACACTCATTGGTTAACTAGAAGCATAAGTCTAAGTTCACATGTAAAATGGCCTACCATACCTGTGATTATAACTATTTCGCAGCAACTAATTTTTCATAAATTTTGACTGCACAAGAAAATATATTGGTGTACAGTGTGATGGATTGTCTTCCCCTGTTCGTATTAAGTTTTTGTCTTTAGTTTACTGTATTTCAATATCAAATTTTTATTTGCTTCTTCCATTTTTCCCTTCTATTTTCAGATTCAGGGGAACATTTTTTGACCTCGTTGACAGTGGAAAGGCTGACTGGAGTTCGCGGGAGGACAGAGATCTGTTAAGGTAATTATTCTGTCATATACCCTAGGTCCTGTTATATAACCTATTTTGTACACCAGCCTAGATCTCCATAACACACCTGTGGTCATCATTTTTCAGTCATTGTTGGTGTGGTTGAGTTATTGGTTACATCATTAGAGGCACAGTCAGTGTTCCATTTTTAAGGAAAAAGGTATGGATGTCTAGAGGAAATGACCATTAGACATCCATTGGTCAAGCTCTGAACCCTTCGGTAATGACAGATTGTATATCTTGGAAATTATCAATTGGACTTATTGACAAGAACAGTATATTGCTGTAAATATTTTACTAAAGAACTTGAATGATCCTTGTTGCAGGTCAATGATGATGACTGCGTCAGATGTGTCTGCCATCACCAAACCCTGGGATGTCCAACTGGCGGTAAGTCATCAAACAGTAATTTATCCTTATCTTAGCATAAATGATATGTAAATGGAAAAACATAACTTAAAGCACAGTTTCAAATTGCTTCTACAGCCATCCCTCAGTGTGTATATATATCCTGTATACAAGTGTAAGTGTTCATGCTACCTCTATAGGGAATCTCAATAGGCCTTCATTATAATGTAATCTTGTATCAACTACAAAAAATTATTTTAGCCTATATATTTTGTTTTCTTTTAGGTTGCTGATCTCATAGCAAATGAATTCTTTGAACAAGGTGATATGGAAAAAGCCCAGTTTAAGATCAAACCTATGGTAAGAGACTTCTTTATGCCAAAAATGATTCGGGTCACTTAAAAACTGGACATATTTTCAATGTTCTTCAGTCCAAATCTATGGAAGCCTGAAAAGGGCATGATATGTAGAAACAGGGTTTTCATTGTGTATGCATGCATGTTATACATACATGGTACATATGACTAAGAAATATACATGTACTTTAATTTTTACATATCATTACATTTTTTTCTATATTTGTTTTTACAAAAGATAGTACAACCATGTGTGACATACAAACCTGAATTTCTGGTTAAATTCAGTATTTTAGGAGTAAACCTAGAATGATTTTAAGTTTTAATGTTTAACACACTGTCTTACAATAGTAACGCTATGTACATCTGTGTGTATTGGAGTGATTTTAAAAATAAACCTTTGTGTGTTCCAGGATATGATGGACAGAGATAAGAAAGATCGACTACCTGACATGCAGGTTAATTTCATTGATGTAATTTGTATGCCTATCTACAAGGTTAGTACAATTTCTCCACCAATCATATTCTACACTTTGTCCTGTGATGAAGTCAGAGAGCCATCAGATAGTTTCTTACTCAAATTAGACACTTGGCTTACTGCAAAATAAAGAAATAAAACTGAGAATTTACTTATGATAGAGATAATCTTATTATAGCATTTCTCATGCTGAAAATGTTGGGCTAAAATATTTTTGTACTGTTTGCAATTTCTGAATTCATTCATCATTGCATTAATTTACCAAAAAAGCCATTGGCTTAATAAATTGTATGATACCATCAATGTGACTGTACACAAGTGCAATTTGAATGTAAATATCCTAACTTTACGTAACATTTTATTGTAAATATCCTAACTTTAGGTAACATTTTATTGTAAATATCCTAACTTTAGGTAACATTTTATTGTAAATATCCTGTCTTTAGGTAACATTTTATTGTTAATGTCCTGATTTTTAGGCAATGTCTGATGTATCGCCTCACATGAATCCACTGTTAGAAGGATGCAAGAAAAACAGGCACAACTGGCACAGCATGTCATCTCATACAGACAAACACTCAGAGGATGAGAAGGAAAATGAAAAACAGAATGAGGAAGAGAAACATTCGGAGGAGAAAGCAGAGATGTCTACATCATGACACTAGTGGATCGACCCTACACATTCTGTAGTCCCATTGTTTTACCACTTAAATACCAATTTTGTTCATGACTCTGATCTTCAAATGTGTTATTTACCCAAGAAAACCTGTCTTCAATGTGTTGTAGTAATTTGTGGTGTGCCCTACAATCATGTAAAAATTAAGTGGAGCTCTCACACCAAGTTTTCTCCCCTTGATATTGTTATCAGTAGACAGTTAAGTGGGGCTGTCACACCAAGTTTGTCTCCCCCTGACATTGTTGTCATTAGACAAAAAGATGTGGCTGTCACATCAAGCTTGTATCCCCTGATATTGTTATCTGTAGACAGTTTAGTGGGGCTGTCACACCAAATTTGTCTCCCCTTGACATTGTTATCATGACAAAGAGGTGTGACTGTCACATCGAGCTTGTTCATCTCATGTATTACTGTTATAAGTAGACAATTAAATTAGACTGTCCCCATCCCCCACCACACTGTTATCAATGAGGTATGGTGGGGATTTTATCCTCTCGCAATGTTTTATGTATGTGTTACCAAGCAACCATTTGTAACGTAGATTTGAGATCTCAGGATTATTTATGAAAGTGTTATTTATTTCTGTTTCTATATTTTTAGCTGTATTATTTATTATTAAGAACACAAATATGTTGTGAGGGGTCTGTTTGGTAAGCTGTGTCTTTGGTACTGAGGTACACACTGCCAGCTCTCGTACAATGACAATTGGTTGTTGTGTCTGGGTAAAGTTATACCTTCAACTGGGAGTCAAGACATTTCTGTGATGACAGTGATGAGATGTTGAACAAATTTCCCTATGTGAACAGTAATAGTTATTGTAGGTCTTGATATTAAACTGCATTTATTTGTAACAACATTACAGGTAACTTAATAGTTTTTACTAAGCCTTATAGGGCATATGTAGTACATATGAACCATGATTCTAGTATAGTAGATTCAACGGATTATTCTTCATCTGCAAAGTCATTCCAGTTTGACTTTTCTGTATTTTCTGAAGTTTTAAAAAATTGTACTTCACTATTTGGAAAGTTATAAAGCGTACACATATGGCTATGGAATACATAGTCCATTTACCAGTACAAATGTTTCCTTCTGTTTCATTTTATCTTTTATCATATCTTTACACATGTCCATAGATCTAGATAAGTGTAATTAATTGAAATATATTTACTGAACATACCTGTAATATATAAACACTGGCCTGTCCATCAAATTCCACAATAGTAGATATGTTATATCTGAACCCTGCTTTGTCCTGTTGTCTGATCCATCAATATCCACAATAGTAGATATGCTATATCTGAACCCTGTCCTGTCCTTTAGTAGATGCCTGTTGTATCTGAACCCTGCTCTGTCCTATAGTAGATGCCTGTTGTATCTGAACCCTGCCCTGTCCTTTAGTAGATGCCTGTTGTATCTGAACCCTGCTCTGTCCTTTAGTAGATGCCTGTTGTATCTGAACCCTGCCCTGTCCTTTAGTAGATGCTTGTTGTATCTGAACCCTGTTGTATCTGAACCCTGCACTGTCCTATAGTAGATGCCTGTTGTATCGGAACCCTGCTCTGTCCTATAGTAGATGCCTGTTGTATCGGAACCCTGCTCTGTCCTATAGTAGATGCCTGTTGTATCTGAACCCTGTCCTGTCTAGTTGTCCTGTCCATCAAATTCCAAAAGAATATTTAAACCCTGGTCTTTCCTGTTCCCCTAATCAAATTCCACAAAAGTAGAGACTTGTAATATTTAAACCCCAGTCTGCCTATGAATTAAGGCTTTTTTGTAGCATTATTGCAAAAAGAGTGTTACTGACTCAGATTTATTATTGATTAAACTTGCTTTATGACATTACTTGGTCAAGATCTGACCCCTTTTCAATGTCCTGTCACTCTTTGAGACCACATCACATTAACTTTAAAGTGCTGGCCCAATTTTAGTGTTTCATTAAAATTTAAGGCTATTTCATATTACCTGTTACAATCTGGCTCCATTTTAGTGTTTACCTGTTACAATCTGGCTCCATTTTAGTGTTTACCTGTTACAATCTGGCTCCATTTTAGTGTTTACCTGTTACAATCTGGCTCCATTTTAGTGTTTCATTGTACTTTTGAGGTGATATGCATTGTAAATGATGAAACCAAGATTTGTTTAAATTAATATTGAAATGTAACACAAATCAACAGTTATTCTTGTGACAAATGTCTGAGTCTGAAATCTAAAATATATTGTTGAAAGGATTATTTACTTTCCTCAGTCTCCAAGGGATGAATTCCCATATCTCATGATCCTACCAACTCAATTCCTCCTTAGAAAAAGTTCCTACATCATCCATATCTCATGACCCTACCTACTCAATTTTTTCTTGGAAAAAGTTCTAACATCATCTATTTCTCATGACCCTCCTTAACCAGTTCCTCCAGGGAAAAAGATCTCACGTCACCCATTTTTCATAACCTTCCTTTCTCAGTTCCTCCAAGGGAAAAGATTTCACATCACCTATTCATCATGACATTTCCACCTTAGTTCCTCCTAGGAAAAGTTCCCACTTCACCCATATCTTGTGACCTTCCCAACTCAGTTCCTCTGAGGGAAAAGTTTTCTCAGGACCCTTACTCAGTTCCTCCAAGGGAAAAGATCTCACATCACCTATTCATCATGACCTTCCTTCCTCAGTTCTTCCAAAGGAAAAGTTCACCCACTTCTCATGATCCTGTACTTTCCAAAATTATACTGGATTTTTGGTATGATTCCAAAACTTTGTTTTAGACTGTCTTCTAACATAAACTAAAATTTTCTATATGAACACAAAAATTTTAAGTGCTAAAATAATGATCAGTGAAACATGTCTTTTTAGCAGTAAATGTAAGCCTGTCAAGATAAAGTAATGTCGAGGTTTTTATCACTGTTTTCTTTTCTTATACATGTATACCAAACAGTTTCTCTTTTGTAGATGGTTATAGAAATAGATTGGAGTTCCAACATACTCTTTGGTGTTCTATCTTCCTACTATAGTAAAGAGGGATTACACATTTAATCAGCAAATAGTTGGTCCCCAAAGTATTGTTATAAAAGTTTTTATTGTTTTACAGTATAATTGTATGTGTTTTCGTTTTATATCATATCAAGTAATGGTTGTGTACAACTATGGAATACCACAGTACAGAGGTCTGATATTATTCATTAAAAACATCTAGAACCCTAAAACCAATAGTAAAATAACCATGAAATCATCAGTTACTTACTGACAACTTGAAATCATCAGTAACTTAATTCAAAGCCCTCAAATAACCAGTTACTTACTGTTAACCTTGAATCAACAGTTACTTGCTGTTAACCCTGAATCAACAGTTACTTGCTGTTAACCCTGAAATCAACTGCTACTTATTGATAACCCTGAAATCAACAGTTACTTACTAATAACCATAGATTCACCAGTTGCTTACTGAAAACCCTGAAACCTGTAGTTATTTACTGATAACACTAAAACCACCAATTACTTATTGAAAACCATAAAACTTGTTTACTTAATGTAACCAGAAAAATATTGATTACTCCCTGAGAAACCTGAAACCATTTTTGCTTACTGATAACGTTAACAACAGCTACTTACAGATAACCCTAAAACTATTGGTTAAAGCATTAGTTACTTAATGATGATTTTAAAAAACCACCAGTTACTTATCGATAACCCTGAAGCTATTAGCTACTTTCCAGTATCTCTAATATTATCAGCTACGTGTACTTACAAAAATGTGTTAACCAACATTTAATTACAACTTTCCCTGAAACAATCAATGACCTTTACCCCTAAAACCGCCAGGTACTTAAATATTATTTGCTAAGTATGTAAATACAGCCTTCAATACGAATGCAAATTACAAGGACATTTTACAATACTACACATGTATTTTCCTTCCTTAACGGCGCTAAATGAACATTTAGACAAATCAAGACATTTGTTCTTTTCTTTAAATTTCTGTAACACAATATGTCCGGATATGAAATCTTGTTCAAACATCAATAGCAGATACTATGAAGGGCTACCAACTGCAATTTATATTTTGTCTTAACTACAACAACAAAAAAACAAAAATGGAAAATAAAGTTTCCATGGTTAAGACTCTTTGAACTGCAGAGAAAATATGGAAACATATTTTTTTTCTAGTTTGATGACATTATTATATCCACTAAAGTAGGCCAATGTTTACTGTAACATTGATTTTGTGTACCCAGTAAAATTCCCATAATTAACTTTATTCTAATATTGAATCATTGTTTAGAAAAGCAGAACCTCTGTAGCATAGGTTGTCAATAGTTATTTTAAACAAAATATGGTGTTTAAGCTATTTTAATTTCATTAGTTTTCTTTATGAACTTCATAAAGAATATTGATTTTGGAATTCTCACCTTTTTATGTAAAGTGTAACTATTAATGATTTTGCAAGACTTCATCCTACATTGTGATGTATTTCTCTGTGATAAAATTATACATATTTAATGCATCTTATTTTGTTATTATCCATACCATGTCTCGAGAATAAAATTGTCTCTACTTTTTCTTGTTCCTCTTTTAATGTTCAACAGAAAGTTACAAGAGTTTCCTCCCTCTAATAACCAGTTTGAACCAATATCTAATGCAACATCTTGACTTATTTTACCCTCCACTTAGCAAGGCAGGGTTGGTAAATAGTAATCACTCTGTGAATCCATGATGAACTTGTGTACAAGATATTCCTTGAACCAATAGACACTTAGCTCATATTCACAGCACAACACCCCAACCTAGGTCTCCACATGAAGATTTTGGTGGTGATGGGTTGAGGCTAAGGGTTTATGGCCACCTTTAACCATTTCTCAAATCAAACCCTTATACCTTAAGGACCCCCGAACATTTTTACTTCCTACTCACAAAATAACTTCTTTCCACCAACATCTACACATGATTACATTTTAGTTATCAACAATCATGGTTTAAGATCAATGATCACCCCAGACCACTTTTAATGTCTGTGTACAAGGTATCTCATGAACCACTTACTAGATGAACACCTCAATAGATTTTGATAAGAAAGACAAATAGAGGGGTCTTGGGTATATCTATGTGAGCTCCGGCAGCTCACTTTGTTTTATTTAACTAGTGAACTTGCCATATGATTATTCCATCTCCAAATAACAATTGATGTAAATTCAGGTTCAAATGAAAAGCATGAATTTGGTTCCTTAGGAGGTAAGGATGACGTAACCCTGGTAAAAGATCACAATAAATCACCAAGCTAGAGAGATCATCTCTTTCTCTCCCTTGGTCGAGTTCAGGACAAGTAAGCCAGAGGTCTAGGGTTTGAATCTTAGTGGAGGCACAAGTAAATAGTGACCTGTTTTACTGCATTACATTTTACCAAATGCATTTGGTAACTTTCACTTCCATTTTCTCTGGTCTTGTTCTTGTGATTAACACCCGATCAAAACAAATTGTACATAGTCATCTCCTGATCACTCATACAGTTTCATCAATACCATTAAAATAGTATGCACTACAGGTCAAAAATAGATTAAGATTGCAGTAATCGCAGCTCTCTTGAATTTCGTCTTCATTTAAAACACGATAGAAATTGAGTTCTGATCATTCTTACGATTCCAGGAAAAAGTTTACAGTACCCCATAATTTCACATTTCACATGTAAATGAAAATTCTAACTCAGGTTAGTTGTATTTGATCTTTTTCCGAGTCAAAAAGGCTGAAAACAGTCAATTAGCTGATCTTCATGTCTTTCAAGACTTGAAATTGAACTTGAATCACCAATGAAAAAAATTACAACAAATTTCAGCTTTTTTATTTTTATTTTTTATTTTTTTTTTCAAAACTTGTGCAGGCAGACAATACAAATTTGTAAACATACACCATCTTATTAAAACATGGAATTTGTTTAAATATTTTCTTTTTGTATTTTGCCAATATTAAGTCAATTATTTTTCTAGGTGGCTGAAACACCTGTAAGCATATGTAGCTGTTCTTCTTTGAAGATGAACACCAGAACACATGTGCCACAGCTGTGTGAAAAACTGAACAAATTATCTACACCACATACAAATGATTTGCACACATTTAGTCACATTCACTATTGCCCCTGCTACTAGTATGCAACACTAGGACAGGCAATGCCAGGTCAGGTCATAATGTTGTTAACTTGTGATTGCTCTACCAACATACCCTGGGAATCAGCAAAATACTTTCTAAAGCTGAGATGGACTTAATTTATCAAACTATACATGCGTTGGAAGGATAGAATGCAAATTTAACACCAGGATCATATTTAAAATAAGACCACTTGTCTTGCATTCTCAAAGGCAAATAAAGAAACTGTTATTGGGAATTGTTGAAATAATAATTCTAAAAAAATCATATATAGTGTGATATTTGGCACTTGTATGGTGATGTGCCTAACCTGGATCTGTCTGTCCATGTAGGAGCCTAGTCCACCTCTCACACACATTAACACATGGAGTGTACATAACTGTCACAATTAGAATAGGGCAGTATTGTAGAGAACCTCAATCACTGGACTATATATTTATACTTGTTCATTTCTTGTTAGCGGAGCAGTACCTGGGATAATAGAACAACAGTTGTACCCGAGAGCATCCACGAACACTTTATATTTTGTTGTTTATTTTCTACTATTAAATATGTGAGATTTCATCTTGAAAGACTATTGGTACCATTTAGCAAGTTTGCAGACACCAGTCTAATGCCAGTGTTGAGAGGCTCACAACATCTGAATGTCCTTGGCAAATCTTAGACAATACTTCATCACATTGTTATATCACGCCCACTGCCATGTAGGTAGCAAGTTGCACCACAATTGCTGAAGAAAATAAATATTCTGTTTTCAAGATGTAAACCAATTTTAGAGATCAGTCTTTAACGTGAAATATTCAATATAAAATCTGCATACTATCCTGTCAGTACCCTCCGACTAGCAGATGAATCAATTTCAAATCAAGGGGTAGGAAAAAAAGGAGAAATGAGAAAAGAATTAAAATGCATGAATAGCAGCATTCCTTATGTTTGTTCTATCCTGCACTTTCGGGACTAGTAAAAATTGTAATATTCAGAAACCAGGAATGTTGACATATTAAAGTTACAATAAATTAATAGTTATATTTCCTAGTCTCTGTTGCACTATGATATTCAATGGAAAACAATTTCTGAAGAAAAATTTTCCACAAGATATGAGAATCAATTTAAACATCCCAAATTCAAGTGACGTTTTGCATAGTACTCTCTTATCTGAGGGAGGGACAAAATTAAAAAAAAAAAAAAAAAAAAAAATGAAATAAATTAAATGTGACCACTTTAAAAATCACTTTCACATAACATTTGAAAATGGGAGATCTTTTGTTATCTGCCTTTGCGTCGTTTTATTTCTTCTAACGATGAAAACATCTATGCCTTGATGGAACCACGACCTAAGGCATATCCAATATGTTTCACATAAATATGAAGTAGGAAAAATGCAAAAAGTACTTGTTTACAGAAAATATGCAATTCTGTTTTCAAAACCTATGTATACAATGCATTAATAATTTATATACATTGACCACTGTTGACCGATTGAGACCCGTTCTGCACAAATATGCTGCACTGTACATTTATTTACAACAAATACATAATGTCAGATAATCGGCAACAATGGGGATACCATCTAGTAGGAATGATTCTATTTAATTCTTTGTTTCACATAAAAGAGATTTGAGTCCGTATGAAATTAAGGTCATGGGAACCCCAGCCCATTCAACATGGTCAGTGTCAGCTGGTCAATCGATGTTACAAGTCATTATACATCCTCGCACTCTTTTACATGAAATAAATATTAAAAAGCATGTTCATCCTATGCTTCAATCAGCAAATTCAGTTAAAGTTACTGTACACAAAATATTTGATGGCACTAGTTCTGTACATAAATGGGATAGTCCTTAATACTAAATTCTATCCCTTAAGTTAATGTTATACTTGCTTTGTAACTGAATTGACAAGCTAGTCAGAATTGCATACTTTCTAGAAGCACCAACTGGAAAGACACACCAATCAACGTCTTGATCCAGTCATCATGCCACCACCGCCGCCTCCTCTCCCCCCACCTACGCTGCCTCTGTCTGGCCTTGGACCACCCATACCCCCACCTCCACGAGACCCTCCTCTGCCCCCCATGCCGCCTCCCATTCCGCGTCCAGGGCCTGTCATGGTGCCTCGCATCCCTCCTCTTCCTCCCTGTCTTCCTCCCTCACCACGTGCCTTCTTTTCTTCAACATTCAGGCGATGTTCCCCGTTGAACATTATTGGCTATCAAAAGAAACAAGCTAATAAAGCAACTGGTCAAGTTTGAAAAAAACTGCAAGCAATAAATCATTTATAAATTCAAACAAATGCTGACAGCAATATGCTATGAACTGAGAGGAAATCTTCAAAGTTCATTTTCTGATAAAGTGTAAACATCACTTTCAACTTTTGAACTACAATGTAAATAGTTTTTTTCTTCTTTGAACACAAACTTGTTTACAATTTTGTGGTACAAGTTATTACCTTATTACTCAGAATATTCTTTACAGGATCTGCATTATCAAATACCACAAAGCCAAAATTCTGAAACAAAGAGATGAAAACAATTCAAATATGGGGACATATAAGAAGCAGATAAACAAACATAGGGTAGACATGCTGATTTATTTTCACTGTAGTATCACTTCATTAATAGTAGACTTGCTCTTAAAACTAAGAATTGCTCTATAATTTTAACCCACAGCGAACAGAGTAATGACCTCTCTATTCTTTGAAAGTTTCAACATATTGCTTATAGTCAAAAATGCAGGACAATTAAAGCACACAAAAGAAACAAAATTTGAAGGAGAACAATGTGTAACTCTGTTAAATACTAGCCATAATATACCATCTGGCTAGAAGATCTTCAGTTTTGCTCTATCAGATGAGCAGAAGATTAGTCATAGTTAGCCAGAGGTACCCAGTTCAAATCCCTGAAGAGGCATTGAAATCAATAATGACCTCCATTACATAAGCATCAATGTAGGAATAATACTTAGTCACGCTGCATAAGCAGCCTTACAACCCCAAGAAACTCTTAGAGTCCTATCCTGAAGGAGTGTATGTAACCCTGGTAAATTCTAGCTGCAACTTGACCCGTCATCTTGAGGATAACTAATATACAAAATTTGGTCAAAACTCTATGAAAAATGTCAAAATAGTTGAAAATTATTTTTTGGCTAGCCCTTATGCCCCTATAGACCAAGTTTTGTAAAAATCGGGTAATATGTACATTTCAATCAATCAGAGGACATTTACATTAACATGGCTGTCATGTGGTATTTGGCAAAATTTGGTCAAAATCAGATATCTAAATGATCCCTCTCCCCAATTCCGCATTTGCATTGCTGTAACTCCAAGAAACATGAGGAAGAATTCTTTCTCTCCTTGAGGAGGAGTATGTAATAATGGTAAATGTTAGTTGCAATATACCACTCAGTTTGATATCTCTTCCATTTGACTGGTTGAGCACAAGACCAGTTGAGCATAAGACTAGTAAGAAACCAGAGTCCTGAGATTGAACTCTTTGAGTTACAGTGAGACCCTGCTAATACTTACAGGCAATTTACCACCACTACCCTTGGTATTTATTCTCAATTCCACAACAGTACCATATCCTGCAAAGAGACAATTAAATACATAATTTGGCCACCTTCTCTTTACTGCATTAAAAGAAGACAATAAAATTCATATTTAAACTGTCATCTAAACCATAAATATTGAATATAAACAAAATCTTCAAAGACTTCACTTTTAAAATTTAAACTAGAGAAGATGCATACCAGTGAAGAAATCAACCAATTCTTTTTCTGTGATATTGTGTGGAAGATTTCCAACAAACAGCTGATGGCTGTCTGGGTGTCGTGAAGCACCTCCACCCATGGAGCCTCCTCGTCGGCCACCCTGGCTGTCTGCATCTCCATCACCCTCACCACGCCCAAAACGATCTCGATCACGGAAACGGTCACCCCGCTGTTGTCTGCAGTAATGAAAATATCTTTTATAAACACTGAATGAAAAATCTGTTGCTACCTTAAGAAGATTACAAAACAAAATAGTGAGTGACAGATATGGAGAGACTGATAGATTAATTGTAATTAATTGATGACAGCCTGAAACAACTTACCTTGGTGCTCTCTGTGGCTGTGGGGCACCTGTAGGAGCAGTAGAATCCTGTTTTGCCTCAATCTTTGGGAAACCTTGTGTAGGTGGAGCTTTGTATGTGACAGATGGTGCTGGAGGCATGGATGGGGGAACTGTGGATGAACTGGTGCTGTTTGCCTTCTTCCCAGCCATAGCAGCCCAGGACAAACTCTTTGGTTCTGTAAGTGAATTCAAAATGTTGAAAGAGTTCGATAGATTAATTTATGTACATGGAATACAATTATAAAGTAGGTTTGGTATTAATAGTACCTGTAATTATCAACAATTTTGAGTTTAATAGTAATGTTGACACTGCTGGAACTGGAAAAGTAATGCTAACATCTTGTTCTGCACTTATATGCCAGATAAATTATACCTAAATAAAAAAAAAGAAATGTAATAGTACCTTCTGTGAACTGTGTTTCCAGATGTGCTGGTTCTTCAGGTTCCTGGGGCTCTGGCTCTACTGAAGTTTGTTCTTCCACCTTATCCTGGAATATTTCCTCAGTTAGCTCAGCTTCCTCCTCTTGTTTAAGCTCTTCTTCCTCCTCCTCGGACTTCTGTGAGGCAGAGTCTACACGTTCTTCCAGATGTGCAGTGCCATTACTATGAGAAACATTCATACACACAAAATTACAAATCACGTTTAAAATTGCATTTTCACAATCTGCCTTGCTATTTAAAAGTCCCTAAAACTCTGTACATATTGTCATTGCATATCCTTCAAACTTGATACTAGTATGATAGCATAATATTTGAATACAAGAATGGTATCATGCAAGAATCAATCTTGAAAAACAGAAATATGATACATGCTAACAGTGAAAAAATCAATAAAAAAAATGTCTGTCTAGCACTAAATCCTTGCCTACTATTGACCATCTCCTGTACATTGGGGAGTTGCCTGGCAATAAGACCACTCCCTCTTTTTGGCCTTAAAATGCCCTAATGAAATCAAAGCTTTTCTCCAGTAAAAAAACTCCACCCCTTCACATATTATCAATCAGTAGTGTTTGCCAAACTACGCCGGACCATCAGACAAGTGCGGTAAAATTTAGATTGGTCCGGTAAAAGTATGTGGTAACATTGGACCAAACATTTGGTTGTGCTCTGATTGTTTTTGAGCAGCATGAACCTTTTTTTAATCAAAACACATTGACAACTTTAATTTTCAGTGCTTGAAGTCCACATATATCGCAGTAAGACTGGGGACCTAAAACACTACCTTCTTATATATAGTTCTTATTGACTATTCAAACTGTTGTTTGCATAATAGGCTGTATATAGTTGTGATCATGGTGTCGTAAAAGCTAAAGCCAGTTAAGTGATATTGCGGTCATGTGTATAAAATTTAGTACTTGTAACAACATTTTTGTTCTTTGTTGAGTGATGTCAAGTCAAGAAGCTTTCACAGTTAAAGTATCATGAATTAAATTACAATTTATACAAGGAACTTTCTCAGTTCAATTTACCTGACTTAATGTCCTGTAAAGATTTTCAGTGTTTGGCAAGCACTGCTATGCAATGGGCATGTAACATAGGATTAACATAATGCATATACAGATGTATTATTCAAAGCATAAGTATTTTTATCCCTACTCAATTTGTGACTCCAGCTGGAAATCTGTACTTGAGGTAGACACCAACCTCAGAGCAGATGGGGGTTCGCTATAGTATGTGGCTATGCTCTGGTCCGGGACCACTTCCTGCACAGAAGAAGGGTTGGAGTCCACATTTTCTACATCAGAATCTACAACAAAACAGAGAATATTTGTAAAACTCAAAAGAATCTATAATTGATGCTATAACTATATAAACTGGTGTTGAATAGTCTCTACATGAAGCTGATCAATTACAAAGAAAAGCTTGTCTTATGCTAGTCTTAAGCTCAACTAATAGAACCTTAGAAAAGTTCAGGGTTACATTTGGTTTGGATAATGTGCTGTTTTCATATTAAAATACCTTCATCTTGGTTTTCTGTGTCCGTGTCATTGTCATGGAAAACCTCATCCTGGTAACGAAAGATGTCATTGTGGACATAATACTTCTTAGGAGATTGAGGAGCAAGAACAAAGGTCTGCATGAAACGACGCATTGGCTGTCCATTGTTTGATAATTCTCCAGTCACCTGTACAAAAACAAATTGTATGTACACTTAAAGCAATTCTGGAACAAATGTAACAAATGTGACAAAAAAGCCCTATCTTTTGTTTACTGAAATTGGTTGATTACTGAATATGACATCGTTTTCTTATAATTCATTGTAGTTCTAGACTAGACCATACAACAGCCATTTATGTTTTTCTTTCTGGTTTAGATTAATTTTGCAAATTTTGCAAAAAATGTCCACATTAGTCAAGAGGAAGAACACAGCATGAATAATATTGAGACAATCTAAACTAAGCTATAACCTTGCAGGAGGAATAAATCTTGTACTGGAATAGTTCTAAATATCAGTATCTACCTTGAAGTCTTTCCATTAAGAGATAAAACAAGATATTGCAAAATATGTAACCTTGTCCATTAAGCATATAAAAATCATATTACCTGTACCACTACTGCATTGCCTACTGTTGCCTGGCTGTCAACTTGTCGGATCTTAGCATGACAATCACGGAAGTTCAGAGACATAATCTTCTTATGAATATCCTGAAATTAAAGGTCATAGTGACTATCAATATGAATATATCACACATTCGTGATAAAAAAAAAGTAGAAAACCAATCAATTATTTTGAAATGCCAAGTGCTTAATTATAAATAGAAAAATTTGAAGATTCTGTCATCATCTATGCCTAATTCATTATCATTCAGTGGATTAAATAGAACAACTCAACAAAACAAAGGTAGCATCAACCTAGATAGTTTCCTATTAGTATCTAGTTTTGACACCAATTCCAAAATTTTTTATGAGACTTGATCCCGAAAGATATAGTGTTGTCTCAAACTATGAGTGAATCCCACAAAAAAAAAAAAAAAGCTTAAGTCCAGAACTCAAATATCTCAGCTCCAAAATTCAACAATTGTTTTAAACCTGAAATTCATCAGAAATTCAAAGTAAATATGGAATACGGATTTGAATGGTTCAGATTTCCTAATAGAAATAACTTTCTGTTCAGACAATATTTATGGAAACAATATTTATGTATCATGAAAGGATATATAAACAAATTTTCATTATTGTCAATTAAATGTTAACACCATTATCATCATGGCGTAAAACTGTTCAAAATAGAACTTAGAGCCTAGTTGGTCATTCGCTTTATATAGTAATAACTTCAAAAAATTTTGGGGATGGCTCATCAGATCTATTTTCATCTTCTTCATCATTTCTTTTTAATCTGTTTATTTTATTCCTGTATTTACACAACACAACTTACAACTTGTCCCATGACTGGAGGCTGTTCTTCACCAGGTTTCTCAACGCCACCATGTACAAAGCTGGAATTGTGGCTATAAAATCTGCAAATAGATGTTTTTTTGTACAACAAGCAAATATAATAAACACCACATTAGTTTGATAACTGCAGAAAGCTGAAGTTATACTACTGGACTGAAATTCTTTTCTACTGATTGGAGAAGTGAATTTGACTAACTGCATTTACTACAGATCCAATTTTTTCCCCAATTTGATCCACATATTAGTTGCACTGGAAAATAAGTCACACCCTTTCTCACGATATAGAAACTACAGTTTTTTGATGTAACAGACAACACAAGACAATTTAACCAGATAGTTTGTGAAACATTTAATAAATTTTGCAAGTGAATTGTGCACAAATTATCCTTAATTTACTGACGTATTTTTTAAGTTATTCTGGTCATTCAAATAAAAAACATGAAATAGCAAATATCAAACTTGCTTGGCTCAAGGCCTTCAAAGATTGCCAGTGCACAGATCTAGATATAGGGCCTAAAGTTACACATGGCTTACTAAAATATCTCTCCACTAGTGTCTGTAGTGTTAAATATCAACAAAGGCCCTTGCATACTGACCAAATTCTTTTAGTCCCATAATAAGTTTTCTTTTAAGCTACACAAACCCATTCATATTGTAAACAAACGTGGTGCTTGTTCTAGAACTTGGATTTCCCCTAATTATTCTTATGATCTGGAAAGTACAGTATTTAGTTTGTGTAAGTTGTTTAAGGAGTACAAGAGTTGATTCAAATACTTTATCAGTTATTGTTTATTTCACAATCCCTGTAACTTCAGGATAAAGTTCAACTGTACACATCTTGTTTATCTTGTTATCTATATTTTCAGTATCTTGTAGAATTCTTTTTTTGGACTGTCCAGTATATACATCAGCAACTAAGAACTTGCATATCTTGAGATGTGATAATGTCTTATTCAAGCCATGCAATCTATATCAAAACAGATACTATAAACCTTGTCAGTCCGATCTGAATATGAATTTAGAGTTCAAACTCTCAAAGTTGACATTGACCAAAACTACAACAAAGTGTTTAAAAGCTTCCTAGCAAGGCTGTAAAGTACCAGTCAATAATGATATTTTCTGAAATTTAGAAATTGTCTGTCAAACATAAATGACCTGCTGACAAGTGAAATCAGTATTCTATAAAATTAGACAATCACTTTGATCTTGATACCATGAAACATGCACCAAAAAATTGACCTCTTAATGGTGGGGCATATACATGTTGATTATAATATGATCATCTTTTGAAATACTTAATTGTACTGCAGTACATGTCATTCAACTGAAATGAAATCTCAGACCTTATTTTGTGCATCATGTTGGATATTGTGACAAACAAACGATGTTAAATGTAGCCCCCAAAACAACATGTCTGCTTGTGTAGTCGCAGAAATTAACAGATCAGTATGTGGAGTGTGGATTAAGATTTAACATGACTACAGATTAAACAGGGCTCTCCATCTGCCAGATTTCGGGCCAATATTCCGCCCCATTCCCAATGCAAAATATTATCTTTTTTCCCAATTTAGACCCGAAGTTTTCCCAATTCTAAGGAAAACACCATTATTTTCCCAATTCTAAGGGCCCCGGGCCCCAGTCCCAAAATGGGGTATGAGAACCGTTGAAAGTTTGTTAAAATCTCACTGACACCCACCAAAACTGGGATAGTCTTATCAAAATGTGAAGTGAAACACTGTTGCACTTTGAGAGTATATGTTGCTGTTCTGTGGTCCATATATATATGGTAATCATTTGTAATACAGAAAGTGAAACAAGATTAGGAAGTGTTCAAAATTTCACAGACAGAAGTTATTGTTTTTATTGAAAAATTTCTGACTGAAGATTTACAGTAACATGTCACAAATTTCCGTAAATGATGGATAAAGCAACTATCTATATAGAAATAATATGATGAAAAAAGGACCTTAAATTGGTCACATTACCTGTGGAGATGCAGTGGGGCCTCATGAAGCAAGGTGTAGTACTGCCTCACAAACTCGCGGCCAACACACTGTGGGCTTGGGGTTTCCATGACCATGACTTTACTTTATCAAGTAATCTGTAAAAATAAATGTTATTTCTAGAATACTCAATCCAAGATTTATCATCAAATAATCAGAAAAAATAATGTTTTAGTTCAGGGGTGCAGATTAACGGTCGCCCAGTCGCCCAATGCGACCAAATCATTAGCTGGGCTACTGAATGTTGTTACCTCATTTGCCCACTTGGCGATTGGATTTTCAATTTAATGATCTTATGTTTCTGTTTCTGAAAAGTTCAAATGATCTCATCACGATAAGAAATCATTAACGAAGTATTTAGCCTAGTTGAACGGCAATAATCACAGTCGTATCATGCTATTTCAAACCCGGAAGCATAAACATTGCAGTGACTCAGATTCCTCATATTATGATAAAGCACCATGCTGTAGTTATTGATGAATTTGTAACCATCAACATAAATTTTTATCAACATTGGGAGTTGAAACAGACCTTCGAATTTTCAGGAACGAATACCTCTTTCCTGAACATTATATTAACAAAACCACATTCTAATATTTGGTATAATGTATCTACTTTATCGCATGTATAACCAAATGGATTTGGGAATATTTCAAACTGAATTCAGAGAGATCTGGAACTGAAAATAAGCTACACTAAGCAGTTTTACTGTATAAAAATAACTAGTCATCACCAGACTAACATTCTGTATTGAAGTATTGAACATCAGAATGAGGAAAATGTTTCTGTGTAACAAAGTTGATTACAAGTACCCAATTGACTTATGAAAATCTACTACACAAGCCATTTTGGTAACGTTATTAAAGTCAATACGTAAATAGATGGGGATTAGCTCTGATTTAGGAATCTATGTGTTGAACATTTTCCAGACTTGTAAACAAATTGTTCAGTCTTCACTTGTCAGATGACAAAACTAAGACAAGAAGGTAACATCTCACCACATGATCCAACTCAAAATATTGTTTTACTACCAGCTCTTCAGATGACTTTTATGTGTTTCGTTATTCTAACTGAAGGTATATTTCATTAAAATTAAACCTGAAACTTTAAATAATATTTGTTTTACATTTATATGTAAAAGATATATTAATTACTCAAATAACTGCTGGTATCTAGTGGAGTTTCTGAAAAATAAGTACATGTTCTTATTGTTGGCATCTCTATCAGAAATATTAAAGGAATATTTAAATGCCAGAATCTGCTATTTGTTTCAGCTCTAGTGAACATTTCATTCACTATCATAAGCAATAAATACAGTTATATGCCTAGTTTATGCAAGTCATAGCAATTGTATCTATTTACAAAAATAAACTCAACCACTTCCCGGATTTCTTTCACACAGTGTAAATTTCTGGAGGTATAAGCAATACAACACGATTCTGCAAGCCATTTATACCAGACAAAGATTATTACCATTAAGATAAAAATAATCTCCAGTAACACTGACCAAATGTATACAATTTCGGCTTCAAATGTACAATATAAATACTGGCGATTTAAAATCAGATAGTATTTCTGACTTGAAAGTCGTGAAAACTTCTATTGATCGCAGAACTATTCAACTAATTACTGATCTGCATACATTCCAAATTTGGAAAATAATACCATGTGGAAATCCCAAACCTGAAATACATAAACGATGTTTTTTCATGAAAACTTCAGAAAGAAGAAACAAAATGACATTTAATGATATGATAAACGCCATATTTGCAAAAACATTTCGGTGAGAACATGTTCAAATCGTGTTTTTCTCGGCCTTTCGGTTTGTGGCCTGCATTATCAAATTACAGAGCCACGTGATAGGTCATGCAATGTATATTCAGTCACATTTACAAGAGAATGGTTAGTATTTTTGAATTATGATGTATGATTAAACAATATAACACAATATACATGCAATTTAGATTTACAACAAGAACAGTTTTCTAACAATGAGTCTGTAAAACACACGGAAGACACGATACACCACGATACACGAGGTAACCCGGTACCGTCATTCAATCTGATAAAATACAGTTTCTTTGACAAATACTCACCTCAAAAATTATGAAATACGATTTCTAGGTGTGCTATCCTCATAAATACATTAGAATGTTTTAATAAGGGCGTCTAAGATAGGTGAAGAGTTGATGAATTTCTTCGTAGAAAATTTGTTCTGGCACATGCAGTTGCGCAGAAGTGGTCTGAATTTACGCCAATTTTAGCGCATTCGACGGGGAACCCATGTATCAGAGAAAAAAGACCCCAAATACAAATCGCGTCGCTTAGATCACATTTAAAAATGATATTGGTTTTATCTCAAAAATTCTCTATGAAATTACCGAAGCCAAACAAAAAAATATTTTTTCAATAAGGAAAAGAAAAAAATATGGTTTTTAATTATTTTCTTAAAAAGTATCATCGATAAATTCTAGCTTCCGGTTTACACTGCCCATGCGTGTTACTCATAGTTACAGAAAACGCTATTCAGGAAGGTAGTTCAAGATCACAGGAATAACAAGTTCCAACTGATCTAAGAAGCCATGTCTGAGTGTGCTTTCCATCAAGAGGCACGGAGGCGTCAGGCAAATTTGGAAAAGAAACAAGAAGCTCTTAAAAGGCTGTTGGCAAAACAGTCACAGGTATGAAGGGAAGTCTACTCTCAGCTGTCATGTCAAACCGTAAAACTTGTTCGGATCATTTAAACTGTTAAAAGAGCGGTATCCAGTGCTGTCATGTCAATACTCAGAAGCAGTTTGACATTCTATTAATAATAAGATGTCATCATCTAGTTAAATGGGTTTATTTTTTAATATGTTGTATATCACAGGAGGCTCTAGATCATAGTGAAATATGAATGTAATCCATGAAGAGATTAGGCATGAATATAGCGAGCATACTAACAAAATAGTCCTAATGAGAGACACGTAACAGGAATCATATTACTCCAAACATATTAGAGGTTTACACGGCAAGAAACTTTTAACATATGCCTTACCACAGTTGGCACTTTAATTTCGGATAATAAATCGGCCAAACAACAGCATTTCAAAGTTTGGTACCGTTATATACAACACCGTATCATGATATTATGTACACCAATATTCAAAATCTAGTGCCTTTCCTATATGAACTATATTTGAACTAGTGACCCTTTAGTCTCTAGCCAGACACTCTATCAATTGACAAAATGCAAATTCCCATTAGCGAAGGCTAACCATGTGACCTGTACTCTCAACTTCTACACTACTCACTCCTTTCCCAGAAGAAAGCAGCAGGCATGGTTCATTATCTCTAAGGAAGCATTTCAATTTTCAATAGCTTCTATCTGTAATAGGAAGGAGTAATTAAAAACACCCTACCACTGGTTGAGGTAAAACTAGCATCCCTTCAGTCTCTAGTCAAACACTCACTGCTTGACTCCAGTAACACATTCTGTACTCTGTAAAGTCAATATTTCACACATAGAACATCCAATTCCTGTAACTCTTATTGAAGTGATTGATAAATCCATTAGTTTTTACTTGTTGATTGTCGAAAATAACTGGCCATGTATAGCAGTGACACTTTTGAATCATTGGATCATATCAGATTGACACTAGTAGCCATAACAATACACAATTTTTATACCTTAACAACATACAATTAAAATAATTTGTTAACTTTAGACAACCTCTTTTTTTAAATGAACACATTTGTCAATATTTGTACAAGAGTTCCGAGTTGTACAATTTAATGTTAATAGCACAGCCAAAATTCAACTGAACTGAAATGCTAACAGTTTGCCTTTTGATCTTGTCAAAGATGTAGGTGTAGGTTCTTAGTGCAACAAATTTCATATTTCTTTACCTATCATCAATATGTTATGTCTTCTCCAGAGTTCAAGTTGTGAACAGGATGCAACCCTGACAGGCAGTAAAACAGCTATAATGTTTTCAGGGGCTGATAATTTTGACACAAAAAGGTGGGTATTAATTAAATGTGTTGAAGTCGATTATGAAATTGTCTCTCCATAATGTATATCTCTTTGGTTTTAGCAATAAAATTGAAAGGATTTGGAAGTAAATAAGATTATCAAATTATTTCATTTAATGAATGTTCATGTAAACATGTAATGATACTATTTCTCATTCTTTTGTTGAATACATACTATGTCATGTGTTATCAGTTCAGGCTTTTCTGATTATTGATAATTACATGCCAGATTTGTAATATATAGTATTAATTCTGCATGCAAGCATGAATTGAATAGATTTAGCAATTTATGTAGTTAGTGTTTTTGTTTTTTTTAATTGTTTGCATTTGTACTTTTGAGCAGAGTTATACAGACAAGTAAAGGATAGCTTGTCAGCAGACTCACCATCTCACTAAGTTCAAATATCTAAAATATAACTGTTGTGCTTCCCATAAATGGTTTATGGATAGTAAAGCAGTTTTGTGGAGGAAGGGTAGATAGCAACAAGTTGTTAAATGAAGTTGTGATATATAGCACAGTAGCTATAACTCATTTCATTTGATACACTAGTTGTTTCAGGGGCAATCAGTCATCCTCTGTACCAGCTGTACTGTTTATATATTATGGTGTATTCCTACACTCATAAAATTTTCAAGAATCTTCTAATTTCACATTACTTGCACATTTATCAAAAGCTTATCATATTGACCACAGTTCTTTTTCTATAATTACACTGTGCAGTGAAACACTTTACTATACAGTGACTCATCGTGTACAATAATACAGTGCTGAATCTGCAACCATGGTGCTGTAGTGAATCTACAACATTGCTGTATTGGAAAAGAAAAGCTGACCATTCTACATAATTATTTCACATTTGTCATATTTTGTATTGTATGACTTTCAGGACACAATTTTGCTTTAACAAACATGATATCTAATCCAGTCTTTACTAAAAACGATCAGAGAGTTGGTTCCTTTATCACTGTACAACACCTGGATTTGGAATTCAGCACTTATACACTGATGAATTTCATATTGCCATACACACCATTATGCTAATTATTCATTTCAGTTGCTAAATGCTGTATATATGTTTATACTCTTCTGGTAGTTGTAGATTTCATTCTTTACATCATGCATCAGTTATTTGACTTACATAACATTGTATTTTTCAAATATATCATAATAAGCAAACAGCATTTAGAAAATGATAACAATTGGTGACCGATAAGTATAAAATCAAGCAATTATCAATTAACAAATAGCAATGAGAGAATGCAAGATGGCTGCAGGGGGTCCAGTCACCCTAACAATTTGCATCAACACATTTCTAGGACATTTTGAGTATCCAGAACACGTAGTTGTCTCAAAAGGCTTATCTTATTGAACAATTATCTCTGAATATTTTTGTGCAGTTTCCTGTCAGATTACCTGGACTATTATCTTGTATATCAAATTAAGAATATTAAATCTCAAGCAGTATTTTTACAGGTGCCATTCTGTATATGCTTTGTCAAAAAGGATGTTGCTACGTAATGCTTGAAATTCTATTAATCTCTTCCTGTGCCAACAATTAGGTTTATGAGAGTGTTGCTAACGTATTGTCGTGTCAGAAGTGTTTTGGTTGTGTTCTCCACAATCTTGTATAGCACAGATGAATTGTATTTTGTATATACATGTCTTATGAATCCTGTATGCTGTGCTGCAATTGGAAATTAATGGAAATGATAATTGAGCAGCTGACAAGAACATAGCATTAAGGCAAATATGAATACATGAACAATAAGCAGATTACAAAATCAGCAAATATCAAATACCTAACAAGACAGTTATCAAATGGAAGCAAAAAAGAATGCAACTAGAAATTATCACCTGAAAACTGACTCTTTGTTTTGACTAATTGTAACCTGGTAACCTAGATCTGCTATATTTGAAACCATGTACTTTTCACTCTTCCCAATAATGAATTTGAAAATGCCTTTGATAGAAGATTTAGCTTTCTTGATTTTTATTCTTTAATTTCAATAATATGGATTATTTTAAAAAGGAAAACGAAAAGATGTCTAACTTATAAAAAATACAGAGTTTAAATTTTACAGTTACAAATTTTTATCATCTATTGTCCTTTGATTTTCAACCATTCAGAATTAAGATACTCAACTTTTTGATGAAAAATCTGCATGTGAAAATTCTAAATCCATTTTGTATCTAGTCAACCCATTCAAAAACAAATATAGACAGTAAGAACGTAATGGGAACCAGTAAGTTTTAAGCAGGAAAAATTACTGTAGTATAGAATATATTCAGGAAATGAAAATAAGATCAGATTTCCTTAAAACATCATTTGTACTTAGTGATTAACTTGCCTGCATAAGTGGGTCATATGTTGTATTTTGGTGTAAATTGATTTTGCTAACAGTGATACAACATATTCATGGTTTTCAATTAATCAGGATTTCACCAGTCAAATGCTCTATGGGAAATATCCATCACTTAACAAAAAAGTAACACTGTATAAAGAATTATATATAATACTTTTTCCAAACCTGAGCTAAATATTCTTCCCTTCCTCCTATCAAGGTAAAAATAACATAATCCATGATTAACTTATGATAACTTGCTTTTTATTTAACCTTTGCTAAGTGAACAGTAACTATGGATGTAGCTTCATTGCCTTTCATCATTCATTTAACCCATCATCATCAACTTTTTTAGAAGGATTTAGCTAGATTATTTTTTTTCCATTAATGATTTTGTGGATTTTTACTAAAGTGATTTTTTTGATTGTGTTACTCTTTTAGATGCAGTAAGTTGGCACTGCAATCACTCGAACCAGAAGATGGTGTGGTTTTCAAGGAAGTGGTTCATGATCCTAATTTTATATATAGATCCTTGAAGGAAAGTGGTTGTGACCCATTGCCCCTGCATGTTGATCCAATTTTTAAAATAATGTACCCGGGATTCTGAAAATAATGTACGTGCTTTATATAATTATGCAGCTAATACACCATTATGTTTATTTGACTTTGTAGAAAAGCTTAGTTGTATGTGGTTTTAATGAGCTTAGTTGTACAGGGTTTAATTGAATTACTGCCTGACTGCCTACTTACAGAAGTAATATAACAACCATGTAATTTTCTCCCTGTTTTTCTGCTTTCATATTTCAAGCCACTTGTTCATCTTATGTCTACCAAACCACCAACCACTGTTTCTTTCACTTTCAAACAAAAGTATTCTTGACTTTATGAAGCCAGTTTCTTAATATTTACATGAGCAAATATCAGAAATTTTTTTTTCAAAAAATATGATTTTTAAAATTTTTTACGCAAACATTTAGTCTTTATATAAACATCATTACCAAGGATAAAAAGTCAAGAAATTGAGATTTTTGTAGAGATAGAAATGGTAGCTACCTGCTGAATTATTACACCCCCTCTATCAAGGATATGTGAGGTTTACTGGAAACAGATTGTCTGTCTGAAGACAGACAATTGCCTGGAGCAATAAATATTGGTAATTGTGAACCTGCATTTTCTTTTTCATTCCAGTTTCAATTGTACTATTCTTGGAGTTATGCTCCTGTTATGAAATCCTTGTGTAAAGTTTATGCTCCTTTTACAATATCCCTGTATGAAGTTTGTTATGCTCCTTTTAAGATATCCCTGTATGAAGTCTGTTATGCTCCTTTTAAGATATCCCTGTAGGCAGTTTGTTATGCTCCTTTTACAATATCCCTGTATGAAGTCTGTTATGCTCCTTTTAAGATATCCCTGTAGGCAGTTTGTTATGCTCCTTTTACAATATCCCTGTATGAAGTTTGTTATGCTCCTTTTAAGATATCCCTGTATGAAGTCTGTTATGCTCCTTTTAAGATATCCCTGTAGGCAGTTTGTTATGCTCCTTTTACAATATCCCTGTATGAAGTTTGTTATGCTCCTTTTAAGATATCCCTGTAGGCAGTTTGTTATGCTCCTTTTACAATATCCCTGTATGAAGTTTGTTATGCTCTCTTTACGATATCCCTGTATGAAGTTTGTTATGCTCCTTTTACGATATCCCTGTATGAAGTTTTTTATGCTCCTTTTAAGATATCCCTGTATGAAGTTTGTTATGCCTTTGATGATATCCCTGTATGAAGTTTTTTATGCTCCTTTTAAGATATCCCTGTATGAAGTTTGTTATGCCTTTGATGATATCCCTGTATGAAGTTTGTTATGCCTTTTACGATATCCCTGTATGAAGTTTTTTATGCTCCTTTTAAGATATCCCTGTATGAAGTTTGTTATGCCTTTGATGATATCCCTGTATGAAGTTTTTTATGCTCCTTTTAAGATATCCCTGTATGAAGTTTGTTATGCCTTTGATGATATCCCTGTATGAAGTTTGTTATGCCTTTTACGATATCCCTGTATGAAGTTTGTTATGCCTTTGATGATATCCCTGTATGAAGTTTGTTATGCCTTTGATGATATCCCTGTATGAAGTTTGTTATGCCTTTGATGATATCCCTGTATGAAGTTTGTTATGCCTTTTACGATATCCCTGTATGAAGTTTGTTATGCCTTTGATGATATCCCTGTATGAAGTTTGTTATGCCTTTTACAATATCCCTGTATGAAGTTTGTTATGCTCCTTCTACGATATCCTTGTATGAAGTTTGACCTCTCTCAGCTAATTTCATGAAGCATGATGAGTACCTATTGTAGTTGTTTGCTCACAATTTGTTTTACAAGTACACCTTATGGCTGACATTTCTAGGTAGGCAGTTAACAAATTTTTCTATCAAAATCATGAAGTAAGAAATTCTAAAACTAAGTTTTTGTCATCGTTGGCTACAGATGAATAAGTAAGCGTTAGTGCAATTTCATGATTTTAGGGCCGACGATAAGTTTGTGCACAATGTGACACTAATGATATAAAGTCTACATCAGGATCACTAATTAATCACAATGACGTCATCATTATACATTTCTATGACTTATTAGCCACTGTATCCTTTCTATCACAGCTTGACTAGTTCTACACTAACATTCCTTTATCTGTAGGGGTTTGTTGTACTGAAGTAAAGACGGGTTGTAGAATTATTCCAGCACCAACAGAGAAGCTACCTAAAATAAACAATATAAGCAGTACAACATTGATGGTGGTTGTCTGATTGATCTATTATATATCTTTGTTGAAATGAAACTTTAATACATTTTTTTAATTGTCCATTTTTCAGAATTATCTTCATTTCATGTCTCTGAAAATAGCACACATATTGCTTCAGACTTAATTCATTGTTCTATCTATTAGCATTAGGATTTGTTGATGGAATTCACTGTATTGGATGAGATACACACTAAGATATTTACTAAGGTACTCAAAGCATTTCAAGAAGAATTCTAATGTTTTCTTTGAAATTCACATAAGGAATAGGTTGTTTTTTTTCCAATGGTTTGGGTATATTTATGGATTGTTATATACATTCTGATCCCATGGGTTAACCTTTATACTATTAACTTCTTTACTTACCAGGTTTTAACATTAAATATTAGAAATGCTGACCATGCTTCTAACGTTTGTGAGCATGAAGACTATGCAGTGTTATGGTGTGCCCCTTAAACAATTGGTTTGATGTGATTACCAGTTGCTTGTCTGTATAATATTTAATAATAACAACTAACCTGTATTGGTAAAGGCAAGTGTCAAGCTTTAATTGGTTTTTTTCTGTGTTTACAAATTGCAGGCCAGTTCTTGAAATGTTTCGAGTCAACAAAGAAGGTTTTAACAATCGTTATCGAAATCGAGAAAACATGGCACCCCATGTTGATAGGGCTTATCCTGTGATTTATCCAGGAAAAGATAACTGCGATTACACTAATGACAGCAACCGGACTAATAGAAAAATGAATGCCATGCAAGAAAGATACGATATTGCTCGTCGAGTTAATGGAGAATTTCATGTGCAAGTTTTATCGGAAACTCCACCGTGATTTAACAGTGTTTGGATCTCTGGTGTATCTCATCCATGGCAGTACAAGATCATCAATCATGTGTGCCTATCTTCCTTGAATCTGTGATGTTTCTATATCTATCAATGTGCTGTAATCTATGTCTGTGTTCAAGTGGATATAGTTTACCAAACAATTTTGAAGTATCCTTTGTTCGTTTGCAAGGAAAATCCAAAGAAATTTCTACCGTCTTCTTTCAGGGAAAAATCTTTTCACGACACAAATGCAGTTCCGAACAACTTCCTGCATGAATTTTCAACAAGGAAGCTTGCTAACTCTCAGGAACAGAAATCTGATTCTCTAAAGAAAAGGAAACAACGCAAATTAAACATAGAGAGGGATCAAGTTTACAAAATTTTACATCCTTATGAATTTTAATAGACTTTTTTTGTTTATTGTTTTCTTGTTTCTATAATCGTTATTTATACTCTGAGGTTTGTTGGTCCATTAAATGGTGATATCATATTGGGTGCTACATCTGTAAAATAGTATTGTCTTCTATTGTTTGTGTGCAATTGTGGGAATACACAGAGTGTTACTAATATTTTTTTTTTCTTCGATCAGTGAGTATATTGTTGATCACTGCTCTGCAATGTTACCATCAATAGCTGTAAATTGGTCAGGTTTGATTATTGGACATAGATATCGAATCATTGAGCACACATACAAAATATTCCACTTAAGTTAAAGTATAGTAAGCTGTCAGCAACTAGTACAGACAGCAGCAATATATGTACAGTTGGAAGCTGGTTGGGGAGTGTGACTGTTTTGCCTCTTGTTCGTTTTCCTGTTTTAATGTCTGTTGCAATTGAAATAAATGCGCTTGTACTTTCAGCTTGTTGTTTAGAGTAGAAAATTATAACTTAACCTTCTCTTTGAAACTCACCGTAGATTACCGGTATGTGTTTCAGTTCTGGTGATATGTTGGAACCTACAATGCACAGAATTTATCATAGGAAAGCCGACAACAATCCCGAGGATAAAGTTTACCCATTACTACATCCTCAAGGCTATCTTAACAAATCACTTCAAAGAGAACTTCCTCCTCGAAAACCACACTTCAAAGTCTAGGGTTATTGCTGTCAAGGAAATGCCTTGAAATGATGGAAATCGGTCACTTATTTAAGTTTAAAAACCAAAAAATATATATACATGTTTTTGTTGTTGATATTTTTATGTATCATCCAGGTTTAAGCATATGAAGGAAAAAACCCCTAGAAATGTCCATACCATATTTTTGTATCTCATAAGCATTACCTCCTTTTTACTAATATGTTTGTTCTGGTTATATACTAATCCGTTATATTTAAGCATGTCCAAATCATCTGTTGTTTTAGAATTCTCAGCATATTGCATTAAATTAGACATGCAGTTAGCATGAATAGAAGAAACGTGGTAAATTCAATTATGAACTTTTGAAACCACATACAGGAATAAGAGCAATTGGATGGGGACAGAAAGAGACAAAAGGCAGTATGATCACAGTCGTAACGGCCCTCTGTTAGACAGCACCTGGCACAACCTGCGCCGACAGCTGTTCCACATAGGATTGGTCACTCCCCTCTCCACCACTGGCAAACCAACCAGCTTCCAAGACTTACAGCAAGTCCGTGTGCTGTCCCCAAAGAGATAGGCTTCATCAGACAATTTGTTGACCATAGAGATATAGGCACCACAAAACAAACAAATCTTGCCTACTTTTTATACAGTATTAGAGCAGAGCTTTTATTCTCATTTTCAAATTATCACAGATGAACCGAAAAGATTTGTCACTTTTTCTACATTTACACAAAAAAAAAAAAAACCCTGTTCAACTCACTGTATTCCCATGTTTTATCAGTATTAAGGTATATGCTGTCACTTGCTGTTGTGTTTCTGTTTTATAGTTTCACAAATATATATCGAAAGCTAATGCTATTTATACACCTGCACATTTTGTGTTTAAGTATCCAATATTTTGGTGGCATTCTTGCTTTGTTATTCAATTACTTTTTTTTATCAGTTATCATGTTTACATGTTTTGGTGATGTCGAGAGTGAAGGAACCTGAGAGAAAGTATAGGAAGGCAGAAAACCAACGGGAAAGACTCTTCTAGATTTATATCATTAGATGTCAAACAATTTTTCGGCTATATATATGTCATACTGGTTTAAATGTTTATCACTAGTATTAATAATGATTAGTTTTTTTTATTATCATTATTTATTTATTTCAAATTTTCATTATTTAAACTTTAAATCTCTTTTGAGCCCACTTGAAAAGTTGTGGTGCAATAGTTTTAGTAATAAGGTTAGGAAATCTACAAAGTGTGTGAGGGACCTCTGCGAGGGTTTAAGTACTAACTATGGGAGGGAGGTTCTAGAAAAAAATTGTTGTCAGGCACAGCAAGGTGATGCAGAAAAGGTAATAATGTGAGGGAGGAAATATGTTTGGTGCTGTCCTGTAACTTAGAATCTCAAAGGATTTCATGAAATCAGTATACAATACTGTTTACAGTTTTTTAAGTAGTGATATAATTAGTTTTGTTATTTATTTGCTCAGTAACTGTGATATAGATATTGTCATTTTTAATGACAAGTTAACAGTATTTTGGTTGTCAGTTCCTTCTGCCAGCAATGTTCTTAAGTGTATCATTAGTCTGTAGTCTCCTCTAGACTCACACTATTTGCTCAAACATAACTAGATCATAAATATTTATTTATATATTTATTTATTACACAGCTTTGTTGGTGTGAGGTGTCTTGTGTTACGGGAATATTAAAAAGAAAACATCATGTTTTTTTGCGTTTTTGTTGTCACTTTTGATAATACAATCAGTTGTCCTAGTATGACCTTTGTCATCACTATACACAATCAGTAATTGTGGTATAATTGGTCAGTATAGTGTACAAACAATCAGTAATTGTGGTATAATTGGTCAGTATAGTGTACACACAATAGGTAATCCTGGTATAACTGGTCATTATAGTGTACACACAATCAGTAATCCTGGTCATTATAGTGTACACACAATCAGTAATCCTGGTCATTATAGTGTACACACAATCAGTAATCCTGGTCATTATAGTGTACACACAATCAGTAATCCTGGTATAACTGGTCATTATAGTGTACACACAATCAGTAGTCCTGGTATAACTGGTCATTATAGTGTACACACAATCAGTAGTCCTGGTATAACTGGTCATTATAGTGTACACACAATCAGTAATCCTGGTATAACTGGTCATTATAGTGTACACACAATCAGTAATCCTGGTCATTATAGTGTACACACAATCAGTAATCCTGGTATAACTGGTCATTATAGTGTACACACAATCAGTAATCCTGGTATAACTGGTCATTATAGTGTACACACAATCAGTAGTCCTGGTCATTATAGTGTACACACAATCAGTAATCCTGGTCATTATAGTGTACACACAATCAGTAATCCTGGTATAACTGGTCATTATAGTGTACACACAATCAGTAATCCTGGTTATTATAGTGTACACACAATCAGTAATCCTGGTCATTATAGTGTACACACAATCAGTAATCCTGGTATAACTGGTCATTATAGTGTACACACAATCAGTAATCCTGGTATAACTGGTCATTATAGTGTACACACAATCAGTAATCCTGGTCATTATAGTGTACACACAATCAGTAATCCTGGTTATTATAGTGTACACACAATCAGTAGTCCTGGTCATTATAGTGTACACACAATCAGTAATCCTGGTTATTATAGTGTACACACAATCAGTAGTCCTGGTCATTATAGTGTACACACAATCAGTAATCCTGGTTATTATAGTGTACACACAATCAGTAATCCTGGTATAACTGGTCATTATAGTGTACACACAATCAGTAATCCTGGTATAACTGGTCATTATAGTGTACACACAATCAGTAGTCCTGGTCATTATAGTGTACACACAATCAGTAATCCTGGTCATTATAGTGTACACACAATCAGTAATCCTGGTCATTATAGTGTACACACAATCAGTAATCCTGGTATAACTGGTCATTATAGTGTACACACAATCAGTAATCCTGGTTATTATAGTGTACACACAATCAGTAGTCCTGGTCATTATAGTGTACACACAATCAGTAATCCTGGTATAACTGGTCATTATAGTGTACACACAATCAGTAATCCTGGTATAACTGGTCATTATAGTGTACACACAATCAGTAATCCTGGTATAACTGGTCATTATAGTGTACACACAATCAGTAATCCTGGTATAACTGGTCATTATAGTGTACACACAATCAGTAGTCCTGGTATAACTGGTCATTATAGTGTACACACAATCAGTAATCCTGGTCATTATAGTGTACACACAATCAGTAGTCCTGGTATAACTGGTCATTATAGTGTACACACAATCAGTAATCCTGGTATAACTGGTCATTATAGTGTACACACAATCAGTAATCCTGGTATAACTGGTCATTATAGTGTACACACAATCAGTAATCCTGGTATAACTGGTCATTATAGTGTACACACAATCAGTAGTCCTGGTATAACTGGTCATTATAGTGTACACACAATCAGTAATCCTGGTCATTATAGTGTACACACAATCAGTAGTCCTGGTATAACTGGTCATTATAGTGTACACACAATCAGTAGTCCTGGTATAACTGGTCATTATAGTGTACACACAATCAGTAGTCCTGGTATAACTGGTCATTATAGTGTACACACAATCAGTAGTCCTGGTATAACTGGTCATTATAGTGTACACACAATCAGTAGTCCTGGTATAACTGGTCATTATAGTGTACACACAATCAGTAGTCCTGGTATAACTGGTCATTATAGTGTACACACAATCAGTAGTCCTGGTATAACTGGTCATTATAGTGTACACACAATCAGTAGTCCTGGTATAACTGGTCATTATAGTGTACACACAATCAGTAGTCCTGGTCATTATAGTGTACACACAATCAGTAATCCTGGTATAACTGGTCATTATAGTGTACACACAATCAGTAATCCTGGTATAACACACAACCAGTGGTCATTATATTGTACACACAATCAGTAATCCTGGTATAACTGGTCATTATAGTGTACACACAATCAGTAGTCCTGGTATAACTGGTCATTATAGTGTACACACAATCAGTAGTCCTGGTATAACTGGTCATTATAGTGTACACACAATCAGTAGTCCTGGTATAACTGGTCATTATAGTGTACACACAATCAGTAGTCCTGGTATAACTGGTCATTATAGTGTACACACAATCAGTAGTCCTGGTATAACTGGTCATTATAGTGTACACACAATCAGTAATCCTGGTATAACTGGTCATTATGGTGTACACACAATCAGTAATCCTGGTATAACTGGTCATTATAGTGTACACACAATACTACAATAGGGACAAAAAGAGATATTTGAAGCACACAGGAGAGTCCATTCAGATCTGTTTTATAAACTCTTTTTATCGCTAGTAACAAATAAAATGAATTTGATTATTCCATGGGCTTAGATAGATGTTCCCGAGAACACATGTACTTTAACCCTTTGGATACAAATACTTGTTAATTACATTTGTACATTTATCAGTTTCGTTCTAATATGATTGATAACCAGTGATAAATTCATAAACTGAGAGTAGCTATACATCGCACCATATATCGGCGCATGTATAAATCATGATTTACAACCCATTTTATCAGTATCATTTGTCTTAAGAAAGGAATTCCGTATGACCACAGGGACTTGGCACGAATTCCCCACCAACAGTCCATATATTGTATCACATGTATACACAAGGAGAGAGAGACTCAATAGAACATTTCGAAACATTTTCCTCAGGTTGGTAATATCACCATCCTTCACTTTCGCTCTCTTTGAAGGTGCAAGTGAAGTAATTTGATTGGTTCCAGGAAAAAAAATTGACCAATCACAGACTGATACATTCTTTCTGAAGATTACAATGGAGCGACACCCAACTCCAAAGCCATTACAATATATCATTATGCGACCCTAAGATTCGTTTGATGTACAACAAAAGATCTAACTAGTCTTTTCATCTTGTCCACGAGGTGTTGCACATGTAATCTTCAACTTTGCCATGACCTGTCCCAGGGGTACATCCATAGCACCATGAAAACATGTGGATACCCTGATTGGGTAAGCCAGAAAGTGAATTACAAATCTGATGAAGTAGAAAGACTAAGATCCAAGACAAAGTCTAGCCATCTATATCCAAATCCATCTATATCTGTGTCCAGCCATCTATATCTATGTCCAGCTATCTACATCCAAGTCCTGCCATCTATTTCCAAGTCCTGTCATCTATATCTTAAGTCAAGCCATCTATATGTAAGTCTGTCATCTATATCTATGTCCAGCCATCTATATCTAAGTCTGCCATCTATATCTAAGTCCTGCCATTTATATCTAAGTCCTGTCATCTATATCTATGTCCAGCCATCTATATCTTAAGTCAAGCCATCTATATGTAAGTCCAGACATCTGTATCTAAGTCCATGGATAAAGACCTAAACATTACATGTTTATAATAGGTGTCATTCTGCCCTGTTGACCTTTAAATCTCAAATACATTTACACTCCAGCTCCATCTACTTGTCTCAAAGACTCCATAACTTAGTTGTTTCCTCCAGAAACAACATGCCCTGTGTTAAATTATAAATATGTAGATACATGTTAAAGAGGCATCACAAAACTGTAGGAAAATAACAATATTCGTATATCATACACAATCGCACATATTTACTATACATTTCATCTTCAACTAAAACCAACTGACATTCAAAGCATGGAATTGGCATTTATTATAAATAAATGTGATGATGATGATGAGGAGGAGGAGGAGGAGGATGTGAGTAAATGTAAGTGTACTTGAGGTGTCTTATTATGCATATGTGAGAAATAAATATATACAGTCCACAAGATGCTGTTATGTAATAAAAATGCTCAACAGGAAAAAAAGATTGATAGGGTAAAAACTGATTAATACGTTAAGAAATATTGGCAGAATTTCATTAGTTATCTCCCTTTAATATTTGTCATTTAAATGTCATTACTCGGATTTGCCAATAGACCATGCCACTCCCTATAAAAAAGAAAGCTGGTTGAATTAGATATAATGTATTATTACACAACTTTGTAATAAACAATGAAACTATATGTAATAGTAACGCCAAACCTCAAGGCTTCCGGAAAGTGTCATCTTACAAGTTATGCGAATCGAACGAGCCGTTAGTTGGAAAAAATAACAATGGCGGCCACGGGTGTCCTGCCGTTCGTGCGGGGAGTTGATTTTTCAAGAAATGATTTTTATGTACGTATTTAAAGACGAAGCATTATTTCGCACTGTTGCAAAAGTGCCGTTTCACCATAAAGGTGTGATAATTGGAATATCATTGAAAGATATGTGCTGGAGTAACCCCTTATACCTACTGCTTTCGAAGAAATGGCTCTTGGCTCCAAACAGCGGAAGTCATATTATTTTACTGCAAATAAGTCTTTGGCATTCGATTTATGAAGTAAATCTGTTGACATTTATGGTTTAAGTCATGAGTTTTTATATACTTGACTGGTCATAGAGTTATGTCTGGATGAGTTGACATCCTATTGCCTAGTTTGACTTTGGTTTCGGGAATGTATATATGCATTCACCGAACAATATACTCATAAAGATACATTCTGAACCCCATGCTCAGTTACAGTTAAGAAGTAATTGACTCATTTAGACAGTCCCCTATGATTTGGTGTGGTGACTATAGTAGTGCGTTATTGTATTTATCATACGTTTTACTTTTGTATATTGATGAAGGAGGGTTGTTTTTTATTGCAAGTAAGAAACAGCATTCATTTTCTGGGGGGAAAAGAAGAAAAATTACATTAAAAATATCAAAGGTGTTGGTAATTACCAGATCTGCTGGCAATTAATTTCAAGAGTTGTATGTATGTGACTGGATATCATATAACTTATATCAGTTGATGACATGCAAGAAATGATAAAAATACCCAAATATTTTGAAAATTTAATTCAACAGGGACATGATGGGGATTATTTTCCATGCCAAGTTGGTGATATGTCAGGATTAAGATGGCTACGCCTGAACAAAACAAACCTGAAAGAGATGCCAGAGGAAATTAGCAAGCTGAAAAAGCTGGTAAGTATGACAGGAGTATAAAGCAGGCCACTGTCATATTATCTGCCCTATGAAATTTTCGGGATACATATCATTATATTATCCAAGTATCTGTAACTGTACATTTATGTTAGCTGGGTGTACCAGTGTTTACATGGATACTACATAAATGTATAGTGAAACTTGGATAATGTTACAAGTTTTAAAATTGATTGATATTTTTGACTGTCATCTGTAGATAAGTGGCTACAATTGGTATAATGATGTTTGATAAGAAAAAGGCCAGCTGGTAGTGGCTACTATTAGTATAATAATGTTGGATAGTAAATCCACTAGTAGTTTCTTATGTTATAGGAATAAACATAGGAAAGTAGTTATGCTTAACTTTAATGTGTCTTCATGGGTGCTTAAGATTTTGTACTTATGTAGCTCTAACTTCATTTGGTAGATATGTGCAACTATCCATGATACCATTATACAGATGATGCTCAGATTTATTATTGAAAGTTTTACAGGTAAACTTGTACAGTGTTCATGTAAAATGAATAAGGATTAAGAATTAAACAATGAAAGAGGTACTTTTAGTTTTGTTTTCTTTTACTAATCTGAAAATCTTTTGAAAACAAAGTATAGTTCAATTTCATTGTAAAGCAATTGGTCTTGAAATACATATTGGGCTCAGTGTTGTCTAGCATAACACAGGACATTGTCTTATTGTATACATATGTAATAATACAATTTAATTGATTATAAGGTCTTTTTATTTGGTAACCCTTTAAAGCACCTAGTCACCCTTGATTTTGAAGAGCATTGACCAGATATTAGACAACAAAAGGATGGCAACACAAGGGGGTATCTTATAGGATTATTTTAATGAGAATGGTGAATTATATTGATTATCAGATTAGACTTTTTGTGGTAATTACTATCACTATTTGTAGGAGCACCTGACCATCATGCATAATGAGCTAGAGGGCCTTGGAAATAGTTTGGGGTCTTTGCCAGCACTACGCACGCTCAACTGCAGACACAACGAGCTCAAAGATGACGGCATTCCTGGCAAAATATTCCACCATGAAGATCTGTCTGTTGTGGTAGGTTTTTTCTTCAGATTCTTTAGATGGTCACTGTAAAGTTACCTTGGACTGGGGGTATACAGAGCAATGTTGGTCAGTGATCACATTAGAGTAATATTTGTATACATGTTACTTCACTCATTAACAAACTGAGCTGGTTCGGATCCTAAGTCTAATTGTTTATTTGTTGATACTTTATGTCACACTTTTCAAATTTGGTTGATTCACAATACTTTATATTTACTGTTGGTTTGATTTGATGTAGTAAAATTTCTTTAAATGTAAATAAAAGGAACATTAAAAAGTAACTATTTATTACGTAAAGCAGTAGAGGTGAATCTACAAATTACAGGATATCAAATGTACTTACCTGTGGACACTTGTATTACAGGACCTGAGTCACAACAAATTAGTGGAAGTGCCACCAGAACTGGAGAATGCCACCAATGTTATTGTACTCAACCTTAGTCACAATCAGTAAGTATCATCTTGCGTCACTCATTAATAATAAAAGCAAGTGTAGTTTTTCTTTGTTGTAGTGTTTTTTCATAACTTAAATTATGTGTACCATTTCTTTGCAGGATCGAAATGATTCCAAACCAGCTGTTTATCAATTTGACAGACATTTTCTTCCTTGACCTCAGCAATAACCTGTTTGGTAAGATTTGTACAGGTTTATGATGATATGATTATCTGTATTATTTAATCATAGAGTGACAACATCCCCTTAGAAAATATGTGTTTTGCTTTATGTTGATGCTTTTTAATCAATCTCATTACTAGGTTACATATCATTCTTTTGATGGAGGTTTTTATATGTGTATTATAAGCATGTTAAAAGTAAATTGTGATTGGAAAAATGAAATTGTTTGATCAGTAAAAATTCATTTTATTTGTATCATGAGTATATTGCATATTATATAAAGTGATTCCCCAAATATTTTCACACTGACATAGTATTTTCTGTTTCTGGCAATTTGACCACATTATGATTAATTTGTTTGTTTAACAGAGACCCTACCACCACAGATGAGACGACTGACCAATCTCCAGACCCTCATCCTGAATAATAATCCCCTTGTCCATGCACAACTCCGGTGAGAAGTAAACCTTTTCACATCAGCTATAACAAAGGCAGACTTGGCGTGACCTTGGTGTTACATAGGTTTAACTTGTGAACAAACCGATGTTATCGAGCTTCGGTAACATATTGTCTAATTACATGACACTGTGATGAGAAGAACTTTTTCTTGGTTCATGGACAGATTACCTGTTTTTATCCAAAATACAAATGGATGAAATATTTAATTTCCCTTATTTTGATAAAAATAATGTGTAATAAGAAGAGAAAGTGCTTTGGTAAAGGGTACAATGCTGAGTACCTCTCCAATTTACCCTTTACAATGAACCTTCACAGCCTGCCCTTGATACAAATTTTGTAACAGAGCCTATATATATCCATGTGTATATTAGTAATACACATCCTACAAATTTTGTTGTTGAAACCTAGTGCCTTCATTGGATTTCTCACTAGATAGATCCTGTTTATCTGTGTCACTCTTACACTGTTTTTTGTGATGACAGACATAGAAACTGTTTAACACTGTTCACAGTGACTTGAATCTCTAAATGCTACATTCCTGATGACAAACAAAATCTATGATTGAAATAACTTTTAATCTGATTTGTACCTTTGTGTTGCAGACAGCTGCCTGCTTTGCTGTCCCTGCAAACCTTACACATGAGGGACACACAGAGAACTCTAGCTAACTTCCCCTCTGGACTTGACACTCTCACCAACCTGCAGGGTAAGGGGATCCATTTAAGCAACTCTTACCTTTTTTTAACTCAAAGATGGAATTAATTTGTTCCTTTCTTTATAGAAAACCCTTATGCTATGCTGCTGTTATATAGTTTGATATCACACAAAAGGAAACTCATGTCACAGTAATAGCTTGAATAAGATTCTTTGCTAGGCAGTTCTAATACTTTAACTGAAATGATTATTTCAAGTACTCCTATCATCCTGTGGTGTGTTGTTAATTTGATTATGATACAATAAGGTGAACCTTTTTTTCAATGTAAAATTTCATATTTGTGTGTGAATTCTGTATTCAAACATAATATGTCAATGTTGGTGTTTGGTAGATGTTGACTTGTCTAACAACGACCTGCCACGGGTACCAGAGACATTGTACAAAGTCAGCTCACTGAAACGACTCAACCTCAGTGGCAATCAGATCACTGAACTCTCTCTTGTCATTGGTGAGTTTTTCTATCAGTTTTCTTTTTAAAGACAGACTTCTGATGTTCTACATAAATGTTCCAAGTACAGTATATGATGTAAACTTGATAACTCTATCATATATGTTCTATATATGTTCTTGTGAAGCTATAAAATGCATTGTAACTGCAGATACGTGGATTCATTTGGAAACGCTAAACCTGTCCCGCAACAAACTGACAGCTCTGCCGGTAAGTGAACTTTTGCCGAAGAGTTAATTTATTTGTCTTTTTTCTCTCACTTCACCATTGAATGACTCCGGATATTGTTTATTTTCAATATGAATCCTATTTAAAATATTCAATCAGAAGATTGTTAAGTTGTTATGATATTTTTCAGATATTATTTCAAATATCAACATGTCTATTCAATTATATCATAAAGCTTTCTGTCCCAGTATGTTTATTTACTGGAAGAGGTTCTTGAAAATCATAATCACGGGAATGATTTACATAAAAGTTTAATGTGTGTTATTGAAGGTGACATGTAGAGTAAATTCATCATTAAGTCCCAACAGAATCTCTGAAGGTTTCATCAAACACATCAACACCAAACACATTCCTCAAAGCCTTGACAGAGCTTAGTGTGAAGTTTACAACCATTTTGCATTAACATAATTGAACTACAATAAAACACTTTGTATTTCAGTCTTCCCTTCATAAACTGGCTTCTCTGAAGAAATTGTACTTGAATTCTAACCTGTTAGACTTTGAGGGAATCCCAGCCAATATTGGCAAGCTACATAACCTGGAAATATTCAGTGCAACCAACAATCAGCTTGAGATGATTCCAGAAGGATTGTGTCGGTAAGGATTGACCAGCCTCAGTCATAAGGCAACTGTAAATGCCATTAGACTGTAATTAATCTTCTGTGTGATTAGAATAGAATTAACCTGTTATACCCTATGACTAATGTGTGGACAATGTAATTTGTACTTTCATTTGCAATGTATGTATTATTTTCAGATGTGGGAAGCTGAAACGTCTCCTTCTGAATGGCAATAAACTAATAACACTTCCTGATATTCTTCATCTACTGCCAGAGTTAGAGGTAAGCTTAAAGTGTTGTAAAGTACATCATGTCTATTCTATAAACATATCACATAATATATAATTTTGGAGATTGTATTTACATTTAGATTTCAATAACTTATTAAAATGTAGGATTACTAACAACTGATTACTACTGTATCTCTCAGACACTGGATGTAAGAGACAACCCAGGGCTAGTGATGCCTCCCAAACCTGCTGAGTTAAGGAAAAACCATGAGTTCTACAACATTGACTTCTCCCTCAACAACCAGCTACGACTGGCTGGGGCTCCCACAGCCCCTTCAGCAGATCAGTCTCCCCGTATGTGTTGTCTCATTATTGAACTACAATTTACCACTGAAGACTTGATGCATTTGAAAAAACCTTTCTTGAAATTTTAGATAATTCAACAGAGCAAATAACATAAATGTCGCAGTAAGATAAGCTTTTGTATATAGCCATGTCAGAAAAGGAAGGATCATTAAAACTTTTAAAATAATAATCATTCATGTATTTCTTAAGAATATCTATGTATATTTAAGTCAGGGAAAATGGGTCTTTATGTATATCTATGTACGTGAAGAAAAGATGAAATACACAAAAATGTATTGCAATCTTATCCAACCATGAAAAATGATTTTGTAAATACTTATTTGTATTATAATTTTTATGAATTTGTGTACTTGATGAATACTTTTGTCACAGAGCAAAAAGATCCTGTGGCTCGAAAGTTAAGACTGAGGAAAAGACGTGATGGTCAGCAAGAGAGTGAAAAAGTTCTGAAGGTGAGAAATGAATATTTTACTCCATACAAAATTATCATACACTGTCCTTTATGGTTACTATATCCTATTCAACTCTCCAGGCTGATTTTAATTTCTCAACTAATCATGTCTCCTCAGTCTGGCTTGTCACTGAACATTCTGTTTTCTATAATGAATTCTGTCTATTTTCTTTTAATACTGTCAGAACCCTACAGTTTTTATCTTTCACAAATCTATGTGTTTAGCCATCAATCTTCAAAATTCACAAACACTCAATGGAAAGCATCTTTTCATCTGTATATACTTCTACGTAGACTGTCAGATACCCATCTACAGGAAACCTTCAGGATGTATCATCCTTGATATGTACATTCTTTATTGCAAAGGGAGATTTACTGTTCAGTAAAAAAGAAAATAAAGAGATGTGGTTCTTTGAGTAGAGTTCCTTCACAAAAAGATTGTCCAAGGAACATAGTGAGGTTGAATGTTTTTTGTATAAAATGGTGTTAATTTCATGGCTTGGTTGTTTGTCACAGGGTATGAGAGATGTGGCAAAAGACAAAGCAGAAGGTGCTGGTCCAGATTCTGAGAACCAGGAGCAGAAAGAACCACTCAAGTAAGTTTTGTACTTGATTAATGCTCTGAAAACAGTACTATTCTGAGGTTGTGTGATGTACTGTTGGACGTTGAAGTCCACCATATGAAGATGGAAACGAAATCCTTTACTGAGTCATCTACTACCTGACTAAGATCTGTCCTAAGATTTGTGTGTATCTAGATAATGTCTATCATCTGACTTATGTTTGGTTGTATCTTGACTTTGTCTGTAATCTGACATAAGATTTGTAGGTATCTAGACATTGTCTGTGATCTGACCTAAGATTTGTGGGTATCTAGACAATGTCTATGATCTAACCCAAGACTTGTTTGTATCTAGACTTTGTCTATAATCTGACCTAAGATTTGTGGCTATCTAGACAATGTCTATGATCTGACCTAAGATTTATGGGTATCTACACAATGTCTGTGATCTGACCTAAGATTTGTGGGTATCAAGACAATATCTATGATCTGACCCAAGACTTGTTTGTATCTAGACAATGTCTATGATCTGACCTAAGATTTGTACGTATCTAGACTTTGTCTTTTATCTGACCTAAGATTTGTAGGTATCTAGACTTTGTCTATGATCTGACCTAAGATTTGTAGGTATCTAGACTTTGTCTATGATCTGACCTAAGATTTGTAGGTATCTAGACTTTGTCTATGATCTGACCTAAGATTTGTAGGTATCTAGACTTTGTCTTTTATCTGACCTAAGATTTGTAGGTATCTAGACTTTGTCTATGATCTGACCTAAGATTTGTAGGTATCTAGACTTTGTCTATGATTTGACCTAAGATTTGTAGGTATCTAGACTTTGTCTATGATCTGACCTAAGATTTGTAGGTATCTAGACTTTGTCTATGATTTGACCTAAGATTTGTAGGTATCTAGACTTTGTCTATGATCTGACCTAAGATTTGTAGGTATCTAGACTTTGTCTATGATCTGACCTAAGATTTGTAGGTATCTAGACTTTGTCTATGATCTGACCTAAGATTTGTAGGTATCTAGACTTTGTCTGTGATCTGACCTAAGATTTGTAGGTATCTACACAATGTCTGTGATCTGACCTAAGATTTGTAGGTATCTACACAATGTCTGTGATCTGACCTAAGATTTGTAGGTATCTACACAATGTCTGTGATCTGACCTAAGATTTGTAGGTATCTAGACTTTGTCTATGATCTGACCTAAGATTTGTAGGTATCTAGACTTTGTCTGTGATCTGACCTAAGATTTGTAGGTATCTACACAATGTCTGTGATCTGACCTAAGATTTGTAGGTATCTACACAATGTCTGTGATCTGACCTAAGATTTGTAGGTATCTACACAATGTCTGTGATCTGACCTAAGATTTGTAGGTATCTAGACTTTGTCTTTTATCTGACCAATCTGCACATCAGTATGTGTTTAGACTATGTTAGTGATCTTATTTATGATATAACCTCTGATCTGTTGACTAGTGAGACCTTTCATATTGTTTACTTTTGAAAAGTGGGCTAGTGTATGGTTAGAAATCTGCCATAATCAACTTTAGAACTGTACACTAATGCTGGGTTAGAGATCTCACATGTTTAATCTAAGAAATGCTAACTCTAGTCTTGTATAAGACTTGTCATGTAACACATTGTTACAGGCCAAAACGATGGGATGAACACCTAACCAGACCACAGTTGAACTACAGTGAAATATTTGATGAAGATGTTGGACAAATACCAGGTAAATTACATATTCATTTGTTTTGTCTTCCTCAACTAGCTTGCTTCCATTTATATGAGTGCCTTGAATGCCTAAAACCTCTTAACATTCTCAGAAAAGATAAGAATTCATTCAAATATCAGTTTGATAGAATCTTTCTCATATCTGATTTTACAAAATGTGTGTCATATATAATTTAACACACACTTAAATAACCTGACAGGATTATTGTTTGATTTCATTCTTTTGTAAATTTTTGTATAATTTTGATTCAGCCTTGTATTTTTATGCTCCCCGAAAAGTTTCAGGGAGAGCATATTATTGCCGCCATGTCCGTGCTACTAAGACAGTGTGCTGTGTACCAGATTCAGGGCTAACATCCCCTTAATTAGAGAGTTATTGCTCTTCATTAAAATTTTTGTCTGGGGAAATAATTTGCATGCATTTTAGTAAACTAGGATATTGAAACGTGATATATACATCAGACATATGAAAGAAAGGTGCAGTGTAGTGATGTCAAGGCCCATGACCCTGCAGTTACAGAGTTCATGCCTTTTTTAAAAATTTTGTGTCATGAGCATATCTTTGCATTCATCAGTTTCACTGATACTCTTGTTATGAGAGTCTAAGAGCTCACAAAAATAAAACCAGTGCAAAGGAACATTGAGGCCAATATCTCAAAATTGATTCTCAGTTCAAACAGGCATTATTACAAGTATATTTCATCTGTACATTTTCTATGAGATCTACTGCAGACTTCTATCATATCTGTCGATCACAGTATTATGACAGGACAAATAAATGATGAGGTTTTAAATCACCTTAATTACACTGGCTTCCCAAACATGAAGTTAATTTGTTCCGTACTTATCTGTTTGTACAGGTATCCAGTGTTGGGAAATTGAGAATTTTGTCCCTAATCCAGTTGAGGAAGGTAACTATAACTCTTGGTTGTAAATGAATAATATTATGTTTGCTTCAGACACATAACTTACAATGAACAATCCATCCCCAGATAAAATACTCACATTTTTCTGGATTATTGTTTTACGAGATAGTGATTATAAACTAATCTGATAAATAACACTCAAGTTTTATGATTTCCACACGGGCTAAAAGTACCTGGTATGTCCTTTCATGAAGATACATGGACTGAATTCCTACCATTATAATCCACGTTTGTAGTTTCAAGAGGGCACACGTACAACGTGTAATGTAGGTGATAAATGTATCAAGTTTGTGCTTGATGAAGATGGTGTATTATTGGCTTTGATTTTGATAGTCCTGATCGGGAAGTTCTACGAAGCTGATTGCTACATCATCCTCAAGACTTACATAAATGAATCCAACAGCATAGATTGGAAGATCTGGTACTGGATTGGTGAACACTGCACTGTAAGTATAGCTTATTAATATACATCTTATTTATTTATAAAAAAAAGATAGTCATGAAATTGATTATATCCCACTTTTCCTCATTTTAGCTGTGCTTTAGGCTTTTGTTTTAGATGGTGGACTAACACACCTTCTTTCTGAAACATACCTGCACTCTGGTAATTCCACTATTCCAATCAGGGAAAAAGTGGGAGGAAGTTGTTGTAATTGTGTGTGCCTACAATATACCCTCCAATATATATTATCTCAAATTCAATGTCTTTAGTTACAGTAAAATCCTTTTGCAACAAAGGGGGCAGTCAGGGCCTCACTAACATCTTAGATTATACAAATATTACTTAGTTATCTTGGTTTGTGTTTGCACAGTGAAATGGTAAAAAGTATGAGCTGCAAAGTGTTTGGTTTCCCTACATAAGAGCTATGCTCTAAGGCAAACTACCAGACATATATATTAAAGGTATCCTACAGTTAACAGTTGGCTGTTCCATTTTAAGTGGGTTCCCTAGTTACTTCTTGAATCCTGTATGAAGGAAGTTTAATAGATTCTTTTATGAAGAGAAAACAGATTCAAGAATAATTATCAAAATTATCAAACAACCTTCAATTGATACGGGTGATCTCAAAATGTAATGGCATTTCTGATCGTTGTAGTAATTCATCCTGTCAATCTCTCAAATATAAAGTCTGCTTTCTTGATTTTCATGCCATAATTGAAAGCACCATGATATCACCACAGGTCTTTCCAGTAAATACATTTCACCCCTTTCATTACGACATTTAGTGTACTTGACCATAGTGATATTTCAATACTCCATTCACAGGAACAAAGGCATGGATACAGATCAGAATTTAACTAGTACCTCATAGCACGAAAATTTAATTTAAAATTATGAAACGTATGTATCTGATGTCCATTTATATCCATGTCACATTATCTTGAATTATAAAAATATGATTTCATCACTTAAATAGAAATTCGTAAAAAAATTTACATGTAATAAATATAAGATATACAGTATGTCATGATTTTTGTCTTAGTTCAATATTTATACAGTAAGCAGTACAGAAATTTTGCTTTTGTAACAATATATATCTATATAAGGATCATGAATGCCCTCGTAATACTACTGCCCTTTTTCTACAGCTGGATAAGAAGGCATGTGCTGCTATTCATGCTGTGAACCTTAGGAATCTCTTGGGGGCAGAGTGTCGCTGTATTCGTGAAGAGATGGGGGATGAATCTGATGAATTTCTGGACCTGTTTGAGAATGGAGTGTCATATATAGAGGGTGGAAGGACAAGTAGTGGTTTCTACAGTGTGGAGAATGTTGTAAGTTATCGTCTATATCTTACTGTGATGGTCAGTGATTTCTATAGTGTGAAGAATGTTGTGTACCAATAAAAATAGTTAAATCATTTCCAGCTTCTAAATACATTGTATACCTTTGAAAATAAGTGCAAAAATTGCAATGTTTACTCTGGACATTGTTAGGGATTATCTTTGTTAATACACAGTATAATATGATTGCCAAATATATTGGTATATATCACTGTTAACAACACTCATGATGGACAATTTCATTACAGGAATATGAAACGAAGCTGTATCGAGCTACTGGTGTGCAGACAGTTTTCATGGAGAGGGTAGGTTCTTAGGAATACTTGTATTAACTGAATCTATCAAATTTACGTTTTCACTGCAGTTGATTTATATGCAATAGGAACTGATATTGAAGTGATGTATGTGATGATAAAAAGATACGTCCCAAGACATTCAGAGAAAATCTAGAGATTTTCTAACTTCGTCCAACCACAACAACCATACTTACAGAAATTCATTTTTAAAGAAAGGGAATGTATTCATGATTTTTTTCTTTTTTTTCTTTTGTTTGGAAAAGTGAATTAAATTTGTTGTGAGTTAAACAATGCTTAGAAAATCACTGTTTATATGCAGTAAAATTTGTTCTACAGTACATATATAACTGGAATTATATTAATATTCATAGATAAAAGCCCAACAATATTTGTGTCTCTGATTTCAGTGTTTACCAGAGTTTATATCCTTGGACAGCAGATTTGTATTCATGCTGGATATGGGTCTCAACATTTATATCTGGGTAGGAAAGATGTCTAAAGCAGTCACTAAAACCAAAACGAGGTAGGAACACATCTACAAAATTGATGTCATTTAAACTCCGAGTCCTGCCAGAGATTTTGACTTAAATTACTTGTGGTCAATTATAACCTGATGTTACTTAATAATTAATTTCATAAACTTTTTCAGCATTTTTTTAATTACATTATCATGATTCAATTTTGTTTCTGTTTATATTCTAGACTTATAGCTGAGAAAATCAATAAAAATGAAAGGAAAGGAAAAGCAGACATCTACATGGAAGACCAAGGCAAAGAATCTGTGGCGTTCTGGCGAGGATTAGGGGGTGCTTCTCCGATGCCTATAGTGGTTAGTATTGTAGGTTTTAGGTGTTCTGGCGAGGATTAGGGGGTGCTTCTCCAATGCCTATAGTGGTTAGTACTATAGGTTTTAGGTGTTCTAGCTAGTATTACAGGATGCTTCCCCGATGCCTATAGTGGTTAGTATTGTAGGTTTTAGGTGCTTTAGCTAGTATTACAGGATGCTTCCCCGATGCCTATAGTGGTTAGTATTGTAGGTTTTAGGTGTTCTGGCGAGGATTAGGGGGTGCTTCTCTGATGCCTATAGTGGTTAGTACTATAGGTTTTAGGTGTTCTAGCTAGTATTACAGGATGCTTCCCCGATGCCTATAGTGGTTAGTATTGTAGGTTTTAGGTGCTTTAGCTAGTATTACAGGATGCTTCCCCGATGCCTATAGTGGTTAGTATTGTAGGTTTTAGGTGCTTTAGCTAGTATTACGGGATGCTTCTCTGATGCCTATAGTGGTTAGTATTGTAGGTCTTAGGTGCTTTAGCTAGTATTACGGGATGCTTCCCCGATGCCTATAGTAGTCAGTACTGTAGGTTTTAGGTGCTTTAGCTAGTATTACGGGATGCTTCCCCGATGCCTATAGTAGTCAGTACTGTAGGTTTTAGGTGCTTTAGCTAGTATTACGGGATGCTTCCCTGATGCCTCTAGTAGTCAGTACTGTAGGTTTTAGGTGTTCTAGCTAGCATTATGGGATGCTTCCCTGATGCCTCTAGTAGTCAGTACTGTAGGTCTTAGGTGCTTTAGCTAGTATTACGGGATGCTTCCCCGATGCCTAAAGTAGTCAGTACTGTAGGTTTTAGGTGCTTTAGCTAGTATTACAGGATGCTTCCCCGATGCCTAAAGTAGTCAGTACATAAGTTTTTAAGATAAGAAGGTGCTTCTCTGATGTCTAGTGGTTAGTACTGATGTTGTCAATAGTAATTACTTCCATTCTAACTGTTTGTATTGTTTTGTTTTCTACTGATAATGCTGACACATTGACATTCCTCAGGATTTGATTTTTGTTACCCAATCTGACCCCAAAAAAGTACCTGCGCACTATACCTGCAAATTTACGGTATTTGTTAAATGAAAACTGTTGTTATTAATCAATTGTTGTTAGGATAAACGGTACTATTTGTTGAGGATTTTGTACCCTTTAATTGGTTTGGATGACTGATGTGTTATGATGTTCGATTTCAGGCGGCTTTGCTAACACCAATGGAATATGTACCAAGAATGTACAAGGTGGGACTAGGCATGGGATATCTGGAACTGCCACAAGGTAACAAATTACATTTAAAGTACCTCTCATATGGTAAGATTCAAAAGATTTGAAATGAAAAATTAAAATTTGTATACTGTGAATACTTATATTAGCACTTATTTTATTTTTTCCATTTGATGATTTTTGTATTACTAAAATCTGATCTAAGAAAATAACAAAGAGCAAAACAACAAATACTCACGAGTAATAATGATAAATGAAAACATCTTACTTGTGATGTACCTGTAGAACATGTTAACGGTGGATCATGCATGTGTATGCCTCTGTCTGCAGTCATATGTTGAACTCAGATGTCTAATTTGAGTCGCATTTGACACATCCAACTGAGCTAATTTGTGTCTATCTTAATAAATTATACTTTACAGTTATTCATGTTTGCATCAAAATTTGACTGCACTAAGATGAGTATGTTTACGTATACTTGAAATTACTAAAATATTCAGTGTGGTTAAACTACATATTTATTTTTTGTTTTAGTTGACATTCCAAAAGGGAAGTTAGTGCAGTCCCTGCTGCTGTCTAAATGTGTGTACATACTGGATTGTAAAACTGACCTGTTTGTATGGTGAGTACATTTTATAATGAATATTTTTGTGAATTAGTATATGACTTTAATCTTAAGTATTCATCGTGAATTCCTGTACATAATTCTTTCTTCTTGATAAGCTTCTCTCTTTCTTTTGAAGGATTGGTAAAAAGTCAACTCGACTCATCAGGGCAGCGGCACTCAAACTTTCACAGGAACTCAATGTTATGTTGGTTCGTCCAGACTACTGCAGTGTAACCAGGTGTTTAGAAGGGTGTGTACTTTTTGTACAGTGATTTCCTACTTCAGTAAATGATGATTTCCATAATAATGGCGTTTGTCTGCTAATGTCTGTTATTAATTCTCAGTTTAAAAACATTCTGTATATGGAAAAAAAATCACTAAAAAGTAAAATTTAAAAGACGTTTTTGTCAGATGCCCCAACCACAATTAAAGTTGCATTTTGAAACAGATGATTTTTCAAAGTTACAAGAAAATGCTGTTTCTATTTGAATTGGTGCACAGTTCTATGATCAGTTGTAAAGTTAAAGGCAATTATTCTGTATAGGAAATAGGCTGATGCCACTGAATAGACAATTTAAACAGTTTCACTTCATTTTTTTATCATTTTATTGACAATTTCACAAACTTAAATTGTAAAATTGTAATAGTATTTGATACTGATGTTGATGAAGTTTTATATGACACTGACCTTCTTCCTGGACTGTTTTACAGAACAGAGCCACAGGTATTTAAGACAAAATTTGTTGGCTGGGACGATGTGATACCTGTAGACTATACAAGGACAGCTGAGTCAATGGTTCGAAGGGGACATGACCTCAAGGTAATATGGTGGCACAACCTCAGTGTTACACAGGGGGTATGACCTCAGGATAATACAAGGGGCACAACCTTATGGTAATACAGGGGCACAGCTTTGAGGTACTGGGGTGATGAAGGGGTTTGAACTCAAGGTTATGCATGGGGAATGATCTCAAAGTAGCACAAGGAGCACAAAATAAATCTGTGGAGGTTACCACTAAGAATACCGTAGGTAAAATGTCGTGGAGAATATGACTACAGAGTGTTATTACTGTAAATGTCTCCCTGATTTGTATTCTAGTAATTTGAAACATCTTCTTGGATTTTGGGTCATCATTCTTCAATTGTTTATAATGTGTTCTGATACTACGATTTCATCTTTTGTGCATTCCATTACTAATTTACCTGGTCTAAAGGACTGGTGAGCTGATGCCATGGTGCATCATCAGTCAAATTCATACTAAGAACCGCTACTGGTTTTGGACGAACTTTGCTGATATTTGCTCATAATGCTCCTTTAGGGAAGTGGAATTAAGTTTTTGAACAAGTTGTTTAAATTTCTTCTTCTTTTGTAGAAATCATTGAATTTTGCCCAGATTTGTTTGGTCTGAAGTATTCTTTGGGAACGATCTCGGTTCCCTTGGGCAAGATGGGTGGGGCCAAGTAGGGGAAAAAGAGCAAATTTGTTTTAAAATACTTCTCCCCTCCGATCCTTTAGGAATTCCTAGATTCTGTCCCGATTTGGTCAAAAGCATTTTTGGCTGAAGGGGAATCAATTTTGTATAAACAGTGAGTCTCAGTCCCTTGGGACTGGTCTGAATAGAGGAAATTGAACAAATTCTTTAAAATCCTACTCCTTCTGTAGGAAAGGTTGGGTTTTGACTAAATTTAGTCTGAGGCATGCTCGGGTGAATGGGATTATTTTGTATAACAATTGGTCTCGGCTCCCTGGGGTGAGAGGGCGAGGCCCAATAGGGAAAATAGAGCATATTCTTTTGAATTTTTCTGTTGGAAGAATTCAGTTTAGCCCAAATTAACAGTGTGTCTGACCCCCACCTTGGGCAGAGGGGCTGGTCATTCTAGGGAAAATAATGATGCAAGTCTTTTAAGTACTTTTCCTATAAGTTTCAATGAATCAATTTCAGCAAACTAAATCAGGTGAGCAATACAGGCCTTATGGGCCTCTTGTTTAGAAGTAAGGAATTGATATGATTTTAAATACCATATTTGTACTTTGTAGGTCATTATGGCAAGAGACAAGTTGAAGACAGACCTGTCAGCACTCTTCATGCCCAGACAACCCACCATGACTCTTGAGGAGGCTGTAAGCTTTTATTCACATTTCATTACTAATAGACAGAGAAACAATCTACCAAACTGATATTTAATGACATAATGTAAAAAAAACCTTTCACTTGCTTCTTGTATATTCAAACCTTCAAAGGTAGCTAACAAAATAATTAACTGAGCCATTTTACATGGTAGGACCAGTTGACCACTGAATGGAATGAAGATCTGGATGGCATGGAAGCATTTGTTTTAGAGGGCAAGAAGTTTGTACGACTGCCAGATGAGGAGCTAGGTAGGTGATGCATGAACTGTAATACTGCTGAACGCTCATTCATCTCTTAGGTGTACTAGCTAGTTATTACTGTTGTCTCAGTGTTGATGAGGCAGGATTTAGTACTGATGTCTAAAGATAATGTTTGTGGCACCATACTAGTAGAACCCTTTACATAAGACATCAATTTTTTTTTTTACATTTTGAAAACACAGATCATGTTCTGAAAGGAAAAGTTCTCAGATATAGTGCTGGAATCAGAAACTGTTACTTCAGATTCTACTCAACAGGTATAGTAAGTTAATTTTCCATGTGATATACTTGTGGTCTATACAGTTTTCTGTTTAATGTTTCTGTTGCATGATAACAGGAATATTCCACACTGAGGATTGCTATGTGTTCCTGTGTCGGTACTGGGTACCACTGGAAAAAGATGAGGACGAGGAGGAGGATGAAGAGGATGAAGATGAGGATCCAGAGGAAGATGACTATAAATGTGTTGTGTACTTCTGGCAAGGGCGTGACACCTCCAACATGGGCTGGCTCACCTTTACTTTCAGGTATCTCAGACATAAGGAATACATCTGATGGTCTCAATGTAAATTTAGAACCAGGATAAAACCCAGAAGGTCTTGTTCCAGTAAAGATGAATATCAAGATCTTTAAACTGACCTTTAGGTATCTCAGACACAAGGAATACAACTGATTGACTCATTGTAAATTTAGAATCAGAGGTTAGGTCCTGATCCAGTATAAATGAATATTAAGATCTTTAAATTGGCCTTTAGGTATCTCAGACATAAGGAATACATCTGATTGTCTCAATGTAAATTTAGAATCAGATTTTAGATCCTGTTCCAGTAGAAATGAATATTAAGATCTTTAAAATGCACCTGATTAGGTCAACTCTACATGGTTTCATCTGAGTTATTGAAGTGATTTGTAACACTCTGTTTTACAGCTTACAAAAAAAGTTTGAGACTCTGTTCAAGGACAGACTAGAAGTAGTACGAACACACCAGCAACAGGAGAACCTGAAATTCCTCTCCCACTTCAAACGCCAATTCATCATCCGACAGGGCAAGAGGAAAGTTGGTGGGGGCGAGGTTAAGAAGACTGATATTGAATTCTTCCATCTACGTGCCAATGGCAGTCCTATAGCCACAAGATGTATACAGGTAAAATACTGATAGTTACCTTGTTTGTAGTGTATTGTAACTGCACACGATAGGACTTTTTTTAACATTGATTGTAGACTGGAGAAGTGTGCTGTGACATCACCAACCTAAAGTCAATCTCTTTGTATTTCTGTCAGGTCTAGTGTAATTAATCAGTTAATGAAATGATACTCTCAGTGTCCATTAAGATATCTCTAGATTTATACAGGTTCAGTTTACACCGAAAAAAGCACTACCTTCGAGATCAGTAAAATTCAATTAGAGTGAAACCGAAGATATAGTCAAGATATGGCAAAAACAGATGTTTGATAATGTAATGAGCTGTTCATGACTGATATTGATATTAATAGAACATTTCATTCTTGTAGATAAGGCCAGACGCCTCCTTATTAAACTCATTCTTTTGGTAAGTATTTCACCCAAGTAATGAAATAATATTGCTTAGTTATTTAATTTAACGAGGTTAAACATTTCACAGTTCCATCAGTATCCTTACTATTAGTCGATATGTGATATAAAGGGTCAATTTATCTGGATTGATAAATTTTATTATAACAATGGAACAGTAAGGCATGTTTCAAAACTCCAAGAGCATGACTCAAAAATCAGGTAAGATAATCACATAGAACTTTGTACACTAAATCGAGGTAAGATAATCACACACAACTTTGTACACTATATCAAGGTAAGATAATCACACACAACTTTATACACTATATCAAGGTAAGATAATCACACACAACTTTGTACACTATATCAAGGTAAGATAATCACACACAACTTTGTACACTATATTAAGGTAAGATAATCACACACAACTTTGTACACTATATCAAGGTAAGATAATCACACACAACTTTGTACACTATATAAAGGTAAGATAATCACACACAACTTTGTACACTATATTAAGGTAAGATAATCACACACAACTTTGTACACGATATTAAGGGCAGATAAACACACAACTTTGTACACTATATAAAGGTAAGATAATCACACACAACTTTGTACACTATATTAAGGTAAGATAATCACACACAACTTTGTACACTAAATCAAGGTAAGATAATCACACACAACTTTATACACTATATTAAGGTAAGATAATCACACACAACTTTATACACTATATTGAGGTAAAATAACCACACACAACTTTGTATCACACACAACTTTATACACTATATTGAGGTAAAATAATCACACACAACTTTGTACACTATATTAAGGTAAGATAATCACACACAACTTTGTACACTATATTAAGGTAAGATAATCACACACAACTTTATACACTATATTGAGGTAAAATAACCACACACAACTTTGTACACTAAATCAAGGTAGGTTAATCACACACAACTTTGTACACTAAATCGAGGTAAGATAATCACACACAACTTTGTACACTAAATCGAGGTAAGATAATCACACACAACTTTGTACACTATATCAAGGTAAGATAATCACACACAACTTTGTACACTAAATCAAGGTAGGTTAATCACACACAACTTGAATGCTGTATCAAGGTACTTAATATCATTTCACTACCTGAATTCATTATGAAATCATAAAGCTGTTAGAAGATGAATTATCTTTATATTTCCATGGTAACCATAACATGATTCTGTACTGAAATTTCAGCTATATCCTGATGGTGCCGTTTGATAGTGAGGATCTCATGGGCGTGGTCTATGTGTGGATTGGCAGCAGAGCAGAGCATGAGGAGGCTACACTGGCAGAAAAGATAGCATACAAAATGTACAAAGTATGTATAAAACTGTGGAATATTTCATACAAGATGTTTAAATTAGGTATTTAAACTAGATGTAAATAAAATATAGCACACATGATGTAGAAACCAAGAGTATGTAGACAATTATATGTCAGTCTTTTAGATTACTACATGTACTAAAACACAGTATGCAAAATTTTTAAGTAGAAAACAGAAACGATATCACAGTACCCTGTTTCAACTTCAGGATAACTACACGATACAAATGATCAGTGAGGGCGAAGAGCCAGTCAACTTCTTCTGGGTTGGCATTGGAGGAAAGAAACCGCATGAAACGGTAAGTAATCAATAGTTATTCACAATTTAAGACATTGTATCTGTGTGTTAGTAAAGGTTAGGATTGTTTATTTCCTGGGTTAATTACCGCAAACACAGTCAAGGTAATTTTGATGCAGGATCTTCTTGTAGTAGCAGGTGACTAACTCACTGAACAAGATATGGGAGGCTGTCCTGAGAAATAAGTTTTTGGTAGGGAGCATAAAACAACCTACGACGGATCATTACCTGGGGTTATATAGGACATCGCTATAGGACATTGCTGTGAGCTAGCATGGCCCCAGGGATGATTTCCAATATATTTCCAGTGTAGCTTCCCCAAACCAATCCTTCTCAAACCAATCACTCCTTGAAAGCAAACAAAATGTGATGTACAGAATGACGTCCTTTTTATCATAGTAATAAAAACATTCCCAAAAAAAATCAATCTCAATTCCAAATACCAAACTGATTTTTTTCGTCCGAAATGATTGAAATATACCAAAAATCACTTCTGAAATCCGGCCTTACCTGAACAATCAAGACCTGAGTTCCAACAAACTGTGTTGACAGTTGTAAGCTTTGCACCCTATGCTTGTCATGGGTAGGCTTTCTTCACAATACCTACCCTGATCAGGAGGATTATGATAAACATAATGTATAGTTATCACCAATGACAAATTGAAACCATATCAAACAAGTCCATCATTTCACGGAAGTGAGAAACGGCTACAGACAAATTGAAAATAAGTACTGATGCAGAGTTAGAAAGCTGTAGTTTCGTATCTAAATCGTAAGTAATTGAATAATGCTATTTTGATACATATCAATTGGAAATATTGAGACTTTTAGGTCAGTTTTTATACTGGTCACCAAAATACATATTCATCAAATATATCGGTTGGTATCACTTTCGGAAAAACGGACCATCCGACTGGGGCTACGTCAAAGCGTATGTAAAGTTACATTACTTCTGAGATTGCCATGAAATGCATAAATTTCTTTTTGACCATAGCCACACATAGAATACAAGTATCGCTGTTGCTGTTTTTTCACTGTACAGATTTATTTTTACTCTAAAACTTTTTCCTCTGTATATATTTGGACATGTGAAGTGTAAATAATGAGTGAACAAAATGGTCATGTAATTAATGTATACAACAGAATCAGTTCAATCATATCAGAGTCTGGAGCGGTCAACTTGCTCAATTTCTACAAACTGAACCCTCCTTGAACTGGCCAAATATTCATGTCCCATAAATAGTCAGTTTGAAGAGGTTCCACTGTATGTATCATCTTTCTGATAAAAAGTTCACAATGAACTCTTTGAACCATCACATTCTCATTTCCTTGTTCTGTAGACGTGAAGTGATTTTGTTATAAAGTATAATACTGAAAGAATAGTTTTAAAAGAAGTAAGTGATGGTTTTGATTGATGTTATCATACCTATTCCTTTATGTAAATGTAAATACATATTTTTCAGGAGGCAAAGTTCATGCAACATGCTCGCCTGTTTAGGTGTTCCAATGAAAAAGGATACTTCACAGTGTCGGAAAAATGTGCAGATTTCTGTCAGGTAAAGCCACAGATATTGTTTCTTATTTGGTCAATCATAAGCAGGTCTGTATCTGCCATATCATCCTATCATAAAACATGTCAGTCCATGGCAGACATTCTAGTTTGGTATGTCACAGTGATCTTTCCCAATTACAAAACACAAAAGCATGTTAAGTAAACCTGATCCCCAGGTACCATCTGCAAATAGTCATCAATAGTATCATGTAAACTCCTTTATAATAACAAATGCTTGCAATATAACATTGTAAGGTTATACTGTAGGTTCTTCAAGAATTAGAAACAATCTTGGTACCATTCTTAAATGTGAGCCAAGCCCACTGTACTGTAAATTTGTTTTATGTATTGTGACATATTTTCTGCTGTGTTATGTGACACTTTTTATCACACTCTTCTACAAACTTCATGTTTTACTTGAGTCATGTATGTCTTATATGGTTTGTTCCTAAGAAAACATGAGCATACCCATCGCTATTTAGTATTTGTGACAAAAAATTACAGAAATGTGAAGGAAAAAGTTTACTTCATGCACTTTGATACAGATTGGAAATAAATTAAACATTTGTTAAATCTTTATTAATGTTGGTTTGAATAGTTGTATATTGTAGTCAAAATTGGATACATGTATTTCTCTGTTGAGTTGATAATGGGTATATAAGGGTACCATGACTGTTAGCATCTGCAGGATTGATTTTCAGCAGATGGCAGCTGTAGTTGTATGACATCCAAATTTTTCATATCTTATGATGTGTTTTCTCCTACAAGGACGATCTGGCTGATGATGACGTGATGATCTTGGACAACGGGGAAAATGTCTTCCTCTGGGTTGGCAAGAAAACAAGTGATGTGGAAATAAAACTTGCATTTAAGAGTGCACAGGTAATGATATAATCAGTTATTATTAGGAGTGTTGATCCCTTCATTACAACTAGTCCTCAAGGGTAGGTAGCTGGTGATATCAGAGGTGTTGATCCCTTCATTACAACTAGTCCTCAAGGGTAGGTAGCTAGTGATATCAGAGGTGTTGATCCTTTCATTACAACTAGTCCTCATGGGTAGGTAGCTAGTGATATCAGAGATGTTGATCCTTTCATTATAACTAGTCCTCAAGGGTAGGTAGCTAGTGATATCAGAGATGTTGATCCCTTCATTACAACTAGTCCTCAAGGGTAGGTAGCTAGTGATATCAGGAATGTTGAGGTTACTAGTGATATTAGAAGTGTTTGTCATGGGATTTAAACAAAATGAATGAAACCTATTCAGAGATGTTTGAATGTAATGTAGGCAAATTTTTATAGATTCATGAGTTGAAATACATCTTTTTAACATTTATAATGATAATATGCAACATTATAAATGTTAATAAGATGTGTTTCAGTCTTGATGCTTTAAATTAAATAAAGACATCGATATTCTTCTTTATTTCCTGGTCTGTTGATGATGATACATTGTAGAGTAACAACTATTCATGGTTAAAATATTTTTCTTCTCTAGTTAATAGTTGTTATGTGACACAAACACTCAGGAAATCAATGTCAAAACGTTTTTCATGCAATGATTGATCACAATTACGCAAACAATATGATGAATAAATATATTCCAAAAAATCTAATGATAAGATGCTTTTGTGTGTTTTGAAATAAAATCAATTTTACCTTTCTGATGTTGTAGGTATACATCCAACACATGCGTAACAAACAGCCCAACAAGCCACGTAAACTACTGCTAGCCATGAAATACAAGGAACTGAGAAAGTTTACAAAGTGTTTCCACGGCTGGGGAAAGTACAAGGAGGTTCTGGAGTGAACAGTTTGTCCATTTTCCCACAGCTACAGGAGTTGCACAACATTCTAAACAAAATATCTGTTGCAACAGATTTCATTTATAGTGATTTTTCTTCTCGTCAAAGTGAAAATTTAACAACCAATTAATTTTATTGGTATTGTTTATAAGAATGATGGATAGTTTCTGATAGCTTTCTGTTCATTATCATTAAAAGTAAAGATTTATATCTGTTATCAGTCAGCAGAATTTTAAAGAATTGTTGGTGCTGTAGTTCAAACCTCCTGCACTTGTTTCCATACATTGTACGTAGGTGTATCAGGTGTGATTCCCCTAAGTTGGTCACAAAAGACTGTTCTTGTGCAATATTGATGTTAACACTATTTGAGTACAAATGATCTGCTGTAGAATTGTGTGTTTGTGTTGGAGGCCGAGTTTGTCTGTGATATTGGGAATGTTTTATGCTGCTGCCTATAATACCTTTTTATCTTCTGTTAGTACTAGAATATTCTAAAGTCTGTCTCTCCTCATGTTAACATATTCTCCCTGTTGTTGTTAACATATATGTTTGTTACTGGTGAAATATTTACGAACAAAGTCTTAGCTTCTGAAAATTAATTATTAATTGATGTTATAGAAATAGTATTTGAAAGTAAATAATAATGATAAATTCACATTTAAATCCAAGAAGTTTGGTATGTGGAGTAATCCTTATTCCTTGTTTCCAAAATTATATCTTTAGTCACCTATGTACAATAGCTCATGATTCTGCAGTGATATAAGCTGAAGGGTACCACAGAATTAGTCATAAATGTAAAGAGAATTTGTATGAAAGATAAGTTTGAAATTTGTATACTGTGTAAAGTAGACCATCAGTTGTATACTGTGTAAAGCTGACCATCAGTTGTGTACTGTGTAAAGCTGACCATCAGTTGTATACTGTGTAAAGCTGACCATCAGTTGTATACTGTTTAAAGCTGACCATCAGTTGTATACTGTTTAAAGCTGACCATCAAATGTGTACTGTTTAAAGCTGACCATCAGTTGTGTACTGTTTAATGCTGACCATCAGTTGTGTGTTTAGTACTGATATAATAACAATAGAATTGATATGATAACAATGCAAATGAATATTGGTATTACAATTTCAGTTATATCACATAAAATGTAGAATTTGTTTTTATAAATTAAATTTATCAATGTCATATATATGATAATATAAATCCAGTACACTTATATATGAAGTAGATAGACTGATTGAGATGGTTTAAAACAGAGCTATTTCAGAGGAAAAACCACCATTCTGACATTTTAATGAAGTCATTGGAAGTATTTGTCAAGAGCTTGCCACATAACAAGAGATATATGATTTATGTTGATGCTGTTAATGAACAGGTCTGGTTAAGGACCTGATAAAGAGAGATCTAATCATACTATCAAAGTGTGGAATTATTGTTTATCATTATCATCTGATCAGGAGTGAGTGGTGAATATGACATTTATTACCATTATAGTGAAACCTGTCAAATCTATCGGAACTGAATCAAACTTGACTTGTACATTCTGATAGCCTGTCTTATCTTACTGACATGTATTAACTTCTCCACTGTTGTATGGCCCACTGACAATATAGACGATTAGGGTCCAGTATGAAAGTGTATTGTGTGTACACGTTGTTGGATCAAACATGTTTTAATACTGTCAGAGGTCATATTACCATTGATAGAGTGAATGTTTATAATCATTGGATTTAGTCAAAAGAATTTATCAACGTTTATTGACATGATTACATAATATTTAAAAATAATTACCATTGTTATAGAATTCCATAACTTTTTTTATATAATAAAAAACAACCATTTATAAACCAGTCTTTTGTTATCAATGAAGAAAGACAGGAGCAGTAAACAGGATTAGAATACACATGACACAGCTGTGTTGTGTACCACTATCAAGTACCAGGTCGAGCAAAGTACAGCACATGTTACAGCTGTAGATTTTGTACAACTGAACAATAATTTGTGAATGTTGAATGTAAATGTCTTGAGCAAACCCCAAGTCACAATAAGATTTCAAAGTACACTGGCACATTTACAGAATTACAAATATATATATATATATATATATAAGTAGCAATAAAATAGCAACCCTAATTCTGTAACAAATACCTTGATAAAAATTGACACTTCATTAACACTTCCTATGGGAGAGTGATGTCTCTGTTTTCCGTAGCTAACCAGCCCAATTGGTAAGTTTCTCATTGTCACTTCCTATGGTAGAATAATGCTTGGGCTTGCACTGGCTAGCCTAGCTGGTACATATCTCATTGACACTTCCTGTGGGAGAAAAATGACTTGACAGGTAGCTAGCCCTGTTGGTAGGCTTCTCATTGACACTTCCTGTGGGAGAGAGATGTCTGGACTCGTAACTAGCTAGCCCAGTTGGTATGTTTCTCATTGACATTTCTGTGGAAGAGAGATATCACTGGTTTCAGTAGCTAGCTAGCCCAGAATCGTGCCTACCCCATTGACACTTCCTGTGGCAGAGAGATGTCTGTGAATTGATAGAAGGCTATGTCTCCATGGTCAAGTACTGCCCAGCTAACTGGAACACCATCAGGAAATGATCTTTGGGTACTCAAAATTTCCTGGAGATTTGGCGGCTTTTCATGAATCCTAAAATGTAAAGTTGTACTTTGAAACAGTATTAAATGTATACAACTGACTTCTAATTGTTTCTATATTCTCATGTATGGAACAACTTTTTGGAATAATTTCTGCCCAATCAGAATAGATACTGCTGGAAACTGGAGGTGTTTTTAACTGCAAACTTGGGCATTTGAGGAGTATTGGTAGTGTGGATAGAATAAACTGAACTGACAGCCAATCAAATTCCACTAACCCTACTCTACATCATTGTTGGATTATAACACATAACATGAAAACAATGTAATGATCCTGACATAAAGTACTATACAGCAACTTCAATTACCACACGGCACCCACAAGTACCACATAGTGCCTACAATTACCACACACGGCACCCACAAGTACCACATAGTGCCTACAATTACCACACACGGCACCCACAAGTACCACATAGTGCCTACAATTACCACACACGGCACCCACAAGTACCACATAGTGCCTACAATTACCACACACGACACCCACAAGTACCACATAGTGCCTACAATTACCACACACGGCACCCACAAGTACCACATAGTGCCTACAATTACCACACACAACACCCACAAGTACCACATAGTGCCTACAATTACCACACACGACACCCACAAGTATCATAAAAAAAACCATAATGTACCACACAATACACCCTGAAGTACCACAAGCTTAATCCTCAAGGGCTACACACTAAACACAATACATGCTCAAGTATCATAAAACACCTTCAAGTACCACACACTGCACCCTAAAGTACCACATTCTACACACCTAAGTACCAAACATAACATCCACACTAGTACCACACACTACGACCTCAAGAACTACACAATACATTTTTCAAGTACCATAAACTACACCCTCAGGAACCACAGATTACATCCTTAAATATCACAAACTACATCCTCAAATGCCTCACTCTACATCCTCAAGAAGCACTGACTATACCCTTAAGTACCACATATTGCACTCTCAAGTAAATTGTATCACACACTGCATCCTGAGGAACCACTCATTACACTCTGAAGAATCACAAAACACTCTGAAGAACCAAACAATTACTACCCATAAGTAAATCACACTTACTTTGAGACACAGACTCTGTAATTAGGAAGTCCAGGCCTTGACTTTCTGAACTTGGCATCTGGTAGGTAAACATCAAATATGGTTCCACCAGGTAAAGTACTGGGTGTGTCTATCTGAGACCTGTATAGGCAGGTTTGAAAATATATATAAAGAATACAGTTTGTGTTGTCACAACCACAATTTTGTTCTCCAGTCTCTGATACATATATATTAAAACCAAGCCAAAAAGACTGCTTGCTATAGGTATTGCCTGTAGGTTTAGTGCACATAAATAAAATCTAATTCCAATTCTTTTTATCATATTCAGATTCTTATCAACCAGGACAAGGCCTGTTTTTGTCATTATCAAGCAAAGCATGGCCTGTATTTGACCATATCTAGGTGGGCACTTTTTTGTCTTGTCAACTTGGAAAATGTGTGATTTTGCCCTTTTTATATATAACTAGAGCAAAGCCTATATTTGTTCTTATCCTTTTTTTATCATTATTTGGGTAAGGACTTTTTTGTCACCAGGGCAAAGATACACTTCATCCTTATCAACCTGGGCAAGACTGCAAATGGAATAACTTGATGAATTTCAACAAACAAGCTAACACGTATGAGTGGAGTTCTCAAAACTGGACAGATATTCCCTCTTGATGCAGTTTTGTCAATAATTACAGTAATTAATCCTGATTTAAACATGGTAAACAAGAGGGTAAATAAAGAGATATCTTACCTAGGTCCCTTTGTTAAATTAACACTTTCAATGATTTGCAATCTATTCAAGATACTGCCTGTAACAGGAAAACAAATGCAGGTAAAACTATTATTTCATGTTTGACATTGATTTGATAGGAAAGACACTGAAAACAATACCATACTTTTTTTTATAATGTGTTCTGAAAGATTTCATTTTCAAACATTATTTACAAAGGGATTTAAAAATTCAATGAATTACATAATTAAGTATGACCACTCCCATTTCTTAGTATCAAGGGTATAACATTTTATACTTCATGTACTTGCTTGCAAGAAGATTTCACAAAACAGTATACTGGTATATGCATCCTTTATAATTTACATTTTCACTAACTCTGTTATAAAATCCCAGATTAGTGGAATTGTATACCCCTACAGACTCAATACTACATAGAAAAAAACAGCAAGTTGAATAAAAAACATTTCAAGTAAATGCAGCTATTCCTGTTTTTATTGTTTTGTCTGTTATAATTTTCTATTTTCCAACCTGTATTGCATTGGTAAATATATACCTGTGGAGGTAGCATCACTTGGTCTTACTAATGGAGTTATCTCCCCCTCCCAAAGATGCTGTGCTGGAGAGACTCTTTTATCCTCCATGTCTCTGATTGCCATCTTCTTTTTAAACTCTCCCCAATTTGAGGCCATTATTTTCGTCTGTTTATGAATCATTTCTGAATAAGAGAATTCTAAATTTTCTATGCATTCCTGCTGTTGTTGTCTATGATGTTTTTTAAGGTGTTTTCTTTGCTGTGAAAGGTAAGTCTGAACATTAAATATGGTTGACGCTTTACTCAGGTCTACACCATGTGGAAGCAGATCAAGTCTAGGTATCTGTAACTCCAGCACCTCTACACCTCCTATGTTAGGGAAGCCCAATCTGTCAAACTCCCACACCGAATAAGGTACACTTTGTCCATCACATTCCTCTGCCAAATCACTCTCTTTTATTCCAGTGTCGGTTTGATTAGTTGACCCACTAGTGTTCCACCCATTGCTGTCACATCTATCCTCAATCACTCCTTCACTTATGGATGACCCACCCAGGTCCATAAGTGATGCACATTTTTCTGGGCAAGAATTTTCAAGCTGTTCTTTCATCAATTCTTTATCTGAGTCATCTAATGCAACTTTGACTTTCTTGTGAAGTTGATCTAATCCAGAGGTGTCAGATGTATTGTCTCCCTTATGTTTCCTTTTCTTTTTGTCCATTTTAACATGTTGGTCTAAATGGATTTTTCTTTCATAAGTTGTGACATCTAGGCTGTGGAAAAGCAAAGGTTGTTACAAAGTAAAACTGACAAGCTAGGGAAAAATGCCCTTGATGCTTCTTTTCTCCATTAAAATCATTTAAAAATCATACATTATTTATAGGTTGATTCAGAATATCAGATATCATATAAGATGATAAGGAAATGCGATCTTTAGTGATTGTGTGTCTGAAAATCATGTAGAAGCTAGGACTTTCAAATAAGTTCTGAAATCTGACAAAGTTCCCCAAATGATCAAAATGGACCCTTTGCCTACCAACATATAAGGACCACAAAATCACTAACAAAGCTGTTTTAATTACTCTCATGCTGATACTTAATATCACCAATTCTTATATCAAATCATACTCAAACGAAAATTAAGAAAATCAACCCCACTGAATTCAAGAAATGTAACCTAATCCAGTTATAGTTGAGTACTATCTATATGTTTAGTTCTTGTGATGGTCTGAAATTTACCACTTACCATCCTTGATGTCGCAGTACAACATATCCCAGTCTCCTCAGGTGAGAATAGACTTGGTAGCACTCTGTGGTCAAAGCAACAGTTCCTAAAAATGCTGTATATGCTTGCTGGATGCTGATAGGCAAGCCTTTGTAATTCACCACCAGTGTGTTCTGTAGGAATATTGGTACAAATAAGGCAAAAATACAATTTCTATAATATAAAATCTAGTAATGACCAACTTATGTGTAAATATATTTGGTGGAATGTAAGGGTGTTCTGATTTCATTTTGTGTATCTCCTATGTATCTTTAAAAAGGACATGTATCACTCTTACTTTGATTTACTTTGATTTATCACAATAAATTATGTATCTTGTCACCAAAATCCGTTACATAACTCTCAAGTCAATTTTCCAAATATTGGCTGGTAATAATACACAGTTAACATCTGATAAAAAGTGTAACTACATTGCTTAATACCATAAGTTATTTAAAGTTTCTGTGTTAATTTAACAGAACTTTCTATTTGATAATTAGTATTTTTCAGTGGTAATGTTATGTCAAGCAGCACCTTTTATTGTTATGAAGATGTTAAGTCCTAAACAAAACACTGTACATCTAGCACATAAAGAAACCAGAATGTTAAGTTGCTTTTACATAATATTGACATAGGTCTGCAGAATCTCCAAGCTAAGATTAAAGTACCAAAGATCAGCTGTCTAGCTTCAATTTACCTTTCATTTAGATTTATTTCTTAGTCTGTAAAGAGAATTTCATTTATGGTAAGGAAATCTAAATTCAAGGAGAATTTCATGGGTTCCACTTACGGTTTCCATAAGGAACAGTGCCTCCTCTGGAAACAACCACTTCCTACTGCTGTCTACAAATCCCATATACGTCCAAAACTTTCCCTGTAAATAAGGAAAACTATTCTCTCATAAAAATATCTCTATAAAAATATAAGAGACATGATGCAACATCTCAACATTTATCTTTAAGTTAAGGAAAACGTTTAAAGTGTATGAATTATTGATACTCATGGTGAACAATTTTTCCTCAAATATTCCTTATTTCCCATGACTATAATATATAGATTAAATGACAATTCAATTTTTCTTTTTTGCTTTTTGCAAACAATCTCACCATTTCTCGTTCAAGTTCAACAAGTTGACGGTCTTTGTTCCATTCTCCTTTCACCAAACCACCCCTAACAAGAAGAAAAAATAATCAAATACTTGTATGCGTCTCTAATCTTTGTTCATTTCCTTGTTGGTGGTTGTTTGATTAAATGACAATATCAACAAGAACAAAGCATTGCATGCAGAAAAATATATAAGCCTGTTCCTTACCAAAGAGAACACTTTATCTTTTTTTTAATCAAAATGCCACTGAGATTTCATGTCACTATAAATAAACTTATCAAGTAAGAAAGAAATTTGTTAAGAAATGAAGAACAAAGGGAAATAACTCATCCAAATCTAGCCAAGTGAAAAAGTCTCAAGGGATTACAATGCTTGGTTAATAACTGCGGGAGGAGATGATCTCCAAACAAGATTAATATAAGTTTTGAGTACTGAGTAATTACCTTGAATGTTTTAAGAAAACTGGTTTGAAAAAATTAAACATTGTGATTTGGCCTATCTGTTTCCTTGGTAACTGAAAAAGTATTTAAATGGAGAATTTCCCTATAGCAAAAGACACTACAAGCTTAATAAGAGTAAAATGTTTTGAGCAATTATCTTGAACCATTTCAGAGCACTGGTCCAGAAAAAAATGAAATTTGTGTTGAAGGATATCTGTTTCCATGGTAACAGAAAAAAAAATTAATCAATTTTTAATCCTGATATATACAGAAATTTCTGTTGAGTTGATTGGAATGATTTTTAAGTTGTAGCCTGGAAAGGAAAGTAAATACTAATTTTGTGTTTTTTGGCAATGTTTCCATGGTTACAGAAAAAAATATAAAAGAATTATAGGTCATCAATAGCAAAAGGCACAACTAGAGCACTAACAATATGTATACAGATAGTTTTATTGAGTTCAGTGGAACAATTTTTAAGGTGTAGCCTGGAAAGGAAAGTAAACACTAATTTTATGTTTTTTGGCTGTTTCTATGGAAACAAAAAAAAGATGAAAAATGAAATGTAATCAATAGCAAAAGACACAACTAGGGCGCTAAATTAATACATACAGCAAGTTTTGTGAAGTTGAGTTGAAAGGTTTTGAAGTTCTAGCCCGGAAAAATCCTTTTCTCTATTGTATTCTGTCCCTCTACCCTATGGGGCTCAGATCCACCAATTACAGAAAATTGATTCCACTTCATCCATGCTTCTGACCAAATCTGGACAGAATCCAGAAATTTCTACAGAGGAAGAAGGACTATTTGGCCCAGCCCCTCCGAATCCACGGAACCAAGATTTATTGTTAGTAAGAAATAGATTCTCATTCACCCAAAGATGCTTCAGACCAAATTTGGACAGAATATGGAATTCCAATATTTGGTCCTGCCCCTTCTGCCCTAGGGGGCTGAGACCCCTGTTTAAATACAAAATTATGTCTGTTTTACTTAGGAATACATCAGAATAAATTTGGACAAAATCCAATCATTCCTATAGAAGAAGAATGGTTTGGCTTACTTTCTTCTTTTGGGCCCTACCCCTCACGCCCCAGGGGGTTCAGGCACACTATTTATACAAAAATGAGTTCCCTCCTCCGAAGATGTTTCTGACCCAATTTGCTCAAATCCTGCTGAGTTGTTCATGGCTAGTAATTTAAGAAGGCAGAAAGATAAGCAAACAATGCCATAAGGTCACTCGACCATTGGGGCCATGTGAGCTAAAATTTAGAATTAAAATTCTGTCAAGGAAAACAAAATTTCATGTCATGGTGATTAAGCATACCAAACTTGAAAGAGACTGGTTGAAAACTATAGGAGAAAATCTCTACATTGCAAGCTTATGACAGATAAATGTGACAAACAACTTTATAACAAAATATGTAAAAAATTTTGATGGGCGTATGAAAAGTAGGAAATCATACTCTCGCTCCACTCTTTGTTCTTTTAGGACCTTGAATCTCTCCTGGCTTAAAGACTCAATCCACTTTGATTGAAGAAATGATCCATCAGGTTCAAAGTCTTTAGCCCCTCCTCTGTTTGGCACGGTTTTGTCCAAGGGTCTGCGATATTTGAATATTTCTTGAGCACTAAAATGAAAATGAATAAACATACCTTAGTACATCAAAAAATACTTCATTAACTTCTGCTGAAATGTTGTTTTTTTTTAATTTTTCACTTGAATTTATGTACAACATGCATCTTAAAATATAGCTATAAAAGTAGTAACTCTAGTTTAATCAAACTCCATACTTTAAAGTTGATCCATGTTTGAAATGGGGCATACAATAGCACAAGTTAGTGCATGTCAAATACAACAATTACTTCCCAGCATCAAACTGCAAGAATTTAAAAGATTTCGCTTGTTGATCCCTTAACTTACACTACCCCTAGCAATGGTACAAAAAAGTATCACATTGGTTCTTTAGTGGTGAAAGGGGAGTACCAGTATATAGACTTAATTAGGAAATTAGGTAGTGTTAAACAACAAAGTTCTGTGGTTTTTTTTCTGCATCATGCAGAGTTTCTGTTAGAGATTATACCCCATACCTTTCTTTACCATACCAGAAAATCTAATCCTAGTCACCAACATAAAAGGCTAGTAAAATATCCACTGAACTATCTAAGCACACTAGCAATACCTTTGTAAGACTCGAGTGTAACAGAACTTAATCCAAAGCAGTGGTTCATGGTTTTGGCTGATTACAACTGGGCCACAATTTGAAAAAAATAAGTCACTGTTTTGGGCATACATGGAATTCTGTTGTAAGATTTGATCCAGAGTTGTAATAATCTTCATAAATAGTATATGTAAAAGGAGCAGTTTACATTCAATACAATCTCTGTCATTCAGCTGTCAAAGTATGCTCTTTTGGATCTGTTGGTCTGGCCATGGATTGTCATATGCAAAACACCCAGGTTCAAATCCTGACCGGGCAAGGATAATTTTTCCATCCTGTTCAAAATTACACAGGCTGTGAAATTTAAATGTCTCTGGTCAACATTCATAAATTACTACAAGTATAATTAAGAAACATTCAGTGTAGCTTGCACCAGAGACATAAATAATAATGTGTTATATAAAGATATGCTAGCACATACTACAATATGAAAGTGTACAAGTTGAGAGAACAACTTGCCTTACTAGCCATGGCTACTGAGAATTTCAGAGAGACTAAAAGTCAATAGTTTGAACTATGGTGGGAGCAGAGTATTTTTCATTGCTTCTTCCTATTACACATTAAGCATTCACTATGTTCTTTGTCACTAAAGCCTGTTTTTTTTTATTATCAACATGCCAGAGAATAGACCCAGGTTTGATTCCTTTCTGGGCTCTCAGCAAGAAAGTGTTTACCCCGTTACCTCGCAATGGCATTCAATGAAACCCCTCTTTTGTGGAAACTATTAGAGTCTTCGGTTAAAATTTGAGAAATCTCAAGAAAAACAAGGGAACTGATGAAGAAGCATGCCACTGTGGTTGTATATACCGTTCAATACGGTCATCCAGCTCACAAATTCCGTTTCTCCGGCCCCTTCTTCGGCTTAGATGGTAGAGTCAAGGGATACACTTGCAGGCCTATATCACTCATTCACAGCTGTTCACGCCAGATTAAGATCGACAGGAAAAGTTTATTTTTAAATAGAAGACAGTTTAGAATGATATATCATTTATATCAAATATTAAAAAATAATCACCTGAGAACTCTGTTTTCCAAAAGCGTCGTGCTGTTTGGCATTTTACATGAAGTTGTGTCGTCCATCATGACTGCAAGAACTTAGAAAAGAATTGTCTTCAAATGTCATTAATTTGTTTAAAAAAGGATAAGAAAATACTTAATTTCATGTGACTACACATCACTTTACACATATGATATAAACATGATCAAAAGACGCAGTCGGTTTTGCTTAATTATCACCAGGCTCGGATATTTCTACGATTCTTCGCTCCGAACGTGTGTTTGTTTTTCGGAATACTTCCAGTCTTTTCATCATATTTACATTAAGGTCAGATCACAATATGCGTTTGATTGAAAGGAAGAAAATATGCTAGGTCAAGACGAAAGTTGATCTCTTTCGCGCTTGAATCCAATGCGCAAGCGCAGCATTTGGTTTACTATGGAATGTCATCTAACAGCCGTGTCTCGAATAAAATAATATTTCCTGAGATCCTGGATTTCTAATATACGTAAAACTGGAAAAGATGGATCGCCAGTATGCAAATGGTAATGTTTGATATGTAAAACATTGCACGTGTCATTTTTTAAAGGAAAAACAACTAACAACTGCAAGTAGTGACCCAGTAACTCAGGTAAACAGTGCAGGTGTCCATCATGCATGCCTAGAAGAGATAGTCCCATGTGACGTAAACCTCAGTTCATCCTTTATTGTGATAGGTCAGCGATGGTCGCTCTATCATCAGATGTGCTGACCACTGGGAACAGCCATCTGATGTACTTAATGCAACAATAGTATACCTGAAAAAACGGTTAAATTATGTCGTGTGTAAATTTTACTCTTAACATTTCCTGTATACTCGGCTTCAAACTTGCTAATATTCTGAAACAAACCTCAGTGACAGATTCTTTCATATCAAATAAATACATTTAGAAGTATAAATATATAATAATGTTCGATCTTGTGACTGAAAGGTGGCCATTTTTGAAAAGGGACACTCAGACAAATATTGCTTTAATTTTGCAAAGGTTTGCCTGGTTTATTGTTGGTGATTATGAATAATATGTCTGTAAATACATCACAGAATTCAGAACAAATAGAAGGATAATAGGGAAAAGCTGCAACTTATAGAGAACCACTGAAGATCATATAATGGTGGAGAATAAGGTTAAATCTTACTTTGAAGGAGGCATACAATAACTGTACGTAAAACTACAACTGTAAATATTGTTTTGTTGAAATTCATGTCAATGCTCCTTCATGCTGGTAATAAAACCATTGAAACATGTCATCTGTATATTTTATGCTTTCATGTTGGTTATACTCATGTACAAGAATAGATATTAAATACTGTCTCACAATTTGTAGGTTCTCCTTCAAGAAAAAGGTGGTCAAAAGATGAAAGTAGCCGTCAAAGTTTAAAGGTGAGGTTTGTCATCGCTGGAAAACAGTAAAACATCAATATTTGTGAGAAAGATTTCCTATTACCGGTATGTGTAACCATATATGCACTGATTTTAACTTCTATGATGAGTTATTGCAATACATGTACATAGTTATTTCTAAATATGGTAGATATATCTGTATATTGAAGCACTAGTAGTGTTTATATTGCAACAGTATACAATGTTTACCTGTCTGTGTATGTCCAACTTACATTATACAAATATTTGTTACAGGAAGCAGCTGTACAAGAGGTCTTGCCTGGTTATGAAGATTATCTGTTATTGTTGCAAGAAAGAAACAGGTAAAAAGTTCAGTGTATTTATGTCTATGGATAAGGAATAACACTTAATATCTAAATGTATAAACTGAAATACAAAATAGAAATTACAATGTACATATATAACGTATCATATATGTTCATGAAAGAACATGAAAAAAACATAAGCCTGCTTTGAAACCCAAGAATCAAATTCAGGTTTCTGGCATGACAATCCACAGCTCAACCAATTGAACCTTGCTCCATCAGCTGAGTTCCATATTTAACACCATATGTACAAGTGCATGCACCTGCTGCTTCTGCATATTCTATTCATTTCATATCATTATGGTGGAATACAGTCAAGAAAGTGGGAGGTTTCATATATTTAGGTTTGATTTGAAAACTGGATAACATAGTTTGGTTGGATCATGCAAAAAAATAACAGACATGCAAATGAAAAATACGATAAATATAGTTTTACTAAGAATCTGGAATACTTTTTTTTTGTTGTTAGATTATTGAAGAAAATGAGAAGGAAAAACAAGAATCAAATTGAACAGGAGAAGAAAGAAAAAGGGTTTTCCATCTATGTGAATGGTGCTAATTCTGGCAGACGAAAGAGTCAGAAAAATAGTGTTGTAGATAGCAATGAGAATTCAAACTCTGCACCTAAATCACATCGTTTAAAAACAGCAGGTGGTAAGTCACTTTGTTTCCTTTTACATTTAGAATGCCACTATTCAGAAGTAGTAAGAAATATAGATTGACCTGTGAATCTCACCATTTACAGAAGACTCGACGGTTACCAGTAAGAAACAGCTTGAAGATTGTTAGAATATTTAACATCACTGAAAGCATACCAGTAACCTAAATTGTACATGCTAAACATTTCTGAAATTGATTGAATTTCTTTTAGATTACATATTATTTAGCATACATAACATTTCATTGGTAGAAAGCAGATAAATTAACTACAGTTCAATTTCCTGTCTAAAAAAACCTGAAAACATGATCTTACTGGAAGCTTGATCTTAAGGATCTATAACATATACACATGTCGGTTTGAAATAGATAAATAGTGTATACAACATATTTACGGTGATATGAAATCAAAAGTGCATCCCAGCTAAGGTCCAGACACCAGTTTTTAGAGAGTTATACATTCCACAGATGTTCCTAGGACAGTTGTAGTCCATGAATACCTTAATAAAAGAATTGAGGAGAAAAAGAGACAGGAGGATCAGAAACGAGTAAAGACAGCTCCAGCCAGGGAACGACGGCGTAAATGGATGAAAGAGTCGGTGGAGCTACAGACGGCTAGAGGTGAAAAGTGCAAATTGAAAGCACCCGGTATGTATCATGATGATACTGTTTTAGTATTGTTGGAAATCAGAGATTATTGACATGTCAACTATTATCATTCTGCCAAAAAAATAAATGATAACCATTTCAATACATTAACTAAGAAGATATTTGATTGCCAGGTTTATCGTCCCATGAACAGCAAGGGTCATACTGAGATTGAGTGTCCTTGTAGTAGATATGAAGAATGATATCATTTAATGTGTTCTTAAAAAATGAAAAATCTATCTCTCACACAGAACTTGTCACAGGAAACTATGATGATGACTTTGAAGATGAAGAAGATAGTAATGATGATGAGGATTATGACAGGAGTGATGATAGTACAGACAGTGACAAAGAATGGGTATTGGTTTATTTTTTTCTCAGTCATTTTTGTATTAATGTGTTTGAAGGGAAAATTGATTAATACATTAATGATAGATCTTTTTATTAGTAATACAGAACTTAAATATATGTCATGAAATATCACGCTGAAGTATTGATATTTTTCAAACTTTATATGGAATGTGGTTTTACAAATTCTCCATATTTGTTATATCTTAAATGCCTTGTTTTCAAGATGAAATCCAAGATGTTGAAGAACTTGAAGAAGAAAGAAGTGAGTGATGAGGAGGAGGGACGTGTAAGGTATAAACGAAGACTTAGTACACCAATTCAGCAATCTCCAAGGTCTCGACATCAGGAGCCGGAGTCCGGTTCAGAGGAATCCTCGGAAGATGAGGAGGTGAAAGAGAAACTCATGCTGAGTATTGCAGATGTCAAGGTCAGTCTTAAGTGGAATGGTCTAGCATGGAAAAATGAGAGATGTTTGCTTTAACTTTACAAGATCAGCATGAAGAAAGACCATTTGGCTATTCATATAGTGTATGAAGTTTCAGTTGGAAACAGATGAATTATGAATAATGTCATCTTTTTAGTTAAAATATTTTGATTTGTTTGTATCCCAATGGTTGATTATTGCATGATCAAGGCATACCAATGATTCAGGAAAGCCATTCATCACATCAAGATGCTTATTACTTCCTCATTACTTCTGTTCTAAGCCTTAGTACAAACTGATGCAAACATTTGAATTGATAAGCAATCAAGTCAGTATGATGAAATTTCAAAATTGATGTGTCTTTGTGTGATGTTTGGACATGTTCAGCTCTCCCAAAGTTATCAGTCCACCACCTATACTCAAAATACTGGGAGCTTTACATCTCACCAAAGTTTAATTTACTGTTAGAAAGTTTTTGTGAAAATAGCACTAAAACTCCTGTATTGCATATAAAACTCATGTATTTGAGTGCAATGATTTTTGGCCGGGTTGCACATAGTGCAAATCCGGGTTATATTATGGTGAATGGCAGGCAGACGGGGAAAAGGGGTACCAGTTTTTGACATAGAAACTTGAAACTTTGTAGGTTGTTTTTATATATATATATATATATATATGTGTGTGTGTTGAAGATGTGCACCTCCTATTATGGATTCATTCCAGACATTTTTCTGGATTTTCTGGGCCTTGGAACTTAGTCATTTTCTGCACCAATTCATAAAATACAACCAAACTTTCTCTCTTATAACAAATATTCTACATACTCAACAAATGAAACACCCTTAACTGTCTTATAAATACCATATAACATTGCACTCATCCTGCAACATGGCCAATTGTGACTTTGCCCCATTTTTAAGCTAAATTTTCCCCTTATACAAAATTACACAGATATAGTTTCCATTATTTGTTGATATGCCTTAATATTGCATTTAAATATTTCCTGCATATTGTTGACATTTTCAAAAAATGTTATTGGTTATTAATATAACTGCTTTTTCTGTTATTTGTAAAATTTGTAACTAGTATTTATATATGCATGCTACGTTTCCTGTTTCTGTTAATGTGTTGGTGATAATTTGTTTTGTTGAATAGACTTAAACCATAAAAACGATTTGCAATGTGTAAAGTTTACTTCATATATGCATGTTAAAAAACTTTTCTTCAGAAACTGAGAAAAAGTTTATCAATGAATGCCAGTATCAAAGAAAGTTTGGCCAAGGATGTCAGCTCAGTAAGTTTGTGTAACATTAATTCACCTCTGTCCTAGATAGGGGTCATACCTCATGGCTAGGAGTAGATACAATGGATCATTTGTTTAATGAAGAAGAAAAAATCTAACAATCCTTTTTCAAACTGGAATTTTGTTGGTAATACAAATATGTGCATGCTTGCATGGATAATTCTTTTGGTGGAATTTAAATCCGAATTTATCTTTAAAAAAAAGAATTTTAAAAATTGGTAATATATGTATTGAGACATCATGAAAATACAATCAAAAAGTTAATAAAAAACAAAACTGCTTCTTCCAACAGGATGAGGATGACTCTGCAAGGAGTTCTCCAATTCCTGAAGAAGATGAGGAGGTAGAGGAAGACCTGGTTCCTGCCATGGACAGTATGAGTTTGGAGCAGAAAGTGAACAAGCCTATATTTAAACCAACAGACACCATTGTCCTTGAGCTAAGTGCTCCCCCAGTTCGCAAAGGTAAAAGTCTGTATATAAATGTGCATCACTAAACTTGAGATCTTTAAAAGCAAGTTGCCATTAATCAATTCTAGTGAATTGTGTCAAAAACAAATGTCTCATCTTTAAAAACAAAGAGTTATTTCTCAACTTTCTATCAATGAATTTTATTGAATTGTGTCCAAAAATTGTATCAACATACATATTGGTATTTGAACTATCTTTATGCTCCCTGAAGGAACAGCATATAGTTGCCACTTTGTCTGTCTGTCCATTTGTCCATCTGTCATTATTTTTTCTGGAGCATAACACATAAACTATAGGAGGTATCAACATAAAACGTTATAGATAGATAGATCTCAATGGAGAGAAGTACAGGGCACAACAACCATCACTTTTTTTTGGGAATAATTCAGAATTTTGTCCAGAGAATTACACTCAGACTTTAAGTGTTATCAACATGAAACGTTCTTTGTAGATAGATCTCAACAAGGAAAATCATAGTGCACAAGAACAATAACTCTTTTTTGCATAATTTGGGAGTAATTGCCCCTTCTTATTTTTCATACTTAAATTTTGTCCCATTCAGGGAGCATAACCCATCTCTGACAGCCCTTTTCTATTACTGATCAGACTTAAGACTAGCAACATGTACTTGTTATGATACAGGAAAACTGGAGAAAAACCTGTCAGTGGCAAGGAAAAAGGATGCAGAAATTGACAGAAGTTACCCGAGTAAATCTTCCAACACCAGTTCAAAAACCCCTCGGGCCAAATCTGCTGTTTTACAATCTAGTAAGTGCGCTGTTTGAGAATTCATGTTGTGAATATCACATCAGAATTACATTGGGTATTATTCTGGTTGTCATATTTTTATGTTTGCAAAGAATATCTGATATCAATATTGGATTGGTTGAGAAATCAACTGTCTTCCTTAATCAGATTTCTGAAATATGTTTTATCTCTAGAATTTGTTCTTTGCAGTGCCAATATAAGATAATGATGTGGTGTAGTTATATTGAAATTTAAAAACAACTTTCAAAATTCTTTGATATTGAGTTGATTAGTGATTGTCACAAAATTTACTACATTTTGCTCTAACTACTAGTAAAGAGGAATCAGCAGTAAATATCAAATAAAAAGTGACTACTTTAGCATTTATATATATAGGATTAATCAAAGTGACTCGCTGTTACTTCTAATTATGGAAGTTATCAGGTTCAAATTACAGATTTTAAGGATTTGTGCAATATTTGAATTATGCAATAAGTAATCTGCCTCTAATCCAGATGTGCCATCCAAGAAGTCGAATCGTCCCCTGTCAGCCAATAGGGTAAACAAGGACCACCGGACAGACACACAGGAGGAGGCTACAGCTGTGCTGGCTGCACTGAAGGCAGAGAATGATAAGGCAGCTAAGGGAGGACAGGTCTGCAAGTCACCAGCAACACCAGTTAGTAAACAGGTCAGTTCCTATATTGATTGTTCTACTCACCAATGGAGGCTGGTTTGAGGATAGCATTTTAAGTTGATATCAGGTCAGTAATTGTTGACAGGTTTCTTAGTGCAACTTGTCAAACAAGATGAGCTGATCAAAGATTTTAGAAAAGACACAAAAGAGAATAGAACTTTTTCTATACAAATTTAAAATTAGATTAAATGTTGCCAAATAAAGAATTAAACTGCATCATACATCTGTTTCACTTTTTGTATGTGGTGACCATTAGTGGCAATATTTGGTTTTGGCAAGAAAGTTTGTTATCACAACTTCTCCAAAGCAATGAGAGGTGATAAGTTCAAATTTCAGTGGTGTGTTCACCTTGGTTCCTAGGTGACCCTAAGTGATATTCAGCATGATACAATTTTCAAGATGGCTGCATTGGCTTCCATCTTGTTTTTGCTATGTATTAGTAGTGTACATTTTCTTGAGAGCGTATCTAGCACAGTATTTCATTTAGGATCATCAAACTTGGATCTTGCTCATTGGATACATCCTGTGATGTCAATAGTTTAGAATTAGGTAATTTTAGATCATCTAACCTATATGACCTATGACCATCTTTTTTTGTCTGCGATTGTGGGCTATCCACTGTGGGTAAACTTTCCATTCAAATGACTTCTTCACAATAACCAAAAGGCCAAGAGCACTGGTATTGATTCTCTGGCATGCTGGGATAAAGGGCAACCAAGTTTGTTAAAATCAATGACTTTGACCCACTTTTTCTATCATTCTCTCCTTACTTTTTCATGCTCCTGATCTATTTTTTTTGTGCACATAGGCTACACCAGTATATAGGCCATACCCTTGACCAAAGAGGAAAAGTTGCTGCTTATAATCTTGAAAATATCATACATAAGAACACCCTGGTTGGGAGGAAATCTTGTGTGCATAAAATTCAAAGAAAAAAATGTCTTAAGCATATCTCCTATTCTGGTTCATATTGGATCACTAAAATTCCTCCGTAGGAACATCATAATGTAAGGCAGATAGAGTGTTGTTGTGATATACCAAAGTCACTACGACCTAAACTATGGCAATATTATTACTTAACTCACTCCAAGCTGGGCACCAAGAACTCTTCAGGATCTCATGTATTAGGTTCCTATAGACAATTGTATGACATCAAGATTTTAGGAGTGTTTGCTTCAGTAGCTTTTAGATTGTGCTGAAATGTCAACAATAAGCACACCCATTTTATGAACAATTTAACTAGCCTACCATCCAATTTTGAAAAATGATATTACAAACATGAAACAATAAGACGAAGAAGCCATGTAAGTTCTGTAATATATATTACACTGGTGTTGTCACTAAATGGGTGGTATTCAACTTTCAGAAAATAGTTTGAAGCAGTCAGTTTACTTGTAATTTGTTGAAGAATAAGTAAGTATTTATTGTATGATTTATGACAATAAGGATGATTGAATAACATATTATGAACACTCCATTACATTGTTTTGATGTAGGGACCCAAGCCATCTGTTAGTAAGGAGTCACCATTGAGAAAATCAGAAACAAGGAGCTCAGGTCCTCTTCCAAGTCCCCGCTCCAAGCCAGCTGCTGCCACAAGAGGCAGTACTGATGACTCGCAAAGCTTCCTGGCTGATGACAGACTTACAAATATCATGAAGAAAGTCCTGATGATGCAGCCAAAGTAAGCAGAAATATATAGTTACATATTAAGTCAGCGAAACATTGCATAGGTTTATGTCAGGGTATTTTTTTTTTTTTAGACATTGTTTTTTGTCTTCAAAGCACTGTACAGGAATTAGATTATACAGAAACAACTTGCCAACTGTTTGGTTGTTGTTGAGGGGGAGGAGGTGGAAATAGTCACAATTAACATAATTTAACACCTGCTTGCCTTTACAGACAGCAGAAGAAGCTGATGAAGGTTCTAGGAGACCTTGATGATTCCCTAGAAGATGAACTACAGCACATTCCAAAACACTCCCCAAAGGAGCCTGTCAAAGCCACTAAACCTGTCCAAGACATGTTACAGAAATCAGCACAAAAATCAACCCAGAAATCAGTTCAGAGATCAGTTCAGAAATCAGTTCAGAAATCAGTTCAGAAATCAGTTCAGAAATCAGTTCAGAAATCAGTGCAGAAATCTGTGGAGGTAAGTTAATTTATAAGAGTAACTCAGTTGAACAATTGTAGGTTATTTTATAAAAGGCTGGTATTTCTATGGCAACAAGCCTATCACATGTAATCAAGGATATGTAACATTATGTTCATGTTCTTAAAATTCATCCATATCCAGATGACATGTTTTTGTTATGCTGTTTTAAGAACTGTTGTAAAATCATTTTATAAAATAAATACATACAGTTAACAGGACCTCACGTTTCACAAGGCTACATTTATAACTGATGTAAAATCATTTTATAAAATAAATACATGCAATTAACAGGACCTCATGTTTCACAAGGCTACATTTATAACTGATGTAAAATCATTTTATAAAATAAATACATGCAATTAACAGGACCTCATGTTTCACAAGGCTACATTTATAACTGATGTAAAATCATTTTATAAAATAAATACATACAGTTAACAGGACCTCACGTTTCACAAGGCTACATTTATAACTGATGTAGGAACTTATCATTGCTCTTATCTAACAAAAGAATGATTGTGCACCAAAATTGTATCACACTAAATAAAGTACATTTCCAGTATTTAGTTCTAAACTCGGTAATCAACTAGGTTTACCTCTAGCTTATGTTGTTGTTGTTCTTCAGAAATTTCCAAACAAGATGGTGGATGAAGGAATAGAAGTAAACATTGAGATCACATCCAACTGGGGTCATCCAGCTCTGCTGGGTCTGACTGAAATCCAGTTCTTTGATGTAGATGGTCACCTTGTGCCAGTATTTCCAGACAACATAATAGCTCACGGAGCTCAGGAGCAACAGTCAGCTTTAAGTGTTCTATTCAATGGCAAATATAAGGTCAGCAAATAGTTCACATTACCAAGCATGATGAATTGTACAATATTTCTCAGGACTGTCTGACCACTCAATGTTAGGGGTATAAAACTGACAAATAATTCAAATTAAATCTTCCTACTTAGCTGCTGGCTTATCAGTCATCTTCCTATTAAGAAAACGATGAATAGCAAAATTAACAACTAATTAAGTTAATTTTAAACAATGATTTACAATTAGTGTTCATGACATGTCAACACTAGAGATACAAATATAGAAATATATTTCACAGTATTGAGAACAATATATATATTTTCTTGTAGACAAGTAAGGAGCGGAATATGTGGGTATGTAAATACCGACAGGGGCACCCAATAGAGCTCTGTATCTTACTCCCACACACCTTCAGGGGCAAACAGCTGGACATATCTAAGATTAAACTCTGGAACTACAACAAGAGCATAAATGTAAGTACATTTGTACCAACTGTATAAAATATATTTAATATCACCATAATGTTTTGAAACATTTTCTTCAAACAGAATCTCATTTACAAATCTTTGATATAAATTGCAGTGACATTAAAATCATATTTACATGCTTACAACTTTATAAATTGGACTTTTCTCATGACTGAATGTTCAGTTTTTCCTGACAATATGATAGTCAGGTTTGCTATTAAAGTGATCTTTTATGTTATATTCTGCCCACAAGTTAGCCGACTGTGTGCAATTCCAGTTACAAAAGCAATATCACAAATATCAGTTGGATAATAAACAGCAATTAATCCTGTGCATTTCTTGTGCATACAGCTATAATGCTTAGCACATTTTGTATACCTGTTGTTGATTTCAGTGTTGAGGTCAGTTTATACCTGTTGTTAATTTCAGTGTTGAGGTCAGTTTATACCTGTTGTTAATTTCAGTGTTGAGGTCAGTTTATACCTGTTGTTTATTTCAGTGTTGAGGTTAGTTTATTCTCCTGAGAGTTCAATTCTGAGAAGTCCATATTTGGTCATTTTCAGGTTAAGATTGATAGGGTATTTGAATTAATGGCTGAGTCACCTATATATAAGCCTGTACAAGCTTTTAGATAACTGATCTCTATTTCTCACATACACTATGGTAAGCTTACTGGTCTTGGTCGAATAAGTGGCAAAAAGGGGGCTCCGTATAGGATTTAAATGGAGACTGCGAACAGCAAATTTTATAGTGGTGGTTTAGAATTCATGTAAGTAAATTGCAGTGAATTTGTTGTATTGCTGAATTTATGAAAATCAGAATGCCCTTTTAAAGTTAATTTACAGTATTTTTATTATATTTCCAAGCTGATTAATTGTTTTGAAGATCTCAATGTTTTCAATAGAATTGTTTCAATACCTTTTCCTACACAGGATCTTGAGATTGGAATCAAAGATACAAGAGTGTTTATCGGAGGAGTGTTGATGTTTGATGGCCATATAGATAAGGGTTGTGGAAACCAAGTGTTTGACTATGGTGCAATCATAGACTGTCGGGATAGACGATCACCTTCCAAGTCCAGTAGTCACTCACAGAATGATATAACGCATAGCAAACCTCCTACCTCTCCTGTGTCTAGAAATCGTAATACTAGTCCTGTGTCCAAAAAGTCTCCTACTCCAACATCTCCAAAGATCAGACACGAAGAAGATGCAGGTGGTATTTTGCTAAAGCCGACTTTATCACCAAGGTCACGTGGTGACAATGCCAAGAAAAATTCCAATTCCATTGACCCTAGCACTCCTACTGAGGATTATAGAAAACTGCCAGCCTTATCTCGATTGTCGTCTAATGAAGAGAGACGTCCACAGAGTGAGTCTTCCAACTCATCCAATGAGAATACAGCTGTAGGTCAGACCAAGGTCACAAAAGAGGAAATCAAAGTCCGAAGTGAGACACGCACTATGAACTATTCCGAAAAGGATAAAAATAAAGATTTACGAAGGCCCTCTGTGACTTCCGATAGGTCTGGATCTGAAGCAGATGAAGACAACAGAGGTAAGTTTGAGTTATATCATCATGTTTTACTTGAATAATCTTGATACATTTAAACAGAGATTTAAAAAAGGGAAAGTTGTGGCAAATGATTGACTTTGTTGTGTTCTGTTTAAATAAAGCAGAAAAGATTGAAAGAAGTGTAGACTTAGCTCTGTTAAAAAAAATTTGGTAGGATATAAAGGTAAGATTAAAAAAAGTGAAAAGCTAGCTTCAGTGAACCTATTACTGTTCATACACTACAAACTTTCAGTGTGTTTGTAGGAGAATTTCATCCACAAAAACTAATTGTCACTTACAAAATCTGAGTAACCATGAGTTAATATCGCCCTGCATCTATGTCAGCATCCCAACCCAAAGCTTCAAAGTTTTTGGGAAGGTTTTTGAAAGACTCTTTCTAGTTAGTGGCTTCTAATTAAGTCCATCAGTATACATCCTACACTCTTTCTATTCAGTGGTTTCTGAGTCCTTCATACATCCAAAACACTTTTTATTCAGTTGCTTTTACATCCATCAGTATACAGTATTCAGTACTTTTGGAATTTGTATAACTTCAGATGTGTATGAAATGCATTAACTTTATCCTGAGATTTTACACCACATTAAATTTCTGCTATTCCATTAAATACATTTTGTGATAATTGTTGCCATTGAGCTTGCTATCATTGATAGCATTTGTTTTCACTATGTTCTAGAACTAGGATTGAAGAAAAATGGAAAATTTGATAGCCATGAATTCAGACTGATTGCTCTGGTTAATTGTTTGTGTAATTAGCAAAATGTATTTGTAGGGTATTCAGATGTTAGAGGTACCTTATTCACAAAACACACAGAAGAAAAGGGACTCTTCTTTTGTGGTTTCATCTTGATAGAAAGTGACTGTAATTTTATGTTTATTCGTATAGTAAGAGAACAGAAATTCTGTTGTTATTAAGATCATACACCACACATATTTCTAGTCTATGATTAACATGTTGTTATGTTCAGAATCCTTAACATATCTTCTTATGGGCTTCCCATTCATCAAAACATTCTGATATATACAATGAATATTCTCAAAGCCTACAACATACATAGATCAGAGCTGTAATGTAAAGGGAAATATAGACATAAATTTAAAAAATGGAAAGTTTCAACAACAGTTTCTCCTTGTATCACACCTGTGTAGATGTTAACACCAAACAACAGTTTTATGTATATTTATATACATGTTATATGGCTATGATATGGTAGTATCAGTGTTTCTGTATGTTAATATAACAGAATCCTATAATAGGACAGCAAAGTCTCTCCTCACAAAATGTAGTGTGTGCTTCTTGTCACAAGTTTATGTAGGTGATTTTTTTCTTTACATTCTTGTAAGGATTACATAGGAATGTGATCACGACTTTAACAGTGCTGGCTTAAAAACTTCTAAGGATGTTACTACCGATGAAGGGAAGGTGTGAACGTTTCAAGTACTGTAGTACTGAACAAAGTATTGATAGTATTGTACTGAAGTACTTCACCAATCGAATTCCTTAAATTTATGCAACAAGCTCTCTGATTGGCAGAGCCAAGTCTAGATCGATTGTGGGTGGAGCCAGGTGAAAAAATACTGTGCAGACATCGGCATTTTACAAACACTCGACTGTCGCGAGAGGTTAATTGGAAGAGTCCAAGTCACAGGTGGCTTCAGATCAGACCTAATTGGGTTGTCCCATTTGTTTCGTTCTACACCCAATGATACCTTGCTTTTCCATCGATGGTACAACGAGAAAACGAAAGTTACTCAGTACTAAACTAATTTACATACAAAATATATATCAACAGGGTAGATCACTGGGACCGGAGAATTCATAACATCTTAACACTGAATATAGTCATATAGTCATTCTGTACTAGTTTTATTTATTTATTTTTTTGAAAGGTGGGGGGGGGGGGTTGGCTCAAAATATTTCGGTTTAAGCCCAAGCTCTATTATATGTAACAAAGAATTACGAATTACCTGGGACCTCCTGATATATGCCGATAATTCATACTGCATTAAAAAATAAAGGAATTCTGTGGTCCCATATATTTTTTGTTTTATTTTTTATCTTTCCATCGAAAATTATACATATCCGCAACATGTGAAAAAACTTTGAAGTTGGTTGGGCGGAATATCTAGAGCATTTACTACTGCAATTTCCAGAAATTCTGACACAAGTCGGGTATTTGCCCGAAGCCTCTGTCTCATGACATTGAATACATATTCAGTTACGTTGTATTCCGGGGAATAAGGCGGCTGAAAAACCAGGGACACGCCATATTCTTTCAGCATATTTCTTAAAATGCGCTCTCCCTGTCTATGGTGATGGAATCCACAATTATCCATCACAACCACATCGCCTTGTACAAAAACAGGATTCCCCATATCGTTCGTATCGGACATAACTTCGTCGAAGAAAATTTTGCGTACTGTTGTCGTCGTCGGACATTTTTCCAGCGATTACTTAGTAATTGTTATGTAACTCCGTTATGTACATTAACTCCGCCTACCGGAACAAATTGGGTGTCAGATCAACTATTCAGGTTGTCTAAACTCCGCCCCCGACCAATCACAGAGGTCGTTGTATACTTGACTCGATTATTTGAATACTTCAATACAATAGTATCAATACTTTGTTCAATACTATAATAAGTGTGTCGTTCACACCTTCAGTTCATCGGTAGTAAGGATGAGCACGAAAAATTAGGAACTGGATTTTCACTTTGAAAGTTTGTTATCACTTTCTCTAGATATTTCATGCTTTGATCTTTCTCAGCTTTCAAGTGCAGGAGCCCCTTGGTCCCTGGTTGCTCTCATTTTATTTTGGGTTTGATCAGAAAAAACAAAATGGCTGACAGGTGGCCATCTTGGATTTTGGCTTAGAAAATTTGTTATTGCTATTTCTTGAGAATTACAGAATAAATTTTTAGTCTAGTCAACGATCATCAGATGGTAAGCTGTTCAAATCATGCTATATTTATGGTCCCTCGTCCTTCTGTAAACAGTTATTGTTATCGCTACTTCTTGAGAAGTCCTGGATGGATCTTTCTCAAATTGCATAGGTAGGTTCCCCTTGGTCCCTAGTTGTGCCTGTTTAGTTTTAGGACTGTTCAAAAAAACAAAATGGCTGACAGGCAGCCATCTAGGATTTTTTCAATGAAGTCTGTTATCGACTTTTCTTGAAAAATTTCATATGTATATTCCTTCTGGTCTCAAGTTGTGCCCATTTGATTTTGGGTCTGATTAAAAAACAAAATGGCTGACAGGAGGCCATCTTGTATTTTTACTTTGAAAGTTTATTATTGCTATTTATTGAGAAGTACTTAATGGATCTTTCTTAAATTTCACATGTTGGTTCCCCTTGGGCTCTGGTTGTGCCCATGTAATTTTGGAACTAATCAGAAAAAATTAAATGACTGAAAGGTAACCATCTTGGAATTTGACTTTGAAAGTTTGTTATTGCTATTTCTTGAAAAGTACTTTGTGGATCTTCTTAAATTTCATATGTAGGTTCCCCTTGATCCCTAGTTGTGCCAGATTGATTTTGGGTCAGATCAGAAAAATAAAATAGCCGACAGACGGACATCTTAGATTTTGACTTTGAAAGTTTGATATCACTATTTATTAAGAACTACTGTATAGATCTTTCTAAAAATTTCATGTATAGGGTTCTTTAGTGCCCTAGTTGTGCCTTCTTGAGTTTGGGACTGATCAGAAAAACAAAATGACCAACAGGCAGCCATCTTTGATTTTGCCAAGTAAATATTGTTATTGCTATTTCTGAAGAAGGACTGACCCAAACTCAACTTTCAAAGAGCATATAAAGATCAAACAATGGTGGGCAGCAAGATTCCTCTTGGATGTCTTGTTAAAGTTTGTTGTAGCCTCTTGAGAAATACTGCACAGATATTTCTCTCAAATTCCATGTATAGGTTCCTCTTTGTCCCTTGTTGTGCCTTTTTGAGTTTGGTACTGATCAGAAAAACGAAAATGGCCAACAGGAGCCATCTTGGATTTTGCTTTGAAAAGATTGTTATCCCTATTTCTTCAGAAGTACGGATTGAATATCTCATAAATATGAGATTGAATAACTTCATATGCATGTTTCCTTTGGTCTCTCCTTGTGCTGGTTTGATTTTGGAACTGATCAGAAACAAATGGCTTCCAGGTGGCCAGTTTGGATTTGGCAGGTAAAGATAATCATTGCTATTTCTGCAAAGGAATGTTCAACTGTCTCCTCATTAAGAGCAAAAAAAGAGAAGAGAGTGGAAGGGAAAATAAAAGCAAAGAAAGATCAAACTATGGTGGGTGACAAGATCTCTGTTTTCTTAGTATATCTATAATTACCAGTGTGTGTTACCCATTGTATATTTGCAATAAATAGTAGGTCAACATTACGGTGACAGAAATGATTGTCACCTGTTCCGTCAGATAGATGGTCATTTAATTCCGGTCATTTGTGCAGTAAATTACATTGGGAGGAAATGTTATGGTCACATAAAACAAGAGATCACTTAATTAAGGGGATCCCTAAAGCATGTTTGACTGTATCTGTTTCCTATAGTATATCTGTAATAACCTATTTCTGTAACCCTTAGTTTATCTGTAATAACCTATATCTCTTACCTCAAGTATATCTGTAATAACCTATATCTAGTATCTCTAGTATATCTGTAATAACCTATATTTGTTACCTCTGGTATATCTGTAATAACCTATATCTATTATCCTCTAGTATATCTGTATAACCTTTATCTATTATCTCTCTGGTATATCTGTAATAACCTATATCTATTATCTCTGGTATATCTGTAATAACCTATATCTATTATCTCTGGTATATCTGTAATAACCTATCTATTATCTCTGGTATATCTATTATCTCTGGTATATCTGTAATAACCTTTATCTATTATCTCTGGTATATCTGTAATAACCTTTATCTATTATCTCTGGTATATCTGTAATAACCTATATCTATTATCTCTGGTAT